TGCAAGGCAAGCACCCTACCCACTGTATATGGCTCTGGCCCGATGAAATGTGATGAGAATTTTATGAGTGGTAGAGCTGGAGCAATACTACAGTGGGTAAGGCTTTTGCTTTGCTTGTATGTGGCTGACCTGGGTTTGATTCCTTGGCACCTCATATGGTCTCCTGAGCTGGACAGGAGTGATTGCTTGAGTGCAGGGCTAAGAGTAAGCCCTGAGCATGGATGAGTATGTGGTCCAAGAAAAAAAAAATTATGAGTGGAATCATGATTATTCATGGGTTTTGGTTTTCTTCTGGTGGGGGAGGAGGACAAAAATCAGTGAACAGAAGGATGGGAGGATGGTGTTTGGCTCAGAAGCAAAGGGAAATTCAAAACATGAGGAATTGGCTGGTGAACCTGTTGGAAGAAAGATTTGTTTCTGTTTCCTGAGGTAAGACTGTCCTTGTTACAGAGATAGATGTATGAGATTAGATAGTTGATCTATTACATTTTCTTCAATACTGTTTCCATCCTCTGACCACCTTCTGAACCTAAGGGAAAAATGTTCTCCTTCGATGTGAGCATTCTATTCTACTAGCTGTGTTCAGCAGTGATGATGAGGAAAATGTGTTGACAAAATAGTAAACAGATTGGAAAAAGTTAACCCTAATGCTTACATGTATGAGATTGTTTCCATGAGCTTGGTTAAAGTTAATGTCCCTATAAGAAAGCTCTGCTTGGGGACCAGAGAGGTAACTCAAGTGGTAGAGCACCTGCTGATCGTGTGCAAGTCTCCAAGTATGATGCCCATCACTGTGGACAACCCTTCCACCACCCCTCCCTCCCCCATAGAGCTCGTTAGGTGTGGCTCTTAGTTAAAAAAGATGTGAGACCACCACCCAGTGGGGGTGCAGCTGAGGCTGACTCAGAATTAAAGTTGAGTGACAGTGTGGTCAGCAGCAGTCTCCAGCCTAAGGCTGGAGGTATTGGATGCAGTGGTTCTAAAGAGTTTCAGTTTTGTGTCTCTGGGTACATAGAGATGCCCCCAGGAGCTGCTTTCTGAAGCTGTAGCTCAGAGCGAATATCCCAGAGTGAGCCTGGCCCATCAGGCCAGGTCTGGCAATGGCCACACCCAGCTGGCACAGGCAAATACAAAAAACTCATGGTGTCTACAAAGATTAGTTTGTCCGACAGTTGTTATGAGACCACAGTTCCTAGTACCTGTTTCAGCTAGCCAGACTCTGAGTCCACATCAGCTGCCCAAATCTACTGTGAACCCTCCGTCAGCCCAGTTTGTTAGACCTTCGAGCTGGTGTTATTGCAGCTATAGGGCACGAGTATTCAGAAATTCTAAGCCGTCATCCGGTAAAGGGGCTGGAGGGATAAGGTGTTTGCCTTGCATGTGGCCAACCCTGGTTTGATTCTGGGCACCACAAAAGGTTCCCCAGGAACCACTAAGACTGACTCCAGAGCACAGAGCCAGGAAAGAAATACTATACAGAAGAATAAAAAAACAGCTGAAACTGACCTCAAAGACAAGATAACTGACACCAATAGGAGAGAAGAAAAGAATTTTTTAAAATAAAGAATTTTAGCTATTTGTGGGGATTTATTTTTCCATATGAATTTCAGTAGTGTTTTGTCTATTTCTTTGAAACATGTCATGAGTATCCTTATAGGGACCACATTGAATCTTGAATCTGTACAATGCTTTAGGGAGTATTGTAATTTTTTTTTCTTTTTTGGGTCACACCCAGCGATGCTCATGGATTATTCCTGGCTCTGCACTCAGGAATTACTCCTGGCGGTGCTTGGGGGACCATATGGGATGCTGAGGATCGAACCTAGGTCAGCTGCGTGCAAGGCAAATGCCCTACCCACTACGCTATTGCTCTGGCCCCGAGTATTGCAATTTTGATGATGTTAATTCTTCCAATACATGAGCAGGGGATGCGTCTCCATTTCCTCATGTTGTCTTTTATTGCCTGAGGCAGTATTTGTAGTTTTCATGGAGAGTATCATGCTAAATGAAGTAAGTCAGAAGGAGGACAGACATAGAATGACTGCACTCATTTGTGGATATCAACCCAATGCAGTATGAGACTTAATACCCAAGGACAGTAGAAACACAGGTCAGGACGAATGGTCCAAGGTTGGAAGCCTGCATCAAGGGCTAGGGGAGAGGGCAGTTGGGATAGAGAAGGGACCATTATGACAATGATGGTTGGAAGGGATCGCTCTGGATGGGAGATGTGTGCTGAAAGTGGGGGTAAAGGACCAAACAGGATGGCCTCTCAGTATCTATGTTACAAACCATAGTTCCCCAAAGGAAGGAGGGAGGGAGAAAGAGAGAGGGAGAGGAGAGAGAGAGGAAGAGGAGAGAGAGAGGGAAGGGGAGGGGAGAGTGGGGAGAGGGGGAGAGAGGGAGCGGGGGGGGGGGGAGAGAGAGAGAGAGACAGAGAGAGAGAGAGAGAACGCAAAAGCGCCTGCCACAGAGGCAGACCGGTGGGGGTTGGGGGGATATTGGTGCCAGGAAATGTACACTGGTGGAGGGATGATGGATGTTGAAACATTGTATGACTGAAACTCCATCAAGAAAGCCTTGTATCTCATGGTGATTCATTAAAAAAAAGAAAGAAAAATAATATTTCAGTTAAACAACATGGTAAATTCTAAAGATCTGCTGTAAAGCACAATGCCTAAAGATTATAACATGTACTTAGAATATATAGAGTAGCTCTCATATTAAGAATTCTTACCACAGGGGAAAAAATAAGGAAGGAAGGGAGGGAGGGAGGGACGAAGAAAAAAAAAGCAAACAATATCATTTGCGATCATTCTCGACTCAGTTGTTACTGAGGATAAAAAGAGCTGTCTGAAGTAATAAAAAACTGTCACTGTCCTGCCCTTCCTTGTTCATCGATTTGCTCGAGCGGGCCCAGTAACGTCTCCATTGGAGACTTTGTTGTTACTGTGTCTGGCATATCGAATACGTCATGGGGAGCTTGCCAGGCTCTGCCGTGCGGGCGAGATACTCTCGGTAGCTTGCCGGGCTCTCCGAGAGGGGCGGAGGAATCGAACTCGGGTCGGCCATGTTGGCTGCGTGCAAGGCGAATGCCCTACCGCTGTGCTATTGCTCCAAAGAATTTTTATAGTATTATGTTAAGTGGAACAAATTACATATAATAAGAATACTAGGAGAGTAACTATCTCATGGTGATTCAATAAAATTTAAAAAAAAAAGAATACTAGGAGAAAGGAGAGACAGAAAAAGGAAGAATAGTTTCTGGAAGAAATATCAGTTGAGAACTTCCTCCTATCAAAACAGACATGTGCGCTGAGCAGGAAACTTCTCCCACAACTAAATAGATGCTGGAGAAAAAAAACCAAAAAAAAAAAAAAACCTTTTGGGAGAGGACTTTGGGCCACACCTGGTAGTACCTGAAGTCTTAACTTTTGGCTTTGCACTCAGGGATCACCCCATACACTGCTCATGAGGCCCCATGGAATATCCTGGGCGCCAACAAGCCACTTGGCCCCTGGTTGAGAAGCACAGGCTTAGACCATGACAAAGATAGTCTCCATTTATCCATCATTTCCTACCATCAAAGGAATTTTTATTTATCCATCAAAGTCCTACTTTTTTCAACTTAACCTCTTTTCTCTCCCATTTTCAAATATTATTTTGAAGTAAGCCATAGACTATTTTATTTAGGCTGTAATTATTCTATTATGTATCTCCGAGTTAAGAAGTATAAGATGCAGCAGTCATACTTTTTTAGCATTTACTTATTTACTTGAAGGGTATTTTTTTTTTTTTACTTTTTGAATTGAATCACTGTAAAAAGATATACCCTTACAAGGCTGTCATGATTAGATTTCAGTTATACAGTATTCCAACATCCATCCCTCCACCAGTGTACATTTCCTAGCACCAGAGTCCCCAGGTTCCCTCCCTTCACCCCCACCGCCACCCCCTTGCCTGCCTCTATGGCAGTATCTCTCTCTCTCTCTCTCTCTCTCTCTCTCTCTTTCTCTCGGGCATTGTGGTTTGCATTATTGATAACTGAAAGATAATCAAGAATATCCCTTTACCTACTTTTAACATTCAGATCTTATCCAGTGTGATCATTCTCTGTTATTATTGTCATACTGGTCTCTTCTCTGTCTTATCTACCCTCAGCTCCACACACACTTGTGGTTAGTTCCAACCATTGACCAGTTCTCCGAGCCCCTGTTTTTCCTGGCAATGGGTATTAGTCTTCTACTGTATATTATTTTTATATACCACAAATAAATGCAGTCATTTTATATCTGTCCCTCTCCCTTTAATTCATTTCATTCAGCATGATACTGTCCATGTCCATTCATTTATAGGCAAATTTCATGACTTTATTTTACCTGACAGCTGCATAGTATTCCATTGTGTAGATATGTCATAGTGTTTTTTATCCGTTCAACTGTTCTTGGGCACTCAGGTTGTTTCCAGATTTTTAGCTATAGGTGAATAAATTCTGCAGTGAACATAGGAGTGCACGTGGAGTTTTTTTTTTTTTGAACCCAGGGCATATTCCCAGGAGTGGTATTGCCGGGTCAAATGGGAGTTCAATTTCTATCTATCAGCTGGGATAGAGCAAGGATCACTAAGTCAATGATGGTTGGAGGGATCACTTGGGATGGGAGATGTGTGCTGAAAGTCGATAAAGGACCAAACATGATGGTCCCTTAGTATCTGTATTGCAAATCATAATACCCATAAGTAGAGAGAAAGTAAGAGGGAAATTATCTGCCATAGAGTCAGGGGGAGGGGTGGGATGGGTCAGGGAGGCATACTGGGGACATTGGTGGTGGAAAATGTACTCTGGTGTAGGGATGGGTGTTCAATAATTGTATGACTGAAGCTCAAACATGAAAGCTCTGTAACTAGCTCATGGTGATTCAATAAAAATAATAAAAAGAAACACCTTTCTGAAAAATTACAATGGAACTAATTTGGGTTTTGTTTTTCTGTTTAATATTTAGGCTACCAACATGACGGCTGAAGAAACAGTGAATGTAAAAGAGGTTGAAATCATTAAACTAATTTTAGACTTCTTGAATTCAAAGAAGCTTCACATTAGTATGTTGGCTCTTGAGAAGGAGAGTGGAGTTATCAATGGCCTATTTTCAGATGATATGCTTTTCCTGAGGTATGATTTCATTTAGTCTTGCAATGCTAACACTTAGAGAAAAATGTTGGTGTTAATAAAGTGGTATGTAAAATAGAGATATAACTTTTTAATTAATGAGAAAGCTATGTAACATAACTTTAAAATGTGTTTTTATATAGTGTTTTCTTTAGTAAGATTTAGAAGTTCATGGGCAAGGAAGATAATGCAGGGGTAAATGTGCTTGCCTTATATACAGCTCACCTGGTTAAAATTCCAGAACTACATGTGGTCCTCTGAACACCGCCTGAAGTGATCCCTGAGCACAGAGCCAGGAGTAAGCCCTGAGTACATACGGCCCCCAACAGGCAAACAAAGCATGCAAAATTAAGAGTCAAGGGCTGGGATTGTAGCTCTCTAGTATGCACGTGGAGATTTAGTTTTGATTCCCAACAGTACTAAAAGAAAAGAAAACAAGAGAAGCCTCTTGGGCCAGAAATGTGGCTCAGTAATGTACAGATGCCATGAATATGGGACCAGAGCCATTGACAGTGAGTATATTCTTTCCTTGCACGTAGCTGACTCGGGTTCAGTCCCCAGCACTACATCTGGTCTTTGAGCATTGTCAGGAGTAAGCCAGGCATGTCTGAAGCCCTGAGTTTGCTCTCTGGTCCCAACAAAACAAAACAAAACAAAATAGAGACTTTCCCCAAAGTGAGACTCACAACTATATTGTGGTTGTAATTTTGTAAGAGATATTTGAGAAATAAGACTGGAAAAAAAGAGTTCAGAAAGATAAAAGAAAATGTATTTGAAATATCAGTTTTTGCTTCTAGAAATAAAACACCGGTTGTAGAAACACTCATTAGAGAAATATATAAAAAGCAAGAAAAGTCAACTTTACCACCCAGATTCTTAGTGAGCATCTTCTGATTTTTTGTGTGTGTGTGGGGGGGAGGCACAGAGAGAGTGTTTGATTTTAGGCCACACCTGGTGGTGCTCAGGGCTTACTTCTTGCTTAGCTCTCAGGGATCACTTCTGGCCAGTTTGGGGGACCATAAGGGATTTCACTGATGCCAGCGACCCGGTCTGGTTCGTGCCCTATTTGCTGTACTATTGTTCCAGTCCCCTAAAATCTTAGATTTTTTTAAATTCAATTAAAAAATTAAAAAAAAATTGTCACTGGGGCTGGAGCAATAGCACAGCGGATAGGGCGTTTGCCTTGCATGCGGCCAACCCAGGTTCGATTCCCAGCATCCCATATGGTCCCCTGAGCACCGCCGGGGGTAATTCCTGAGCGCAGAGCCAGGAGGAACCCCTGTGCATTGCTGGGTGTGACCCAAAAAGCAAAAAAAAAAAATGGTCACTGTCACTGTCCTCCCATTATTCATCCATTTGCTCAAGCGGGCCCAGTAACATTGTGAGACTTGCTACTGTGTTTGGCATATTGAATACATCACGGGTAGCTTGCCAGGCTTTGCTGTGCAGGCAGATAGTCTCTGTAGCTTGCCAGGCTCTCTGAGAGGGGCGGAGGACTTGAACTCGGGTCGGCCGTGTCGGCCACGTGCAAGGCAAATGCCCTACCTGCTGTGCTATCGCTCCAGCCAATTTTTTAAAATAATGTAGGAGTACTGCTATTTGTTTGTTGATTAAGCTGTTTGAGTTAGCTATGAACTCCACTAAATTTTATTTTTAAAGTTTTATTTAGAAAAATGTAAAGGAGAGTCAGAGAAAAAGTAGTACACATTATAGGTTGTGATACAGGTAGCAGAGAATGTTCTTACGTTGAAAAAAAAAGCTATGTACCAGTAATGTTGCATTTATAATTTAGTATTTTATTCATTAATTTCATAAGGATTATAATTACAGGTTTTTATTTCACTTTTAAAAATTTACTTACTCTTAACGTTCTCCTGGTTATAGATAAATTTTTTGTTCGCTTTTGGGCCATACCTGGATGTACTCAGGGGTTACTTCTGGCTCTGCTCAGAGATCACACCTGGCAGTGCTTGGTGGAATTTACGGAATGCCTGGGATTGAACTCAGGTTGGCTACATGCAAGGCAAATGCTCTACTCGCTGTACTATTGCTGTGGCCTCTCGACAGTTAAATTGTTACCAGTTCTTAAATAAATTCTCTGCTCAGCATGTTTTATACATAAGCCTTTTTTACTTCTTGGAGTATTCTCTAGAATGAGAAACTTGGAGGTAGAGTTACAGGGTAAAATGGAATTTGCAAGTTTGAAAAAAAAGTATTTGTCAGTATGGAAAGCTAAATATATCCTAATTTGAATTGGACAGAAGAAGAAAAATCCAAAATTTCAGGCAGAAATATATTCAGTGCCTATGTGGTAGATACCAAGGATCCTTGACAAGGCGTAGATTCTTGTGTATATAGCTTTTTTGTGACTTGGAAAGCCTAACTTCACGAATCTTCCTAATTTGTGAAAAAGGAGTTTAAAATTTTTTTTATTATATTAGTGGTGTTCATTTAAGCCCATTGTACTTTCCTGTGTGTTATGAGTATTGTCCAGCCAGCCCCCAGAGAGCTTAGACCACAAGGTAGTCATGATATGCTGGAATGGTATGTTTTTTTTTGTTTGTTTTGCTTTTCTATTATTACCCCTGGAATTTAGCAGTGGCTCTCAAATACCTCCTCCAAGAACCTGTGAAGGTGTGTGATATTTTATGGGGTGAGGTGAAATAAAAGCATTATGAAATAGTAACGTAAAGTTAGTCATCATAAAAGGCTGGACTTTGATATTTTCCCTATTCTGTCATTTCAAATGTTATAATGTTCCCTTGTAAAATAATTTATGTATTATGATGCTTTTATTATTATTCCTTCTTTATAGAATCAAAACTTGGTAATTCTATGATGATCCTTCTATCCATTCCTTTATAAATATTACGATTCTAAGAAAATAGTGAAATTACTATTATAAAAGATAACAAAAATCAGAATGTCTTGTAACTTAGAAATTCCCATGGATTTAACCTACACTAATGTAGGATAAAGGCCTGAGCTTAGTCCTGGTATAGGAAAGATAGTACACTGGGTCCAGTGCTTGCCTTGCATGTGACTGCCCTGGGTTCCATCCTTGTATCACATATATTCCCTTGAGCACCACCAGGAATGAACCCTGAACACAGAGCCAGGAGTATCCTTCTTCCCTGCGGGGTGTGGCCAAAATAAAAAGCCAAAACAATACAAGAACAAAACAGCTTATCTGTTCCTTGCATTTTTAATTTTGGGGCATAAACTTCAGTGTCAGATGTGTCAAGGATGTAGAATTCACAATGTATTTATTGTTTTTGGACCACACCCTGTTATGCTCAGGGCTTTCTCCTGTTCTGAGCTCAGGAATGACTACTGACTAGCTTGGGGGACAATATGGGGTGCTGGGGATAGAACCTGGGTGTGCTACATGCAAGGCAAGTGCGCTATCTCCTGTTTTATCTCTCTGGCTCCAGAATTTACAATCTAGAGCAAGATCTCTCAGCCTAGACTTTATTAACGTGGTGGGCCAGATCATTGTGTGTGGATGCATTGTGGGAACTTTAGTAGTTAGCTTTTCTGATCTATACTGAGTGGATGCTAGGGCCACCTCCAGTTATAACAACCAAAACAACCAAAACAACCGACATTGTTAAATATGCCCGAGTTGAGTAGCGCTGATATTGAAGCTGGAGCACATTTGTACTATTCCTACTTAGTACAGAGTGGCTATAAAACTGTAAGATTAAGAGGGAAGTTAAGGAGCTTTTTTACATAGTCAAATATTTTTGCCTAGGTGAAACATTATAGATCTTGCTCTACTATATATGTTAATATATAGTATATTATATATATATATATAATTAGTTGTAGATTTATAAATCCTCAAATAGTATATGTTATTGCACATTTGTTGAGGAAAATTTGCCCTGTTATAGTGGTTGGAATTTCAGTCTCATCTGCTTGGTGAACTTTTAATGCTTTCTAGTCATCTGGAGCAAGATCTCTCAGCCTAGACTTTATTAACGTGGTGGTTATCAAGGCGTATATTCAGCCCTTTGAGGTACCTTGCACATTTGCTGCTATTAATTGGTGTAACTCCAATCTGATGACAAGTATGGGTTTTCTTTTATTTAGGCAACTAATACTTGATGGTCAGTGGGATGAAGTTCTTCAGTTCATTCAGCCTCTAGAATGTATGGAAAAATTTGACAAAAAAAGGTAAGATTTGCATAATCTAAAGTTGAAGTATTTCTCATTGGTAGAAGCTTAGCAAAACAATGAATAAAAAATTAGATAGATTTCCTCGCCAAAAAAAAAATCATAAACTTACTCTCATCAGACGGGAGCACTTCTAAAGGTGGTTGCATGAAGTTGAAAATGTTGTATGCAGATCAGCTTAGTCATCAACGATGTCTACACTAAAAATCACAAGGGGGCTCAGGATGTATCTCAAGGGGTGGCACACATATCTTGCATGTGTGAGGCCCTAGGTTAGGTCCCTGGCACTGCTCACATCCTGGGTGGACCCCCTTACTCCATCATAATCCCTAGTACCACTGCCAGTACCACCACCACAAAATATCATAAAAGTGTATTGTTTGGAGTGTTGTTTCTTCATATTGTTTTGAAGAGACATAGGAACATATATTTTTTTGAATTTTATTTCATATTTTTGACAAATATCTCACAATGTTACTGGGCCCGCTCGAGCAAATCGATAAGCAATGGGAAGACAGTGACAGTGACAGTGACAGATATTTAGGAGTGATATTGATGGGCTATATTTCTGTTTTTTTGTGTGGTTTTCAGGGGCATACCAGGCAGTTCCTGGCTTCCTTATCAAGGCGTATATTCAGCCCTTTGAGTTACCTTGCACATTTGCTGTTAATTTTCAGATTTTTAAGGAACTCCATATAGTTTTCCATATTGATTTGACCAATTTAGATTTCTATTAACACTTTGCTAGGAAAAACCCAATATTCCTTCTCCAGCTCTTTGGCTTGAATTGTATTGGACTGGTAAAAAAGGAAAATAAAAACTTATGATGACAGTATATGAGTGGCCTTTTCTCAGCACCCTGTCAGTACGTATTTTCATCCTTTTCGATAATAGGCCATTTCCTCAGGTCTGAGGTGCTTCTTTATTGTGGTTTATTTTTTTCTTTACTTTTTTTCTTCCCCCATTTTTATTGAGTTGCCATGATTTACAACACTGTTCACGATAGTTTCACGCATACATTGCTCTAGTATCAAACCCACCCCTGAGTTGCCATGATTTACAACACTGTTCACGATAGTTTCACGCATACATTGCTCTAGTATCAAACCCACCCCTGGAGTGCCTGTTTTTACCCACCAATGTCCCAAGGGCTTCTCCCAGCCACTCTTTTCCCTGCCAGGTAAGCTCAGTTCTGTAGTTTAGATGTGGCATCAGCGTGAGAACTTAGTACTACACCCTCCATGTCCCCAAAGTACCCACAACACTCCCCACTGCCTCAATGTCTCTTTTTGTCTTGTTCTTCCCTTCACTCCCCCAACTTTAGTTTATTGATTTTGTATTCCAGTGCCTAGGTTGCTTGTTTGGTTTTGACTTGCATGTCCTTAATAATAAGTGAAATTGGGCACTTTTCCATGCAACTGTTAGCAATCTGTGTGTCTTTTAATTTACTTATTAATTTACTTTTTAGCCTCCCATGCACTGCTCAGGGGATCTTGGGACCCTCTCTTGGAAGTAGGTGTATAGTTGGGCTGGGTAGGATCAGAGCTCCGAGTTCCTGGGGGCCACCAGGATATACCCAGTGGTGTTTGGAATTATTCTTCCTTCCTTACCTTACTAAACCTGGTGGTATGTGGTGCCAAAACATACCAGGCCTACATCCCTGATCTCTAACTCTCTCTCTATATGCCATTGGAGAATAATCTGTTCATATCTTCCCTTTAAAAGTATATATAGTTATTTGGGGCTAGAGGGTCCCATACAGCATATAATCATAAAGCAGGCAAGGCACTTGCCTTGCAAACAGGCAATTCTGGTTATCCTGACACTGCATATGGCTGCTGGAGCACCACTGGCATGGTCCCTGAACCCAGAGCCAGGAGTCAACCTGGAGCACGTTGCGTGTCACCCAAAAAACCAAAACCAAAACAAACTAAAATAAATAAAAATAGAGTTTGTTGTTTTCTTGAACTTGAGTTGTATGAGGGCTGGAGCCATAGCACAGTGGTAGGGCATTTGCCTTGCGGACAGCCAGCCCGGCCGAGTCGGGTTCGATTCCTCCACCCCTCTCAGAGAGCCTAGCAAGCTACTAAGAGTATCTCTCCCGCATGGCAAAGCCTGGCAAGCTACCCGTGACGTATTCCAAATGCCAAACACAGTAACAAGTCTCAAAAAAATGGAGATGTTACTGGGCCTACTCGAGCAAATCGATGAACAACGGGAGGACAGTGTGGTTTTGTTTGAGTTGTATGAATTTATATATATGGCACGGTCACGGTCCTCCCGTTGTTCATTGATTTGCTCAAGCGGGCCCAGTAACGTCTCCATCGTGAGACTTGCTACTGTGTTTGGCATATTGAATACACCACGGGTAGCTTGCCAGGCTCTGCCATGCGGGCGAGATACTCTCTGTAGCTTGCCGGACTCTCCAAGAGGGGCGGAGGAATTGAACTCGGGTGGGTCATGTTGGCTGCGTGCAAGGCAAACGCCCTACTGCTGTGCTATCGCTCCAGCCCTTATATATATGCGTGTGCATAAATTGTCGTATGAATAGTAATCCCTTGACTGATAATATAATCTAAAGTATCTTTTCTCAGTAAGTTGCATTTTTGTTTTTGAGGTGGTTTATTTCCCTATTCAAAGCTTTTTAGTTTGATGTTTATTTATTTGACGTCCATTTATTTTTGCTTTTGTTTTTCTTTGCCGAGTCCCCAAAGAGATCTCTGTAGATGATGTAGGTGAGTGAATCAGCTTAATTTTATTTCATGTATTGACTCTCTTTATGGAGGCAGACATGCTGCTATTTTGAACATATCTTTTCTACTACAGCAGTAGTTTAAAGGATGATTGAAGCTTCATCACTCATTTCTTTTTCAAAGTGCTTAAGGCATTAGTTTTTTTTTAATGTAGGAGCACTACTGCTTATTCAGCCACTGATTAAGCTGATTGAAGCAGATATGAACTCCACATTACTTATTTTTGTTTAAATTAAAAAAAATTTTTAAATTTTATTTTCATAAAGTTGTTCACAATAATTGTTTACATTTGGGACTGGAGTGATTGTATACAGCAGGTGGGGCATTTGCCTTGCATGCCACCGACCCGGGTTCCATCCCCAGCATCCCACATGGTCTCCTGAGTCTGTCAGGAGTGATTCCTGAGTGCAAAGCCAGGAGTAACCTCTATGCATATCTGGGTGTGACCCAAAAAGCAAAAAAAAATAGTTTATACTCAGTATTTCAACACCAGTCCCACCACCATTGCACCTTCCCACCACCACCCCAGCCTGCCCCTTAAGCAGAAGCTAAATAATTTATTTTGTATGCTTGCCATGAATAGTATGAGGTGTCACATGGCCGTGAAAGTGGCCATGCACTCCTGGAATTCTAAAATTCTTAAATATTTGAGTCTGGAGGCATCTCTGTGGTGTGCTGATCTCTTCCGAGGTTCATATGTGAGTCTCTGAATCATGGCCATTAAAGCGCTTAAATGGTGCCCAGAGGCAGTTCTTGGGCATGACTGCCAGGGAACCGGAAGGGCAGGAAGATAGGGGGAGTCACCCGTCCTCGACTTTGTCTAGTCTGGAGTTTTCAGTCACTGGTCCCGCATATCTGGGGTTTTCAGCAGATTCATTCTCATGTGTGGGGGGTTCAGGATGAGCCTGTGTAGGTCAGTGGTGAAACTTGGCATTGATTGGGTTCTGGAGGTTTGCGGCTTCTGGGTTAATCTGGGGCAGGTGGAAGGACATACCTGCCCCCCCTCTGAGGTGCCCTGGTGAAATCAACCTGGTGCAGGGTGGGGAGACATCTCAGCGGCCTCTGCTGCCCTCCTCTGAGATTCACTTGTGAGTTTCTGAATCATGATGATTAATGTACTTAAATGGCCTGCTTTTGATCTCTTTCAAGACACATTTATGGGTCTCTGAAGTAAGGTCAAAACATGAGCTTGTATAGCTGAGCCGGAGGTGGATCGTAGGTGTGACTGCTACATAATTAACTTTTGGCCATTTAATTTCTCTGGAAACTTGGTTCCCAGTTGTTGAGGTCCGGCCAGCAGCACCATGGTGATTTTGGGGTATCGGGAAGCCTGGAAGGCACCAGCAGGCCGCTGATGCACTTGCCCTGCAGGTACAGGTTGATCTGCTGGGTGGCACTGTACTCCCTTTCTTGACTCTTAGATAGGTACATTATTGCTTACATTATCCTCCCCTACCTCCCTTTTCCCAAATCTTGTTAAAGCCATACCCAATTGTGCTCAGGTGCTGCTCTTAACTTTGTTCTCTGGGGTTCTTTCCAGTAGGACCTGGGGCATCATGGAATATGAGGGGTCAAACCTGGGGCAGAATGCAAAGTGTACTTTGTATGTATTCACCATCAAGCTGTCTTTCCAGCCTATTATTCTATTACTTTTAAAAAATCTATTCATGGGCTTAGGGAGATGGTACAAGTGTGTAAGACACTTGCTTTTCCTGTGACCTCTGCCTGTTTGATCTGTGAAACTGCATGTACACTGAGCATTGTCAGAGCCTACAGAGCCAGGAGTAGCCTCTGAGCACCTTTGGGTATGGCCCCAAATGCTGCCTCCCAAAATACTATTTACTACTTTTACCTTCCAGTTGTGTTGCTATGTTTTTCTCCTAACTGAAAAGAAGTAGGGGTGGAGTGATAGTACAGCAGGTAAAGCACTTGCCTTGCATGCAGCCTACCCAGGTTCAATTCCCAGGATCCTATTTGGTCCCTCGAGCACTACCAGGAATGATCCCTGAATGCAGAGCCAGAAGTAACCACTGAGCATTGCTGGATGGGGCCAAAGAAATTTAAAAAAATCTTTTCTGACAGCAAAATTCTTTATAGTAACTTACAGATATAGTTGATAAATGAGATGCTGAAAAGTTAATCTTCTGAAAAAGTTTTTTTGTGGGGCCTACAAAAGTTTCTTGTAGTGCTTGGGTGGGGGCTCCTGGACCCTGTGTGCTGAGGGGAGCCAGATACCAGGCTTCTCGGTGGTTCTTTTGGGGCAGGTATTGAGTGTTGGCCCTCAACACATGCAAAATGAGTGCTCTTCCACCTCTTTTTTTTTAAATAATTTTTTATTAGTGAAACACCATGAGGTACAGTTGTAGACTTACAAATTTTTGTGCTTGGGTTTCAATTATACAGTGATCAAATACCCATCCCTCCACCAGTGCCCATTTTCCAGCACCATGGATCCCAGTATCCCTCCCACTCCCATCCCTCCCATCCCACCCTGCCTCTGTGGCAGGGCATTCCCTTTTGTTCTCTCTCTCCTTTTGAGTGCTGTGGTCTTCTTCCACCTCTTGAGTCACAGTTATGGCCTCTAAAAAGTTATTTCTTAAAAAATGTATTCATTTATATGTGCATTTTAAGTTTCCCCTTTTCCTCCTTTCTGGCTGTGATTTCAGGGGCTTGTGCTAGCCTTGCACATGAGCACCACCAAGTGTGGCCCCAAATCCAAACATGTCTTGGTTGTGTCCTTGATGGGCTTCACATCTGGTTGCAGCGTTCAGAGACTTGGCTTTGGTGCTCCCTAGGAGTTACACATTCCTGTGGTGCTTGATCATGTGCTTTCTGGGGCTCACATTCATTTAGTGCACACATTCATGTGCACATTCTCATAGTGCTCACTGGGGGTCACATACATACTTCTGGGGCCATGCTTTTGATCAGAGTACTCGCACAATTTAGGTTATGTTGCTTGCAGGGGATCAGTCACTTGAGTTGTGGTGCTTGGACAGGACTGGCTGTGCACAGACATCACATACTTTGTTCTATTGTCAGAGGTTAGATACTAGAATTGCTCAAACCATGTTTTGTGCAAGTAGGCTGTGCTGGAGATTTAACTCATGGTCTTGGTTTTGCAAGGCAGGGATTATTTTGTTTTTTTGGACACAGCAGTGTTCTGAGTTACTCCCATCTCACTGCATCCATCCCCTGTTATGCTCAGGGGACCATTCAGTGCAGGGTATTAAATTGGGGCTCCACATGCAAAATATGGGTTTCATCTCTTTGAACCATCTCCCTGGCTTTTAAGATGATTTAGTCATTGAGCCATCCCTGGGGCCTGAAAAAATAATTTTTCAAAAAAGTAACCTAAGAAATTGCAGCGTGTTTTCCTTCTGGAATTTGAATTTCATTTATAGTCACTTGGTTTTATAATCATTTTAATGTTTCATTATTTATATTTTTCAGGTTTCGCTATATCATCTTGAAGCAGAAATTTTTGGAAGCTTTATGTGTTAACAATGCAATGTCAGCAGAAGATGAGCCCCAGCATGTAAGGTTTTTATTCCTGAAGGTTTGCGCCATAGTATTGTTTCTGTCATGTTTTATTCGTTAAAGGAATAGATGAATATCATGAGTTTTCAAAGATTTTATGAGCTGGGGTGTCATAATTTTAGTCTAGTGCTTCTAAAGTTATTTTAGAAGATATGATTTAGAAATGATTTACAGATGATGTACAACTGGTCAGCTTGGGAGAATACACTCCTCTCTCCTTCAGGTGGCTTAGGGGCCAGAGAGCACCACCAAGAATGGCTCCTGACACAGAGCCAGGGATAAGCACTGCAGGTGTGGCTCAAAACCCCCACTCCCCCCCGCCCCAAAAGAAGTTTCAGTTTGTATGGCAATTTAATGGCATTGGACTGGAGAGATAGTATATCATGTAGGTCGCTAGTCTTGCACCTGAGCACCACCACGTGTGCCCCCCAAAAATAAAAAAGTTAATGGTATTAAATTATTTTGGGGATGGGGCCTAGAGAGATTGTATAGTGGGCAGGGTCCTTGCCTTGCACATTGCTGACCTGGGTATGATCACTGGCATCCCATATAGTTAGTCCCTCAAGCACCTCCAGGAGTAATTCTGAGAGCAGAGCCAGGAGTAACTCCCAAACATTGGCAAGTATGAAAAAAGCTGTATTGGTGTGTGTGTGTGTGTGTGTGTGTGTGTGTGTGTGTGTGTGTGTGTTGGGGGGAGGAGAGGGGGTTCTGTCTCTCTATCTCTTTTGTGCTTGGAATCAGTTAAACTCATTGTTCATCTGTGTAAACCATGTACTCTCCTGAGTTACATTCCAACCCACTAGAAAGTTACTTTAAAAGTTTTACAGTTTTTGTTTTTTAAGTTTTTGGGTCACATCCGGTGGTGCTTCGGAGCTGCTTCTGCTCTGTACTTGGGAGACCCTGTAGTATTAGGAATAGAACTCTGGGCTCCTGATTTCAAAGCAGTGCTCCATAGTTTCTACTTTGAAGTTTTTAGTTTTGGGGCTGGAGCAATAGTATGACACCCCATATGTGCCAGGTAGCAAACCAGGAGTGATCCTGCGCACGGAGTCAGGAGTCAGCCCTGAGCATTGCTGAGTGTGACCTGAAACCAGATTTTTTTTTTTTTTTTTTTTTGCGGGGGATCTTTGGATCACACCCACTGGTACTCAGTGCTTACTTCTGGTTCTGTGCTCAAGGATCACTTCTGGCAGGCTCAGGGGACCAGGGATTGAACCTGGTCTCACTGTGTGACAGGCGAGAGCTATCTCTCTGGCCCTCTACTCACGTATTAGTATTAGTTTTTAATACTAGTTTTGTCACATTCAAAACCAAGGAAATGATTATTGTCAGTAAATGTTTAGTAAAGAAAAGAATATTTTCTTGATGACCTTCATGTGTGAGGAGAAACATTTGCTAGAGAATAATTTTCAGTCGTGGAAAGAGGACGTGGAGAGATAGTACAGAGGTTTAGGTACTTGCCTTGCATTCATTTGACACTGGTTTGATCTCCCAGCTGTGAGTATGATTTCCTCAGCACTGAGCCAGGAGTAACCCCTGAGCACTACCAGATGTGGTTCAAAGGTCAAAAAATAATTAATGGCCCCAGAGTGATGGTGCAGCAAGTAGAACACTTGCCTTGTATCGTATATGGGCCCCTGAGCACCACCAGGTGTAATAATGCTAAGTGCAGAATACCTGAAGTAATCCCCGAGTGTTGCTGGATGTGTCCTAACTCCCCCCCCACCCCCCAAAAAAAGATCAGTTATTATCATCATGCATTTGAAAATGATAGTCTTAGCCTGAGTCAGCCATTTATTTTGTTCTAGTTGTTTGGTACCTTTAATTTTCAGTGGAAAATCAAATTTATGTTACTGAAATTGATTTGCTTTTTTTTTTTTTTTTTTTTTTTGCTTTTTGGCTCACACCCAGTGATGCACAGGGGTTACTCCTGGCTCTGCGCTCAGGAATTACCCCTGGCGGTGCTCAGGGGACCATATGGGATGCTGGAAATCGAACCTGGGTTGGCCGAGGCTAAGGCAAACGCCCTACCTGCTATGCTATTCCTCCAGCCCCTGCTGGGGTTTTTTTATGGATTTTTTTATTCTGATCATGAGAGTTTTGACATAGAGGTACAATCAACTGTACTTCCATTTTTGGGATGAAGATTATGCTAGTGTCATAAGACAAGTTAACAACTATTTTCTCTGGTTCTCTTTTCTGAAAATAGTTGTACTAAATTTGTATTATTTTTCCCAGAAATTATTGGTAGAATTACTGATGAATTCTTATAGTAGCATTTCTGGGATGTGACTGGAACACATATTTTTCTTTTATTTACTAATCATGTGGATCAATTCTGTTATTGTATCTTGTTAAATATTAAAATTGAGGAAATTTTAAGCATCTATTAATAATGGGCTGGAGCGATAGCCCAGCGGGTAGGGCATTTGCCTTGCACGTGGGTGACCCGGCTGACCGGGTTCGTTTCCTCTGCCCCTCTTGGAGAGCCCGGCAGGCCACTGAGAGTATCTCGCCCACACGGCAAAGCATGGCAAGCTGCCTGTGACGTATCCGATATGCCAAACACGGTAACAAGTCTCACAATGGAGATGTTACTGGGCCTGCTTGAGCAAATCGATGAACACAGTGCTACAGTGCAGTGCTAGTTGTTTGGTGCTATATCCCATCTGCTCAGGGACTCCTACAAAAGCAGAGCTTCCAGGTTGTTCGTGGTGGTGCTGAGTAAATCTGGTGCCAGGGGATCAAATCTGGGAATGGAATCTGGGCCTGCATGCAGTGCATCTGTACATGCTCTTTGAACCATCTTCCCAGCCATCTAATTATTTTTGTTTGTTTGGATTCAAGGCTAGCAATTCTGGGGCTACTCTTGGTTCTGCTTGGGATGGCTCCTGGCCTAGCTTGGGAGAACCATGTAGTGTCAGGGATTGAATTTGGGCCTCCTGTGTTTAGTAAAGAATATGCTCAGCCTTTTGAGCAGTCTCTTGGGCCTTTAACTTTTGTGGTATGTTTGTAGTGTCAGGGACCAATCCAAAATTTCACACACAGCAGGTGTGTGCTCTGCCTTTGAGCCATACTTAATTCTAGAACAGTATTCTCGAACACTTAAGTATTTGTTTGTTTTTGGGTCACACCTGGAAGTGTTCAGGGCTTTATTCCTGTTCTGTGTTCAAGGATTACTTCTGGGGGTGCTCAGGGGATCATATGTGCTGCCGGGGATCGACCTAGGTCAGCTGTATTTAAGGCAGGAACCCTACTCTCTGTACTGTTTTTTCATCCCCAAGAACAGTTTTTTAGGAGGAGAAGTGTTTTTGAGCCACTCCCAGTAGTGCTCCAGGGACCAAATCATGCCTAGGATTGAATCTAGAGCTCTTACATGCCAATTATATACTCTACTTCTTTGAAATCTTTCCCTGGCCCTAAATATTTTTGTTGGTTTTTGTTTTGTCAGTGTTTAGGGCTTACTCTCGGCTCTGTGCTCAGGTGTCACTCCTGATGGGATTAGGGGACCATAAGGGGTTCCTTGGATTGAACCTGGGTCAAAGTCATGCAAAGCAAGTGTCTTACCCTCTGTACTATCTCTCTGGTCTCGAGAATGTTTATATATAAAAAGTTAATGAATGTGCTAATTAAGTTATTTACTCTTTTTGTTTTAATGAGACCATTTTGGTTTCTAATTTGAAAGTTGTCACATGACCAATACATTTTCTTGGTTCTAGAGTTTAATTTTTTCACAATTAGTTTGTAATAGTTTGTAAAGTATTCTTTAAGTAAAATATTCATAGTTTTCATTTATCACAGCATTTCTCTATCTTGATTGCATGTTTTTCTTACAGCTGGAATTTACCATGCAGGAGGCTGTGCAGTGTTTACATGCCCTGGAAGAGTACTGTCCTTCGAAAGATGATTATAGCAAGCTCTGTTTGCTTTTGACTTTGCCTCGTCTCACCAATCATGCTGAGTTTAAGGACTGGAATCCCAGCACGGCACGAGTCCACTGTTTTGAAGAGGCTTGTGTTATGGTTGCAGAATTCATTCCTGCTGATAGAAAGCTAAGTGAGGCTGGTTTTAAAGCAAGTAATAATCGTTTATTTCAGCTTGTAATGAAGGGCCTGCTCTATGAATGTTGTGTAGAGTTCTGTCAGAGTAAAGCGACTGGAGAAGAAATTACAGAAAGTGAAGTGCTTCTCGGCATTGACCTCTTATGTGGGAATGGTTGTGATGATTTGGATCTGAGCTTATTGTCGTGGCTTCAGAATCTGCCATCTTCCGTTTTCTCTTGTGCTTTTGAACAAAAAATGCTAAATATTCATGTTGACAAACTTCTGAAACCCACAAAAGCTGCATATGCTGATCTGTTGACTCCTCTTATCAGCAAACTTTCTCCCTATCCGTCCTCTCCAATGAGAAGGCCGCAGTCAGCTGACGCCTATATGACCCGCTCTCTGAATCCTGCTTTGGATGGTCTCACCTGTGGACTCACCAGTCATGATAAGAGAATCTCAGACCTTGGGAACAAAACCTCTCCAATGTCACATTCATTTGCAAATTTCCATTATCCTGGTGTACAGAACCTCAGTAGGAGTCTCATGCTTGAAAATACAGAATGCCACAGTATTTATGAAGAATCCCCTGAACGGTAAGTATTTGCTCGCAAATACTTACCAAAAGAGATTGCCATAATCTTAAGCTATTTATTTAGATAATTTTTTCTTAATGTTTTAGACTCTGTAGTTGGAAAAGTTAATCCTTTAAGCTTTACAGAGGCTTTTAAATCTTTGAAAAATAAGTAACATAGGTTTATAGTATATAGTTTTCAGCATTATAAACCAGCATCTGTACTTACCACATTATATGCACTACCAAAGTATAGTTTCCATCCTTCACCTTGAAATTGATCCCCGTTATTATTATTGTTATTTTATATTTGTTTTCTCTGGGGCCATATTCAGCTGTGCTCAGGGCTTACTCTTGGCCGTGCGTGTAAGACCGCATGTGGTACTGAGATTCTAATGGGGTCAGCTACATAAAGGCAGGTGCCTGCCTGTACTGTTGCTCCAGCACCCTCCTTTACTTGATTTATCTATCCATCTTTTCCATTCCTTTTATATCATTATATTCTAAGAGTCTGAGTTTATTTTTGTATGTGTAATTTTTTTTGTTTTTTTCCCACATAGGAATGAAATCATATATCCTTTTTTGTTTTTGACTAACTCGTTTAGCATAATATTCTCAAAATTCAACAGTGTTGTTCCAAGTGTCAGTATTTTATATTTATTTTATTTTATTTTGTTACCTTAACTCAGGGAAAAAATTTCAGGAGGCAAACAGTGAAGTAAAATAAAGAGCTGATTACTGTTCTACTGTGTCTTTATCCCCCATCTTTATCCAGTCATCCATTGTTGGATGTTTAGGTTACCTAAGGCTTCTGACTCATCTGCTTCGAGTAATAGTGTGATGGGGGTCTAGGAATGACTCAGTGGCAGAAGGCACCTATCTTGCAAGTGTGAAGCTGCGAGTTCAGTCCTTGGTGCTGTCCACATGAACTGTGTGTCCTGGCAGCTCTGCTGTTTGGGATCCCTGATTCCAAAATAGAGCATGTAGTCTCTGACACGCTGTTACTAGTGTGTGATAGCACCACAGTTAAGGTTTCCAACCCTGGCAATGCTACAGCAAAGATGTACAGGGGGTGTGTGAGCACTACAACTAGAACGTGCATCAGTAGACAACTAAATGAGCTTGATCCTCAGAAGACATGTGTAAGCACTGCAGCTAAAGCGTGCAAACCTAGACCCAGCATGCAGGCACTGCTCCCAGTTGTCACCCCAGTAGTAGGGCAAAGGGAAGAGGGGAGGATGCCGCAGTGAACATGAGTGGCATACATCAATCTTTGGGTCAGTGTTTGCTATTTTTGTGTATTGCCAGGGATCAAACCCAGGGCATCACACATATCACACATGCAAGGCAAGTAAGTGGTCTCCTGGCTGAGCTATGTCCCTAAACTATTATGTCTTTTTTTTTTTCTGACAAAGGTAGTGTGTGTGTGGGGGGGGGGGGGGGGGAAGCACACCTGACTCTGCTTAGGGCTTATTCGGCTTATTTGGTTCTGTGCTTATTTGGTTCTGTGCTCAGGGCTCACTCCTGGTAGGGCTCAGGGCATCATATATGATGCTAGGATTAAACACAGATTGGCTGCGTGTAAGACAAATGCCCTGCTCTCTGCAGCGATGTAGTACTGCTTAACCTCGTGATGGTGGGGGCCACCCAGCAGTGCTCAAGGGCCATCAGGGCAGCACCCGATGATGGTCAGGGCTTTCAAGCCTGCTAGTGGCAGCACTGGGGTGGGACACATGGTTCCAGAGATTGAACTCAAGACTTTGCACATGAAAAACACACACTTTGAACTCCTGAGCCATCTCTCTGGACTCACCATATCCTTAAAAAAATTTTTTTGAGAGTGAGATACTTGATAACCCTGCCCCCTGCCCCCACATACTTTTTTTTTCCTGCCACGCCTAGTGGTGCTTGTGTGACTCTGTACTGCAGGGTTCGAACCCAGGACTACTGCATGAAATGCAGCCACTCCAGCCTGTTAGCCTGTTAGGCTCTCTCCCTGGCCCTATCATGAACTTTTGGCAGTTATATAATGTGTCTTAGAGACTTAATTTTACTTTGAAAAGTTAAGGTATTCTATTGAGTTTGTGGGCTTGTATATTAAATTTTCCAGGTTTGGGAAGTTTCCAACATTTATTTATTAGTTTATTTATTCACCACACCAAGTGGTGCTCAGGGGCCATATGGAATTCTGGGGAATGAACCTGGTTGGCTACATGCAAGGCAAGCACCTTACCCACTGTACTATCTCTCTGGCCTCTCAGCAATTATTTATTTGAATAATATCTCTGCTTCCCTTCTCTCCTCTTTCTAGTATATATATTAATCCTCTGGTGGCACATTTAACAAAGTCCAACAATTCTCATAGGATTTTTTTTTTTTACTTCTTTAAGATCTTAGTCCTTTTTCTTCCTTTGTTTGAATAACTTTCCAAATTTTTGTGCCCAACCTTGCTGTATTTCTCTTTTCCAGATATCTAACTGTTCTGCTTTAGTGCTGTCTTCTGTATACTGTATTTATTGAATTCTCCTCTCCTTTTTGACCCAATTAACCCACTAATGGGTACACAGGTGCATTGATTTCTCAAGTGCCCCAATGTGTTGTACAAAGGTGCTTTGTTCACTTTCAGGTATCCAGTTAGTTAGAAATTGAAAGGAAGAGAAAAAAATTACACTTACATGATGCTGATTTCACTCTCTAGGGAAAATACATATTTTTATATCAGTGTCATTTTATTAGTTGTAAATTCAATACCTGTGCATTGAAGAAGTTTTCTCATTTTTAGAAGAGTATGAGAATTAAACTGCTAGAGAACACCACATTTAGATAACCAGTATTTTTTTCTTTTCTTTTTTGGGGTCGCACCCAATGGTGCCTAGGACTGTGACTAGCTCTGTGCTCAGGAATCACTACTGGTGGGGCTTGGGGGACCATATAGGGTGATGGGAATTGAACGTGAGTCAGTCATATACCCTACTTGCTGTACTATTTCTCCTGTGCATCACCAGTACTTTTTTATGAATTTTTTTAAATTGGAAATACACAGTATATATTTTATAATATTTACTTAAAGAATTATAAATATTTTCCTATGTTCTTAAACATCTGTTGAGGCCAGTGATTAATGATGTGAACCATATTGAATTGTATGACCTTATCATCATTTAAATTTTTACCTAATTTGTAATTTTAGAAATTATACCTGTAAATCATATTATACACGTACATATTAAAATTTATTACTATTTCCTTGTATCTGTTTTAGTAATTCTTCTATAAATGATAAAGTAGGATGTTAAGGCCACCACTCAATGTTTCCTTTAAATCTGGCCTAAAATAGTAATTTCCTATTTAGCAATTCCTTACTTCAAGGGTTAAACTTCTGTCTCATTTTCTAAGAATATTGTATGGCTGATTTTCTATATGTAGAATTAACACTGTGAAGTATTACTTTTTTTTTTTTTTTTTTTTTTTTTTGCTTTTTGGGTCACACCTGGCGATGCTCAGGAGTTACTCCTGGCTCATGCACTCAGGAATTACTCCTGGCGGTGCTCGGTGGACCATATGGGATGCTGGGAATCGAACCCGGGTCGGCCTTTTGGCTGCGTGCAAGGCAGACACCCTATACGCTGTGCTATCGCTCCAGCCCCCTGAAGTATTACTATTGACCTTGTGGTATCTTGAACCCCATGAGGAATGATCTCTGAGTGAAGTCAGGAGTAAACCCTGAGAACTGTTGGATATGGCCAAACACACACACACACACATACACACACACAAAAAGAAAGAAAGAGGAAAGGGGAATTCTAGGGTCAGTTAAGCAAGAAGCCTTTGGGTGATTTCTTTTATTTTTTTCTTTTTGGGTCACACCCAGCAATGCACAGGGGTTACTCCTGGCTCTGTACTCAGGAATTACTCCTGGTGGTATTCAGGGAACCACCTGGGATGCTGGGAATTGAAGTTGGCTGTGTGCAAGGCAAACGCCCTACCAGCTCTGCTATCGCTCCAGCCCCTTGGGTGATTTCTTTTTTTTTTTAATTAGTGAAACACCATGAAGTACAGTTGTAGACTTACAAACATCATACTGCTGCTGTCTTTCATGCTTGACGGGTAGGGATCATAGGCAGTGATGAGAAAGAATAAGCATAGTTTAGTAACATCCTCTTAGCTAAATCACAGATGAATAGAATCCTGAGTATTAGAAGCTATCTTAAGCTTTTATTGGACTTTTTAATCCCTTTGAAGCAAGTTCTGATGTTTTCATAGCACATAAGATGACAGTAGTTTTTTTGTAGTATGATGAATGGCATGTTCAGACTTGCACACTATTGACTTTAGCAGGGATTGGGCCATACCTGGTGGTGCTCAGGGGTTTGCCCTGGCTCTGTGCTCAGCTGTGGTCTCTAGCCTGCTTGAGGGATCCTATGCAGTGCCAAGGACAAACTAGAGTCAGCTACGTGCAAGACAAGTACCTTACCTTCTGTGCTGTCTCTCTGGCCCATGAACTTTTGCTATTAATGAAAAAAGATTGGACTTTGTGGATGTCTTGGTGGGTAAAAGAGCCTGCCTTGCAAGTGTCAGGCCTAGCGCTACTCATATGTGCTGGGTGTAGTCCCAGTATGTCTTGGATCTCTGGTCTCTAATCCCAGTAAGTACCCAGTAAGTACCCAGTAAGTACTCTAATCCCAGTAAGTACCTAAGACTTGCATGAGCGCCACAACTAAAAGAGTGTAGCCCCTGGAGACCAGGTGTATGAACACTGCAACTCGTTGTGTGATCCCTGGCCAGTACCAGGGCCAAGTGAGTGCGAACACTGCAGCCGTATTTATGACCCAGGGTGGGTGGGGGAAATGCTAAAATATTCAACCAAATCTGACTGTTCATGTCATAGACACTGAGGAATGCCTAGATAAAGATGGGAAGTAGAGTGTAAGCTATTATTAGACATGAAATAAGCAAAAAGGTAAAATGTGACATGTGATAAAGTTGTTAAGACCTGTATTATTAGCTGAACTGTAGTGAGCATTTGTCATGTTTCTGATATTGGCAGAATCAAAGGCAGAGCAGTGAGGAATGATGAACAGAATGTGATTGATGGAATTAGATTTGGTTTTTAACAATAGTTTTGCCAATTACTGTGTCACCTGCACAGCTGTGTAACCTAGGGAGTTACTTAATCTCTCTGAGTTCCCATTACTCCCTCTCACTTAGCAAGTCAAGGGTGCTGACTTGCTAAGTGGGATAAAGTTCCTTAGAGTGACAAATATGTGATCAGAGCTTAATATAAATTTCTTCCTACTTTCAGTAAGGATAATGTGTCAGAATGGCTGCTAATAACATGTTTCGGCAGAGCTGCTTTGCAGTGCTTTGGATAAAGTACTAAAATTTTACTTGGAGGGGCTTTGAGCACCTCCTCTCTAAGCATGAGGCTGATAGTTTGATCCTCCCCGTGTGCCACGGTGCATCTCGGCACACTTTCATTTGGAGTTCCTGACATCACAGCAGAGTGTGGCAGTTGTAGAGCCCCACATGCCAGTGTGTACAGGCATTGCAGTGAAGTGTGTGTCACCCAGTGAGCTTCAGCTGAAGTGTGCAAGCACCACAACTCAATGTGATGGTCCCGTGAGCATGTGTGCAAGGGTTGAAACCAGGCGTGTGAAACTCTTGGTCATTCTAGCAGCAGCAGCAGAATGGAAGGAAGGGGGAAAACATTTTGTTTGGAGAAAAGTTTACCCATTTTTTGAGGGGGAGATACACAGCCTGTGGGGCTTGGAACTTGCTTCTGGGATACTTGGGAGGCCTGATGGTATCAGAGTTTGAACCCAGGCTTCCTGCATGTAAAGCATGTGCCCAGTCCCTTGAGCTATTGCTGAAGTCTGTAAAATTTGTTTTGTTTTAAAAGCATTTATAATATTGGGAAACTCGATATTGAAGATGCTACATAAAGAGACTCCTACTTGTAGGTAGTACATTTTTGAAGCTAGAGTTGAAAAGTATTTGTATCTAACTGCAAGTTGGAGATAAAATGGTGTTTCTCTTAGAGTGACAAATATGTGATCAGTGCTTAATATAAATTTCATAGCTATAGTAAACGAGAAGTTCAGAAAGAAACCTAGAAAGGAAGGTGTGATATTTTGAGGACTACCTTTTCATTCAAATAGACGCAAAAGCAAAATCCACTGAAATTCTATGTAATCTTTGACTATTTCGTGTAGTAGTCTCAAAATTAAATAAAGGTAAAAAAAGGTAAAGGCCCTCCCGTTGATCGTCGATTTGCTCGAGCGGGCCCAGTAACGTCTCCATTGGAGACTTTGTTGTTACTGTGTCTGGCATATCGAATACTCTCGGTAGCTTGCCGGGCTCTCCAAGAGGGGCAGAGGAATCGAACTCGGGTCGGCCATGTTGGCCACTTGTAAGGCGGACGCCTTACCCGCTGTGCTGGGCTGGAGCGATAGCACAGCGGTAGGGCGTTTGCCTTGCACACAGCCAACATGGCCGACCCGAGTTCGATTCCTCCGCCCCTCTCGGAGAGCCCGGCAAGCTACCGAGAGTATCTCGCCCGCACGGTAGAGCCTGGCAAGCTCCCCGTGACGTATTCGATATGCCAAACACAGTAACAGTAACAACAAAATTAAATGGCAAAAAAAAAAAAAACCAAAATAAAACGAAAGTATTCTCCGACTTGGACAAACATTGGATTGGAGTCTGAAAACATGGATTCAAGTTCAGTTTAATTTGGGCCGGAGTGATAGTGCAGCTGATAGGGCATTTGCCTTGTGCACGGCTGACCCAAGTTTTATCTTTGGCATCCCATACAGTCCTCTGGGTCCTGCAAGGAATGATCCCTGAGCAGAGAGCCAGGAGTAAGTCCTGAGCACCACCCCTGGTTGTGGCTGCCAAAACAAAAATTATCTAACCAAGCTTAGTTTGATTTTAGTAGCTATGCTGTTGTAGAACAGGCATTTTCTTTTAATGTTTTCTGTCTATGAAATGGGAGTTATAGCGTATTTCACAGATTATTGTGCAAGATAAAGGAAATAGTGTGTACGAGTGCTTTTTAAATTGCAAAATTAAATTTAGTTTTAAATGAAAGTAATTTTATTAGCTATATTAATAACTCTTAAAATATTTGCACAGCATATTAAAAACTTCCTTGAGCCTTTTTCTTGTGTACCTCAAAAACAGCTATTTAGTTCTGCTTTTCTGAACCCTAGATTTTAGATTGATATTTTATTGCTATCTCTCTCACTTGTGCTCTCTCTCCTTTTGTGTTTTGGGGCTATACCCAGCTGTGCTCAGAGCTAGGTCTTCACACTGTGCTCAGGGATCACTCCTGGTGGTACTCAGGGGACCATGTAGGGTTTCTGGATCAAACCTGGGTCAGTCATGGGTACCCTTTCACTTGGCTGCTGTCCAAGCAAACACCTTAGCCACTGTACTATCTCCCTAGCCACTGAGGCTCTAGATTTGAGCGTTAATGTTCTTCTGCCTGGAGAGGCCATTATAAGTCCTTGGTGTAATTAAATTCCACCGAAGCAGTGATTGCTTTACTTTTGTACTTACTCCTATGGCGTACCATAACATCTAGAAATTGCTGCTATTTTAGAAAAATATCACAAGAAACATAAAATATGATGTCAAATTTACTAACTAGCTTAAATTAAAAAGTAAGCATTTCTTGAGTTTTTATGTTAAATGCAAATAGACAAAAGGAGGTGCTGGAGAGACTGTATAGGGGTTAAGGCACTTGCCTGGCATGCAGTTGACCTCAGTTTGATCACTGACACAGTGTGGGCCGGGAGCACAAAGTTGAGAGTAGGCCCCGAGCACCACTGGTGTTCAAAACGAAGCACAAACAGAATAGACAAGGAAGCCTTTTAATAAAATGTCAGTAATTTAAAAATTTTGCTCAGAGGCTGGAGCGATAGCAGAGCGGGTAGGGCATTTGCTTGCATGCGGCCGACCCGGGTTCGATTCCCAGCATCCCATATGGTCCCCTGAGCACCGCCAGGAGTAATTCCTGAGTGCAAAGCCAGGAGGAACCCCTGTGCATCGTGGGGTGTGACCCAAAAAAAGCAAAAAAAAAAATTTTTTTTTTTTTTTGCTCAAATGGTTTTGGTTTGTTTTATTTTGGGCCATATCTGGTTGTGCTCAGGGCTTACTCCTGGCTCTGCACTTATGAAACACTCTTGGCAAGCTTGCAGGGGACCTTATGGTGTGCTTGGTATTGAACCTGGGTTGACTTGGTGCAAGGTGGGTACCTTATCTCTGCAGCCCTCAAATTTTTCTTAAGTTATTTAAAGGAAAAATTAATGTTTCAATAACAAAATCACTGGTTAAGAATCCATTAAGGGCGAGAGAGAGAGAGAGAGAGAGAGAGAGAGGTGGTTAAGATGCTTGCCTTGCATGTACCCTGGCACTGCCACATATGAACCCCCAGCCTTGCTAAGGAGTGATCCTTGAAAGCAGACAGAATTATTCCCTGAACACTGCCAGGTGTGGTCCAAAGAGCAAAATAAGATTCATTAAGAGAATTTAGATATTGTGTTATCATACTTATAACTCAGTTTACAGATAAAATTGAGCCAAGAGAATATAAATGATTTTCCCAAGGACATATATCTTATTATAGATGGAAATCTATAGCTTTAAAAAAAATTGAATCACTGTGAATTACAGAGTTACTCATAATTGAGTTTCAGGTATAATAGGTTCCTGGGACACCAAGCCCTTCCATCAGTGTTCACTTCCCTCCACCAATGTCCTCATTTCCCCCTCACCTCCACCTCCCAGCCTGCCTTCCTGGCAGAAATGTGTATCTTACTATCTTCTATATAGGACTACCTTCTTGTTAATAATCTAGTGCTTTTCTGTTATAAATACATTATAACCTGTGGCATGCTTAAGAAGATTTATTTTAGCATGTATAAACACCTAGAGAAAATATTTATTATTTTAAATTACTTTCAACTGAAAAACACTTCCTCTTCCTCACCTCTTCATTTTTTTTTTTTTTTGTGTGTGTGTCTTTTGGAAGGAGTGATACACCTGTTGAGACACAGCGGCCTATTAACAGTGAAACCCTGGGCCAGAGTTCAGCTGCAGAAAAAGAACCTGCAAATGGAGCACAAGATCCAGGACCAGCTAAGCAAGAAAAAAATGAGGTATAATTGCTGTATCTAGTGTCTTTTAGAGTTAGTTTTGTAAGGAATAAATAGCATTGCTTGATAGAATTTAAAGAGTTTTGAAATTTGTAAGTAGGGGAAAGTAAAATTTATTAGTAGCTTTTTCTCCCCTCTTCCTAAATAGTACAGATGTTTTATATGTAATTGTGTAATGTGTAAATTTTAAACAGATAAATTTATTAACAATATAAAATACCACAACTGATATTAATCTTACATGTTTTAGGGTTCAAGTAATTCAACTCACATTAAATGTGAATAGTTTTTATTTTTGAGTTTCGTATTTTGTCTACTACTAATTGATTTAATAACCAGAAAGTTATGATACTTGGGCTGGAGTGATAGCACAGCAGGTAGGGCATTTGCCTTGCACGCAGCCGACCTGGCTGACCCAAGTTTGGTTTCTCCACCCCTCTTGGAGTGCCTGGCAAACTTCCGAGAGTATCTCGCCCGCATGGCAAAGCCTGGCAAGCTACCCATGACGTATTCATATGCCAAAACACAGTAGCAACAAGTCTCACAGTGGAGATGTTACCGGGCCCGCTCGAGCAAATCGATGAACAATAGGAAAACAGTGCTATGATACTTACAGAATAATCTAAGCATTTGATTTCCAGATACTTTTCCCGTTGGTGTTTTGAAAAAAATTTTATTAGAGGGTATAATTTTTTTCTTATATAGAGTTCCATGTATAAAGAATTTCTTTTTTGTGGATGGGCTGGGTGGTACACCTGACAGTGTTGAGGGCTTCTGGCCCTGTGCTCAGGGATAACTCCTGGTGGTGATCAGGGAACCATATGGGGTACAATTCTATTCTCTCTCTCTCTCTCTCTCTCTCTCTCTCTCTCTCTCTCTCTCTCTCTCTCTCCCCTCCCCTCCCTCTTCCCCTCCCCTTCTCTCCCCTCCCCTCCTCCCTTTTCTTTCCTTCCCTCCCTTTTCTTTCCTTCCCTCTCTCTCTCCCTTCCTCCCTTCCTTCCTTTTTCTTTTTTTTTTTTTGGGGGGGGTGCTGGGTTTGGAACCACACCTAGCTGTGCTTGGGGCTTAGTGGCTCTGTGATCAGGGATCTTCCTGGTGGGGCCCAGGGGACCATATGGGGTGCCGGGTTTTGATCCTGGGTCTACTGTGTGCAGGGCAAGTGCCATACTTTAGAAGTCAATCTTCAACAAAATATTGGTAAGCCAAATTCCAAAGATGCAAGAGTGGTCAAAAAAAAAGAAAACCAAAAACTAAAAATCAGTCATGCTAAAGAGATGGTACAAAATTAAAGTGCTTGCCTTGCATCTCACCAACCTAGTTCAGGATCTCAGTTTAAATCCTTGAGACTGCGTATATACCCTGAGCACCTCCAAATGTCACTCCTAAGCACAGAGCCAGTGGACTAACGACCTTGAGGTTAGACCAGAATATATAAAATATATTGAAGAAAGTATCAGCAGAACTCTCTAGGAAATTGACCTCAACAGTGTCTTCAACACAGTGACCATAGAAGCAAAGACAACAAAACAGAAACGAATGTGACCACATAAAATTAGAATCTTTTGCACAACAAAAGAAAGTAAAGTAAGTCTATATTAAAACGACACCCTACTGAATGGGAGAAAATTATTTGCACACAGTATACCAGTAAAGGGATAATATTCAAGATCTGTCTATAAAGCAGTTACAGAGTTCAACAACAAAAATATCCACTGACCTCATCTAAAGATGGGGAGAGGAAATGGACACTTTCCCAAAGAAGACATACGAAAGCCAGGAGGCATATAAAAAAATTCTCATCACTCATGATTACAAATACAAATCAAAACAACATTGTGATATGACCACATGCCATATCAAAAAGTCTGGAAACTGGGCCAGAGCCTTAGTCCAGCCGGGAGGGAATTTTCCTTGCATGTGCCAACCTGGGTTTGATGCCTAGCATCCTTTATGGTTCCCTGAGCACCACTAGAAGTAATTTCTGAGTATGAAGCCAGGAGTAAGTCATGACCATCGCTGGGTGTCACCCAGAAAAGCCAAACCCCTCCTCCCCGAAACCCCAAATTAACAAATAAAACCCGTGGTGAGAAAGGAACTTTTATGCACTGTGGGTAGGAGTGTTGTTTGGTACAGCCACTAAAGAAAGCCATATGGTGGTCTCTCCAAGATATGGGAATAGAACTCTCATACAACTCATTGATACCACATCTTGGCATATGTCTCCTAAACACAAAACATCAGATCGAAAGGATATATGTGTGCCTAGGTTCATTGCATCACTTAGTACAATATCCAAGATGTGGAAAATATTCTAATGCCCAACTGGGGATGAATGGATCAAGAAATTGTGGTATATACACAATGGAATACTATGCTGCTCTAAGAAAAGACAAAATCATGCAGTTTACCTCAACATGGATAGAACTGGAGGATATCATGCTGAGTGAAGTCAGAAGGAAAGGGAGATTGATCTCTCTCATATGTGGAACTTAAAGAGAAACAGCAGTAGGGAACAGAGAGATAGTACAGTGGGTAGGGTATTTGCCTTGCACAGGGCTGACCTGGGTTTGATCCCCAGCATCCCTTATCATCCCACAAGGAGTAATTTCTGAGTGCAGAGTCAAGAGCAGCCCCTGATTATCATCAGGTGTGACCCAAAAAGCAAAAAACAAGAACAAAAACAAAAAAAAAGATACACAGCAAAGTAGCAACAAAGGGCCAAAGGCAACACAACCAGAAAGCTGATCTACACAAGTCAGCTGGGGGCTGTTGAAGGAAGGGGCTTTGGGAACCTTGTTGGAAGGCAGAAGGTTCACTGGCACTGGGTATGGTGTTGGAATTACACATGGGAAATCGTTGTTGATAGTATTGTAAATCAGTCAATGAAAATTTAAAAAAACACAATGACTTTGGTAGTCCATTTGAAAAAATAAAATGAAATAAAAGCATTGGAAAATAAGTATTGCTGAGAATTACAGAAAGTTGGACTCATACTTGGCTGATTTATTTTATTTTGGGGGGGGTGTTGGGCCACACTCAGAGCTGCTTGGGGCTTACTCCTGCACTCCAGGATTACTCTTGGCAGGCCTAGGGGACCAGATAGGGTACCCGGGATCAACCTGGGTTGACTACTTGCAAGGCAGGCACCTGACCCCGTTGTACTGCCTCTCCATCCCTCAGACATTGCTGACTTAGAATGTAGGGTGGTCACTTGGTTTAAGCCAAACATAGGGACTAGAGAAATAGATCTGTCTCTGTCATTTCATATCTTATGTTCCCTAGACTGACAGGATTGAGTAACCCTTGATTGTGGAGGTAGGAGTAAGCCTTGAGCACTGCTGGGTGTGGCCTCCCCAAAAAAACAAAACAAAAAATGAAATAAAAAAGCTCAACATGTCATATGACCCATAAATTCCACTCCTAGATAGCCATAAACACTGAAAGCAAGAAGTCTGAATAGTTACCTGTAACTACAGATTAATAGCAGCATTACTTTTTGTAGCCAGAAGGTAGAAACAAGTCTACTCACTGATAAATGGATTAGCAACAGTACTATATCTATACAGTGGAATATTACTGAATCTTAAGAATAGCATTCTGACCTTCACTACTATTGGATGGACCTTAAGATAGCCTGAGTGAGATAAACCTGATATAGTAGGACAGGTATTGTATGATTCTGCTTATGAGATATCTAGACTAGGCAAATTTATAACAGTGGAAAGTAGAATAGAGGTTACCAGAAGCTTAGGGGAGGGAGAAATGAGGAGTTTCTGTTTAATGGTTGTAGTTTCTGTCTGGGGTAATGAAGCTTTACAAGTAGACAGTAATGATTGTACAGTATTGTGGATATAGTTGTAATTATTGCCACTGGTTATATTCTTCAAGTGGTTATAATGACAAATTTTATATTTGCTGGGGGGAGGGAGTGGGCCACACCCTGGGGTGCTCAGGGCTTACTTCTGGCTCACTGCTTGGGGGACCATATGGGGTGCTGTGGATTCTAACAGAGGTCAACTGCATGCAAAGCAAGCTACGTCCTCCTGTACTACATAGCTCTCTGTCCCTGAGAGACTTTTTAACAGACATATAGACTAATTTGTCTCAATTTATTGGTGTGAGTTATAGAATAGAGCGGGCTTATTACTCTAGAAAAGGGGGACAGTTTTAGTTAGCTCTGCCACCTCTTGATTATACTCAGTGTTCGCCAATTTTTGAGACAGTTAATTTGATCCAGGGTAACCCCAGTGCATGTGAACCATGGAATACCACCAGGGTCCAGACAGGGAAGTCTTTCTTTGCCAACAGTGGTATTAATTTTCTAAGTCCTGAGCATTTGAGCACTAATTCTTTTACAAGAGTTAAGGATGTTGAAACTGTTAGGTTTAACACTCATCTATTCTGCTTACTTTTGAAAAGCAATATGAAACCTGAATTAAAATACTGTTTTTGAGGGAAATTGTCTGTTTATTTATAGAATCACCTGTTAAACCATTTACATGCTTACATGAAATTTTTGGACAAGTTTAATAGTGTTTATTAAGTATTAATGCAGTTTGTTAAGTCTTTTGTGTTGATTTGGGGGCCACATCAGCTGTGTTCAGGGCTTACTCTTGATTTTGTGCTCAGGGATTCATTCTGGAGACAATATGTGCCAGGGATTGAATCTGAGTCAGCAAGCACCTTATCTGTTGTATTATCTCTCTGGCCTCTTAATAAGTATTTATTGAAATAATATATGTGGTTCTTATCTACATATTTCATATTATCTAATCCTATCCTTATGGCAGCTATGATTTTCATTTTTTATTCGCATTAGTCAAGTATCCCAGAATAACCATTCATGTTAGTTTCTTGTTGAAGGATAAAGCAAATTAACTGATCTACATAACTCTTTTTTTTTTTTTTTTTTTTTTTTTTGCTTTTTTGGGTCACACCCGGCTATACTCAGGGGTTACTTCTGGCTCTGCACTCAGGCTGTATCCTCAGTTATGGTCTGCTAAAATATATAATTTTTTCTAATATTTTTAAGCTTCGAGATTCAACAGAGCAGTTTCAAGAATATTATAGGCAAAGATTGCGCTATCAGCAACACTTGGAACAGAAGGAGCAACAGCGACAGATATACCAACAGATGCTGCTTGAGGGAGGGGTCAATCAGGAGGATGGTCCTGATCAGCAACAGAATCTTACCGAACAATTCCTTAATAGGTTGGTGTACTGTTTGATCACTTTTTAAGAGACAGAGAAGTTTTATAAGTTACTAACAGCATGCAGTAATATGGTTTGAAATTTTAGGACTTTTTACACATTTCAAGTTACATGGAGTTACTGTTTTCCAGTTAAAACTTTCTGATGGCTCAACTGGTTTTATCCTTCCTTTTAAGCATCCTCTGACATCCCAGTACTGAGGGCAGAAGAATGGGGTGGTTCAGAGAAAGTCTGTGCTGGTAGCAGCCAGCCAGGGATGGAGTTCTGTCTCAGAGTAACTGAGCACCTAGGGAAGGTTACTTAGCTTCATTTTGCCTGTTGTTTTATCTCTTTCACTGAGTTACCCTGAAGATTAAGCGTGGTAGTCAGTATAAAATGCTTACAGCATTACCTGACTCGTAGTAAGTACTATGCTAAGGATTGCAAAGCCTGGCAAGCTACCCGTGACGTATTTGATATGCCAAACACAGTAACAATTGTCACAATAGAGGCGTTACTGGGCTCGCTCGAGCACATCGATGAACAACGGGAGGACAGTGACAGTAACTTTATAAAATGTTTGGTCATCTGTATCAGTCTTTTAGTGTGATTAATGTGATTCTTTTAGTTTGGTTTTTTCTTTTTGTGATGCTGGGTCTTGAACCCAGGGTTTTAACATGTGTGGCATGTGCTCTGCCACTGAGCCATGTCCTAATACCTTAAGTTTTTATTTAAAAATAATTGCATTGTTTTGTTTTACAGGTCCATTCAAAAGCTTGGTGAATTAAATATTGGAATGGATGGCCTTGGTAATGAGGTACCAGCACTAAACCAGCAATGCAATGGAAATAAAGGCAATGGTTCTAATAATTCTTCTATGACAAGTTTTACTACACCACCCCAAGACTCGAGTCAGAGATTAACACACGATGCCTCAAATATCTACACAAGCACCCCTCGAAGTTCTGGGTCAACAAATCATATACCTTTTCTTGAGGAATCACCTCCTTGTAGCAACCAAATGTAAGTGATTTTTAAAAACTGCAAATATTAGCTTCTCTAGCTAAAGAATAGAAGCATCATAAAAGTTGAATCTCTCTTCTCTCTCTGTATCTGTCTCTCTGTCTCTGTCTGTCTCTTTCTCTCTCTCCCCCTCCCTACCTTTTGTTTTTTGGCCCATGCCCAACGATACACAGTACTTACTCCTGGCTCTGTGCTCAGGTGTCACTCCTAGTAATTCTTGGGGAATCATAACGAGGTGCGGGGGATTCAACTGGGCTCAATTGCTTGCAAAGTAAGTGATTATTGCCAGAAGTAATCCCTGAGCACAAGGCCAGGAGTAAGCCTGGAACACCAGATATGGCCCAAAAAGAAAAAGAAAAGCTGATTATTGTCCTTATAAAAGAAGTTATTAGGTAGAAACATTGTGTGACCCTTTGTTTTTCTTGGGACAGATAGTTTCCTAAAGAGTGATTTTGGAAAAAAAAATGAATAGGGGCCAGAGTGATAGTACAGCAGGTAGGGTGTTTTTGCCTTGCACGGGGCCAACCTGGGTTCAATCCCTGGCATCATATATGGTATCCTGAACACCGCCAGAATAATTCCTGAGTGCAGAGCAAAGAGTAACCCCTAAGCATCGCTGGGTGTGACTCAAAAAGCCAAAAAGAAAAAAGAAAAGATCTTCTTTTGGTGGGGAGTTTGGACTATACCTGGTGCTGAGGGTTTATTGTGCTCAGGGATCACCCTTGGTGGGGCTTGGGAGGCCTAGTGTAGTGCTGGAGAGTGAACTGGTCAGCCTTGTGCAATATAGCGCCTTCCCTGCTGTGCCAGATCTGTCTCCTAAGGACCAGTCTTAAGTGTCTGGGTGGGATAGGATTTATTCTTAGCAGCCTGGGTCTGGAACTAAATGGGTTACTTGCCGTCTAAATGTAAATGGACTTGGTCTTAACCTCCTTCTTACATTGACTGCTTGCGGTCTCCTTGCAGCCATGCTTGGTATCCCTGACCCAGTATTCCCAGTCCGCAGTCAGAGAGAGCACTGAGTCCGGTCAGAGAGTGAGGGCCATTTGCCCCTTTTCTCAACTACTATGAGATTGAAAGGATAAATTAATTTGGTGTTTGTTTTGATGTTAAAATCAAACTTTTCTTAATTTATATTTAAATAGCTCATCAGAACATTCGGTCATTAAGCCAGCTCTTGGAGATTCTTCGGGAACTCTATCAAGGTCAAGAGGGGAAGAGGTAATATTTCAGGGAAGGAAGTTTCACTGTGTTTTTGTATACTTGTGATTTTTGTTAATGCTGGTATATCACTAGTGACTTTGGCAAAGCTGTTGATGCTGTGTACTATTCTCAGAACTCTGGTTAATTGTCTGACTGTTGGTATTCTCATCACTGTGTCTAGTTTTTGCTTTAAGACAAGCATTCTGCCTTAACTAGTGTATATGCAGCATCACTCTATTCAGATTTTAACCCCACAGACAAAGGCAGTATTTCAGATACTTAAAAAAATCAGAAAGTATCAAATTAACCTTTTTTGTGGTTGAATAAACAGGATTATTTGTCCCTTGCCCAATGAAATACACTGGCTTTATGTTTCCATTTTTTTTAGGTTTTCAAGAAATACTAGAAATGCAGTTTTTTTTTTTTTTGATTAGATTGTTTCAATAAAAGATTCGCCACTATTATTTAGAGTTTACCCCCCCCCCCCCAAATCAGACATGCTGAAAAAGCATTGTGAAGTGATTTGCTTTCTACAGCTGGGTTCAAGAATTAAATGTTGGTTTTGGATTTCTGCTATTTTACCTATTGACCCTGGAAGTATAGAAATGCAGTTTTATGTCAAATCTATTTTTAGTGTTTTGGGTGGGTGGTTTGAGCCACATCCAGAGATGCTCGGGGTTATTCCTGGTTCAGTAGTTTCTCCCTAGCAGTGCCCAGGGCACTGGCAGTGGTCCTGGGGGTTAAACTGGGGCTGGTTGGTTGCAACACAAATGTGTTACCTCCTGTACTATCTCTCTGACCCCCTGAAATCTTTTTAAATGACAACACATTTTTTTTTAAGTTTAAATTTTTAACAGGTTAGAGAAGAACAAATAAAGTTAATTTGTATCTTTATTCCTTTTTCTTTTTTGCTTTTTGGGTCACACCCAGCTATGAACAGGGGTTGCTCCTGGATGATGCACTCAGGAATTACTCCTGGCGTGCTCAGGGGACCATATGGGATGCTGGGGATCGAACCCAGGGTGAGCCGTGTGCAAGGCAAAAGTCCTACCTGCTGTGCTATCATTCCAGCCCCTTCTTTTTCTATAAAGCAACTATTATTAACTTTTATTAGTGTGTTGTGGTTTAATTATTTATTACTCTTCCTGTTCTTTATCTATTTGTGCTTTTCATTTGGCAGTTGTAGATTTCAATATTTGGATTAATGAAACAATATGATATTCCTAGTCAAATAAATTCATACAAATAGTGTCAGAATTCAGTTCTATAGACCAAACACAGTGATGCATGAGATTTACATTCCCCACCCTCCCCCAAGGATATATTGCATATATACAAAGAAGCTTGGATGGGAGAGGCTTGCCTTTACATGCGTGCTTGGCATCGTACTTCCCAAGGACAGGATTTGCTTGTGTCTGACTACACCGGGTCTTGTGGTTTTGTTCCAGGTCCAGACGTGGGAGCAGGAGAGCAGGAAGGTTTCAAGTGCCAGTAGCAGGAGTCACCAAAGCTTTTATAGAGAACTATTTCAACTTGGTTTCCTGTGAACAGATAGCTTGTCAGTTTAAAATAAAAATGAATGACTGGGAGATGGCCAAGGACTGAAACGTGTGTCTTGCATGAGACGCTCTCAAACTTGATCCTGCACCTCCGGGTGTGGTTAGGTGGCCCCCCAGTGACATTGGCTCAGAGCACAGCATCTTCAGGCCCACAGAGCTGGGCCAGATATTGCTGGGAGTGGACATGGGTCTCCTGATGAGCACTGTGTGGGAGATATCCCGTCCCCCCAAAAAAGCTTAAAGTTCTAATTAAAATAATATTTAATTCTAAAAGGATAAAAATATCCTTGCTTTTCATCTTGAATTCCACAATTTACAATTTCACCTAGAAATATTGGGGGTTTTTTGGGTGGTGGGAGTTGGTTGGACTGATCAAGTGGTGTTCAGTGATGCTGAGTCAATTGTGTGGGTCTTTCCTGGTGATTCTGAGCTCAGAGGTGTGAGCCTGATGTGGAGGGGTCCCCTAGCGGTGGTGAGAGAAAACAGACTCGGGACTCAAGTGTCCAGGGCTTGCATCCAGCCCTTTGACTTATCTCCCTGGCCTTGGAATACTTGCCACTGAGTGAACCACAAACATTTCTCTTTTATTCTGAATGGATTAGGTTATAGTACTCTATACTTTCTATTGTTACAAACACAATTAAGGCTGTGTTGTTTTTGTAAGGGCGTTTATATATGCGGGCTAAGTTTTTATCTTGGCAGTGAAAGAAAACTTACTATCCTAAGAATGTAATCTTTTATTTTGTTATAGTAAGCAAAAAAAATGTGAATGAGCAACTTGAGCTTTAAATTTAGCAGTGAGTAGTAAAATCTAAATAAGATTTGGATTGATTTGGAATTGTCATTAAAAGTATAGGTAGAAAACATCAAGTGCCAACTGTTCACGTGAATCTGATATGGGATAAAGATGAGTTCTTTCAAATTTATTCTTTTTCAAGGAATAACTTTCATATTGTTGTTTTTCTAGGATGACAAATCAAAAAAGCAGTTTGTTTGCATTAATACTCTAGAAGACACACAAGCTGTTAGAGCAGTGGCTTTTCATCCTGGTGGTGGTTTATATGCTGTTGGATCAAATTCAAAAACTCTAAGAGTATGTGCCTATCCAGAAGCAATTGATCGAAGGTAAGGATAGATGGTTTGTACTGCCAATCCTACTTTAATTTTTAATGTAGCTATTCTGGACTCCATTTCAGAATTCCATTGAGTTGTTTGAATTTTTGTTGTCTTTCCTTTTTAAGGTTTTAACAATTACTATTATTATTTTTTTGGTAAAGTTAGGGATGGCAGCCAGAGCCTGAATCATGTAAGACTCGTGTTCTGTTCTTGAGCCACATCTTCAGCCCTTCTTTGATTAGGCTTTTCAACTTGTATTATTTGCTTTTTGGGTCACACTTGGCAATGCTCGAGGGTTACTCTTGGTTCTGCACTCAGAAATTACTCCTGTCAGTGCTTGGGGGATCATATGGGATGCCAGGGATCAAACCTTGCCTGGCTGAGTGCAAGGCAAATCCTCACCCTGCTGTACTGTCACTCTGGCTCCTTCAAATATTTTTACTAATGCTTAGGAAATATACATGAAAATATATTTAACGATTTTTTTTTTTGGTTTTGGGGTCTTACCTGGCGATGCTCAGGGGTTACTCCTGGCTCTGCACTCAGGAATTACTCCTGGTAGTGCTTGGGGGGACCATATGGGATGCTGGGAATTGAACACGGGTCGGCCACGTGCAAGGCAAATACCCTACCCATTGTACCGTCGCTCCAGTCCTGATTTTTTTTTTTTAATATTTCTTTGGGGAAACCAAGTAAGGCTCATGCTTGCATGTCCCTAACCTGGTTTTTTAGGCCTCATCAGAAGTGATCACTGCATACAGAGCCAGGAATAAGTCGAGTGGGGTGCCTAAGATACTTATTTCTTTTGGGCAGTTGTTCAGTTCTCCTCCTCCTCCTCTTTCTCCCAACCCCCAAGTGGGTAAGAGTGGGTAAAATGTTTGCCTTGTACATGGCCAAACCCAATTCAATGCTGGCACCACATATGGTCCCCAAGCACTGCCAGGAGTGATTCCTGAGCATAGGGATAGGAGTAAGCCCTGAGCACTGCAGAGTATGGCCCCAAAGCCAAAATAAAAACAACCGCCCTTCCCCTGCAAAAATAAAGCCAAAAATCCCCAACCAGAATAGAATCTTTAGTTTAGCTTTTGCATACTCTTCATATGTGGGAGGCCCAGGTTTGTTCCTCAGTATCACATGGTCCCCCATGCATTGCTGGGAACAACCCTGGACTACGGAGCTAAGAGCATCACTTGAACACAACTGGGCCAGCAAAAAAAAAAAAAAAAGCTATTCTTTTAGCTAGTCTTGTTTCCATCACATTTTTGGGGACGTGCTGGTATGGCACTTCTCAGTGGCTATCCTGGCTCTGCTCAGGGTCACTCCTGGCAGTACTAGAGGATCATATATTATGCATATATTATGCAGGTATGGCACCTTACCTCTGTACTTAGCCCTTGAACACCAGCCCACTTGTATTATTTATTTATTATTTTGCTTTTTGGGTCACATCTGGCGGTGCTCAGGGGTTACTCCTGGCTCTGCACTCAGGAATTACTCCTGGCGGTGCTCAGGGGACCATATGGGATGCTGGGAATTGAACCTGGGTTGGCTGCGTGCAAGGCAAATGCCCTACCCACTGTACTATCACTCCAGCCCCAGGTATTATATATTTAATAGTTACTAAACTTTTTGAATTTGGGAGCATTATTGCCCTTTAAAAAATAATTTTGCTTTTTTTTGGGGGGGGCCAGAGATTAAACTTAGGGCCATACATAGCCATGCAGGGCAGTGCTGTACTCTGAGCTGTATTCTTGACCCTTTACTTTTATGTGTTGAGTTAAAGTTTATTTTTTTAAAATGTGAAATAGAGCCTTTAAAAATATCCTATTCCCCTTTTTTCATCCCCCAAGCTGAGCTGGTCTCTTTTCCCAACCCAGCAGATGTGTTAACTTCACCAGGATAAAAAATAAGCAATTGCTCAATCAATAATTCAGTAAATAAATGTTAGATCAAATAAAAAAAATATCCTATTCCCTGTGTGGTCTGAGGTTAGAGCTTATTGTAAATATGATTTATAGTTTTACTTTTTGATTTTTTAATACACTATAAATTCATACTTTAACATCATTATTATGTTATTAATACGTTAATATTATTAACCTCTTATTGTCTAGTTCTTGCTCTCAGAGAACCCGGCAGGCTACCGAGAGTATCCTGCCTGCATATTTGCCTGACTGGAAACACTGACTGGGTGATTAGAGGCTGCCCCAAAAATCTCCATTCCTCTCGAAGAGCCTGGCAAGCTACCCATGGCGTACTCGATATGCCAAAAACAGTAACAATTGTGGTCCTTATTCCCCTGACCCTGAAAGAGCCTCCAATATGCCATCGGGCTACACTAGCACGTGACAGGGATGAATGGAGACTTTACTGGCACCTGCTCGAGCAAATTGATGAACAACGGGATGATAGTCATATTCTTTTTTACTTCCTACATAATCTAGAATGGCGATGGCATATTCATTAACTTTAGCAAGAGGTTGAAACCTCTCTCTGTAATTTTTCTTTTTAGTGCACATGAAACACCTAAGCAGCCAGTGGTCCGTTTTAAAAGGAATAAACATCACAAAGGATCCATTTACTGCGTGGCCTGGAGTCCTTGTGGGCAGTTATTAGCAACAGGGTCAAATGACAAATATGTCAAAGTGCTGCCCTTCAACGCAGAGACTTGTAATGCAACAGGTAGGGTACGAGTATGTGGGGTAGCTTGTTAATGTAGTCTTTAGAGTTCCCTAAATGGTAGTTTTATATATCTCTTGTTTGTCTTTAATAAAATCTAAGAATATGGCTTTGAGAATATTTTTACATTCAATAGCTTACATTCATGAAATATTGTTCTTCTTAAATTAACTTCTTATGGGAGATCAGTTGTGTTTAAAAACAATAGGATTGTATTAATGCGTATTTCTAGACAGGCTCTCTTCTGTTTCGTTCTTATAAGAGAAAAAGACAAACTCACACACAGCTTTTTTTTAGGGATGATGGTACTTGAGGCAGGATATTGATTTTCTGAAATTCTTTGCTCAGTAAAGTCAATGAAGTTAATTGATTATAAAATAAATTCTTAATTAGAAAATATAAACCATGCAATTCTACTGTTATTCTTAGCCAGTTTTGAGATAGTTTAACATTCTCACATTATCACAGTAAATTGAGCAGCATCTTTTTTTCTTTTTAATTCTTATTGCTGTTTCAGGACCAGATCTGGAATTTAGTATGCATGATGGGACAATAAGAGATTTGGCATTTATGGAAGGCCCAGAAAGTGGTGGAGCGATTTTAATAAGTGCTGGAGCAGGGGATTGTAACATATATACAACTGATTGTCAAAGAGGACAGGGTCTCCATGCTCTGAGTGGACACACTGGTATGTAATGTCAAATTCTTCTTAACATCTTCGTTGCGGTACCAGGATTTACAGTACTGTTGATTATGTTCTTTGTTCATACATCATTCCAACACCGAACCTGTCACCAGAGAGCCCTCTTCTTTCCACTAGTGTCCCAAGGGCCTCTCCTAGCCACCCCATTCCCATGTGAGCTCAGCTTTATAGACAAAAATCTCCAGTTCCTCTCACTTTGGCCATTTGCTGTTCCCTTACTATGTTTCTTTTTATCTCATATTTGAGAGACATCTTTTATTTTTGTGGAAGTGGTGATACCTACTCATGTCTAGATGAATAAAGCTAAACTCCTGAAATGCCACAAAATTGTAGATCAATGATAAACTGATATTTTTTCCCCCAAGACTGTATTTATTTTCTTTACAGGTATACAAAATACAGGTTAAAAAAAAATTAAGAATATGGGGCCAGATGGGCCAGAGTGATAGTACAGAGGCTAGGGCACTTGCCTTACACTTGGCCAGACCCAAGTTTGATCCCCAACATCCCATATGGTCCCTTGAGCACTACCAGGAATTACCCCTGAGGAAAGCCAGGAGTAGCCCTGAGCATCGCTGGGTGTGGGCCCTCTACCTTCCCCCTGAAAAACGAGTATGGACCAAAGAGATAGTATGATGGGTAGGTGATTGTCTTGCATGTGACTGACTGAGGTTCAATCCTTGGCACCACTTATGATCCCCTTGAGTACTGCCAGGAGTGATGCCTGAGCACAGCAAGGAGTAAGCCCTGAACACCACTGAGTGTGGCACCCTCAGCCCCTTCCCTCCTGCCCCCCCAAAATTTTAACAGTATGGATAATTCTATATTAATACATTTTAAAATTTACATGAAATAGATAAATCCTACAAGTATAGAAGAATAAGGAGAGCAGTATTAAGAAAAATGTCAGGGAAAACTGGAGTAAGTCTATAAAAGTGTAAAAGTGTATTTTTATTTTAAAAGGGGGTATTGATTTGTTTTAAAGAAGTTCCTTAAATGCTTCTTGCAAAATTGGTTTCAAAGCTATGAATTCCCTATGCTGTTGTTGTCCATGAAGCTCTGTATTATTCCTTCAAATCGGAATGATAATCTAACTGGGTAGAGTATTCTTGGTGATGTGCTCATTCGTTGGGTTTTATTCTGTGTCCCACAATTCTCTGTTGTCTCATAGAGTCTCATTTGATAGATAACCATGAATCTTACAGACTTTGCTTTGTATGTAAATTGTTTTTTGAACTTGCTGCTTTCAATATTTGGTCTTCGTCTTTTGTAATTCTGGTTATTATGTGTCTGGAGTTTTTCTCTTTGGATCGATTTTTTAAAAAAAATTTTATTAGTGAAACACCATGAGGTACAGTTGTAGACTTACAAATTTTTGTGCTTGGGTTTCAGTTGTACAATGAACAAGTACCCATCCCTCCACCAGTGCCCATTCTCCACTACCACGAATTCCAGTATCCCTCTCACCCCCCATTTGCCCCATCTCACCCTGCCACTGTGGCAGGGCATTCCCTTTTGTTTTCTCTCTCTCCTTTTGGGAGTTGTGGTTTGCAAAAGAGGCACTGAGTGTCAATCATGTTTGGTCTATAGTCTACTTTCAGCATGCTTCTCTCATCCTGGGAGGATCCTCCCAACACCCTTTATTTGGTGCTCCCTTCTCTGTCTGAGCTCTTTAGGTTGATTTTTTGCTGGAACCCTTCAGATCTCTTGGATTTTGATATCTGGGAAATTCTTACCCATGATTTCTTTTGTTGGATTTGCTTTCTTCTTCAGAGACTCTAGTCAGTCTCTTATTGTTTCTCTTCACATTGTTTTCTGGTGTACTGTTCATTTTTTCCCCCACTTTTTTTTCTCTTCCATTTTCTGTTGTTTCTTAGAGTTTTCTTCTCAGTTGCTATTCTTCTGCTCAGACCTTCTCTTGAGTTTTTAGATGATGATGATGATGATGTTGATGATGAATGTACCGGCAGAGGAACAAAGGCATGCGGGTCCCGGGTCTGAGATCTTCAAGGCTGCTCAGATCGGGGCTGAGCATCCTCCACCCAGATCCTCCAAATTCCAGTAGGCAGGGGTCACACCCACCAACTGGCCCCCTGGCGCCGTGTAATCCCATCAACGGCCAAGACTCAGAGACTATAAAACCCAGCATTCGCAGCCGCGCGACATCTTATCATCTCATTCTTACTTTGGACAAAATGGCAGGCTACTGAATGTAGTAGCCTGCCCACACGGCAGAGTCTGGCAAACTCCCCGTGGTGTACCCAAAATGCCAAATACCAGTAACAATGATGGGTCTCATTCTCCTAACCCTGGAAGAGCTTTTAATATGACACTTTTTAAAAAATCTCAGGGCTAGGACGAAGGAGACGTTACTGGGGCCTGCTTGAGGCTATCGACGAACAACAGGATGGTCGTGATCGTGATCATGATGATGATGATGGTGATGATGGTGATGATGGTGATGATGATGATTTTGCTTTTTGGGTCACACCCGGCGATGCTCAGAGGTTACTCCTGGTTTGGCACTCAGGAATCACTCCTGGTGGTGCTCAGGGGACCATCTGGGATGCTGGAAATTGAACCTGGATTGGCCGCGTGCAAGGCAAACACCCTATCCACTCTGCTATTGCTCCAGCCCCTAGATTCTTGCTTTTATTTGAAGTAAATCAAGCTTATTGGGGCAATAAAGGGAAGGAAGCAGAGAGATGGTTAAAGATACGTGCTCAGGAGAGTACATGGGTTTCTCCATAATAGAGAGAGCCCCGAGGTTTTGTTTTTGCTTTGTTTTTTAGGTTTTTTTTTTTTCCTCCTTTGGGCCATACCTGGTGGTGTTCAGGTATTACTTCTGGATCTGTGCTCAGGGATCACTCTTGGTAGGTCTTGGGGAACTATATGGTGCCAAGGATCAAACCCAAGCTGCATGCAAGACAACTGCCCTACCTGCTTTACTATGGCTCTGGCCTTGAGTGTTTGTTTTTTTATATCACCTATCGTACTCATTTCTCTCATTTCTGATTGTAGTTTTCTCATGTCATCTCTCACGTGCTTTGCTGAATTACCTGGGCCTTGTTTCTTTCATGAAACATCCTTACCATGGTGTCACTAGCGCCATTTTCTCAAAGTTGTGGATCTGGTTGGTACTGGTAGAGTCTTTTTCATGTTATTATTTTCACTCATTGAACTTGGGCTTCTACACGTCTTTCCCATTGGGTTTGCTGTGCTCCTGGTGCTGAGGGCAAATCCTTAGCTCCCTTGTCTTTGGGAGTCTCTGGGATCAGAGTGGGTGATGCTCTCTTCTTTGCCTGCCTGTTTTCATCCACTGACAGTAAGTTGTAAGTGTGATCAGTGTAAGGTGTGATGATTAGAGCTGTTGATTCAGGAGCTGTGGAGGTGGGAGTGCTGGGACCCGGCTGGAAGGAAGGAAATCCATGTTTAATTACAGAGATGCCTGGGGATGTTAGCCAGGAAGCCAGGAGATTACCCTCACTGGGAAGGTTGGATTGACAGACAGCAGTTCTGTAATGTCAGTCTTCGATACTACTTTTCTTTTTCATCAACTTGTGCTTTCTTCCTTTCTGCATTTTCATTGAGTTATATTTCAGCTAAAAGGGATTTCTTAAATACAGGAAATGTTTATTTCAAAATTTTAATCTGTGAATTTTGGTAACTAACACAATAATTATAGCACTTCTTACTAAAACTTTTATTTACACATGTAATTTCTTAATCCTCACAACAACCTCATGAGGCAGGAAATTTTATCTCCATCTTATGAGTGAAAAAAGTGAAACTTGAAAAGGCAGAATGACTTGTCCAATCTCACAGCTTAACATGGCACAGCTGAAATATAGACCCAAGTAGGTCTCCTCTTCACTCAAGCCCTATAGTTCTGTGCTCCTGTGGGAAATTAACCTCGATTTCAAATGACAGTACTTTTCCAGTATTGATTATGATGTTCTAAAATACTGAATCATCAAAAATAGGTTATTGAGAATGGTTTGATGTTGTATGTTCTACTCAATTTTAATTTCTTGGAATGACCAATCTAGCACAAGTGAAAAATCTTTCTCATATACTATATTTGATTAACCAGATTATTTTGTGTCCAATGATAAGTTTAGAATGTGTTAGAGTTAAAAGCACTGTTCCACAGCAATTACTGAGTGTTTGATCTGTTACAGGGCACATTTTAGCACTTTACACTTGGAGTGGCTGGATGATTGCATCTGGTTCTCAAGATAAAACTGTTAGATTCTGGGATCTTCGAGTACCAAGTTGTGTTCGAGTTGTTGGCACAACGTTCCATGGCACTGGTAGGTTTTTTTCTGGAATTTAAATAAATTTTTAAGAGAAGAAGCTTTATAAATTATATTCTCCCTCTCCACTCTAACATACACTTCGAGAAGAATTGAAACAATTACTTTCATTGATGGGCTGGAGCGATAGCACGGCGGTAGGGCGTTTGCCTTGCACTCAGCCAACATGGCCAACCCGAGTTCGATTCCTCCGCCCCTCTCGGAAAGCCCGGCAAGCTACCGAGAGTATCTTGCCTGCACTGCAAAGCCTGACAAGCTCCCTGTGACGTATTCGATATGCCAAACACAGTAACAAGGGTCACGATGGAGACGTTACTGGGCCCGCTTGAGCAAATCGATGAACAACGGGAGGACCGTGACCATGACTTTCATTGATGACTTTCAAGGCTTTCAGAATGTTTTTATCCTTTTATTAGTAAAATTAAGGTTTTGTTGAGTCTGGAGAGAGTACAGTAGGTAGAACTTTTGCCTTGCCTGCTGCTGATCCCCAGCACCACATAGGGTCTCCTGAGAACTACCAAGATTGATCCTGAGCACAGAGCCAGGAGTAAGCCCTGAGTGCAGCAGGGTATGAATACCTCAAAAAAAAAAATTTTTTTTTTTCTTTTTAGTTTAGGAAACCAAGACTCAAGAGAGAGTGTTAATGATATGTATTGTTATTGTTTTAATTAGTATTGACAATTAAAATTGTTGTTCATGTTTAGAAGTTTTATATCTCTATAGAAGCATTCAGCATCCCCTTGAAGACACCCTTTAAGGATACATGGTCGGGGCTGGAGTGATAGCACAGCGGGTAGAACATTTGCCTTGCACACGGCCGGCCCAGGTTCGATTCCCAGCATCTCATATGGTCCCCTGGTACCGCCAGGAGTAATTCCTGAGTGCCAAGCCAGGAGTAACTGTGCATTGCCAGGTGTGACCCAAAAAGCCAAAAAAAGATATATATATGGTCTTGGGACCAGAGTGATAGCACCTTGGGCAGGGCATTTGCCTTGCACACTGCTGACCTGGGTTCGATCCCTGGCATCCCATATGGTCCTTGAGCACCGCCAGGAGTAATTCCTGAGTGCAGAGCCAGGACTAATCCCTGAGCACCACTGGGTGTGGCCCAAAACAAATCAAAATGAAACAGAACAAAAAATGGATACATGGTCTTATGGACTCAGGTTATTTTTGTTTGAATTTTTGTTGGCAATATATCATCTGTTGCTTTGAGATATTTCTTACTATATACTAAAACATACTTTGTTTTTTAATTTCTTTTCCCCCAAACTAGACTTTACATTATAGGTAGTATTTCTGGACATTTAAGCATTAGTGAAAATATCGGATTAGGAAATGCAATATAGATAATGCAATTACAGCAGGTTGTCCCAAGAAAGAATTGTTTCTCATAAAATCTTGCCTCATACCTTGCCCCAGAAATAACACAGTACGTATTGATTGCTAATTTGCATCGGACGGTTCAGTGACCATAAAGAGCTGTTGCAGTTAGCGTTATTGATTTTTCCAGATTGAAGTTTCCATTCCTCTTTTTGCAGGTAGTGCAGTGGCGTCTGTAGCTGTAGATCCCAGCGGCCGTCTCTTAGCCACAGGACAAGAAGATTCTAGCTGCATGTTATATGATATTAGAGGAGGAAGAATGGTACAAAGTTACCACCCTCATTCCAGTGATGTTCGCTCTGTTCGATTTTCTCCTGGAGCTCACTACTTGTTAACAGGATCGTATGATATGAAAATAAAGGTCACAGACCTACAGGGTAATTATGATTTTGTTTTTAGCCTTTCCTTGTTTATTCTCTCTGCTATTTTATTTGGGAATCTTTGTTGTTATTGTTACTGTGGTGTGACTGACTATGATAGTTTCATACTTTAGTTTTCTATTTAGTAAATCAGTTACTGGCACAACTATGAGATAAATTGTAGCAAATTATTAAATTCTTTAATGAATAGTCTTATTTTTATTTTTAAATAGTACAGAAAATATTTCATAGACACTGGATATGGCTCAGAGTTAGAACACATGTCCCGGGGTGTGTCCCTGACACTTATGGAGAAACATGTATGAGTTTTAGAAAATCAACAGTTAGTACAATGGAGTCACTAGAGTTCAAAGATGGTAGGTATTAAAATATGTATTTGTGTACTCCTTTTAGCCTTTACTTACAAAGCTTTTTGTATATAGGATCAGAGCGATAGTACAGCGGGTAAGTCGCTTGCCTTGCACATGGCCAACCTAAGTTTGATCCCTGATATCCCATATGGCCCCGGAGCACTGCAGGGAATGGTCCCTTACTGCAGAGCCAGGAGTAACCCCTGAGTATAGCCAGGTGTCGCCCCAAAACAAAAAAAAAGCATAAAAAAGCTTTGTTTATAATTGGTATAATTATATCTTCTGTGTCTAGTTTTAGGGTTTTTTTTTTTTTTTTTTTTTTTGCTTTTTGGGTCATACCTGGCGATGCTCAGGGGTTACTCCTGACCTGTGTTCAATTCCTGGCACCCTTTATAACCATCAGGAGCAATCTCAGAGCAGAGAGCCAGGAGAAAGCCCTGACTGAGTACTGCTAGGTTATGACCCAAACCCTACCACGTCTCCCTCCAAAGAGAAAAAAGTAGGAGAGTAACTTGTAGATAGGGAAAGGCTAAATTTGGCAGGATAGAGTAGGTGTCTCTAGGGAAGTGTTATTTGCAGATTTGAATGATGAAAAGAGCATCTTTCCAGGACTCAAGAAGACTCTAGCAAGTGGAAAGGTGCTGAACAGGAATGGATTTGGGGTGTTCATGACACTGCAGGAGGCTGGCCACTGTCAGTGGAACTTAGTGAATTAAGGGGAGAGAGAGGAAAAAAATCAGAAAAAGGATCTTATAGATGTTTAAAAACACACAATGGGAGCCATATTACAACTGGTAGGATGCATGGCCAACCCAGGTTGCATCCCTGGCGTCCCATATGATTCCCTAAGCACTGCCAGGAATAGTCTCTGAGCATTGCCAGGTCAGGCCCAAAAACAAAACCAAAAACACACAGTGGTATTCCTTTGGAAGATATAAAACTGTGGGGTGGTAGGATGTGAATTAATGTGTGTGTGTGTGTGTGTGTGTGTGTGTGTGTATGGTCCCCACACATATAGCCAGAAATTCTCTGAACACTAGTTGGGTGCTTACAATTCAACTTAGTTTTGGCATGGTTTACTTGGAGCTCTGTGCCAGGAACAGGACTAAGACCAAATAAAATTTTTCTTGTTTTTGCAAGTGTGTGTGTTTGAAGCAGGGGAGGGGGTCAGAGGAGGGCCACATCTGGCAGTGTTCTGGAGAGAACGTGTAGAAGGAGGGGATAAAGAGAGATTTCTCCCCAAGGTGGAGGCTTTTTGTTTGTATTTTATTAGGCAACATTGGTTCACAACATTGTATATTCACTAATTTCAGGAGGTTGCACCACACTCAGCTGTGTTTAGGGGCTACACTTGACTCTGCTCAGGAATGACTGCTGGCAGTGCTTAGGGGACCATGTGTGTTGCTGGGGATCAAACTGGGGTGTGGTGGTGGTACTGTACTATCCCTCTGCTCCTCTCTCCATCATTTCTTTCATTGGCAGGTGGGATTTTAATTTTTTTTCTCTTCAACTTATAATGAAGTGAGGTTATTTGAGAAGCTGCTACATATAAATGGCCATTCCAGGGTTACGACATGACTGTCAGAGGAAATGAGGTATATGAAATAGGAAATAAGGTATAGGAAATGAGGGGAGAAAAAATGTGAATGCTGTCTCTTGGGATTCCCCAAAATTTAAATCAGGAGAGGAAAAAAACTAGCTGATGAGATCTGAGAACGTAGTGACTGGCTCTGAAGTTGGGAGAAATCAAGCTGAGAGCATTTGGTAGAGAAGACAGCTGTGTCAAACGTGACTGTGTTTCCAGAGACTAATGAGCTCTTTGGTACGTTATCTCTGCTTAAACGTTTTGTCTGTTAGGAAAGTTGAGAAAATCACAGCGCCTAAAGTAATTCTTTTTTAAAGTTTAGGATATTTCTTCTAAAAGTAACAGGAAATGAGAAATCTGCACATATATTTTACTTTATAATATAAATCTCTTTTCTTATTTTATGTAGGAGACCTCACCAAGCAGCTCCCGATCATGGTGGTAGGGGAGCACAAGGACAAAGTGATTCAGTGCCGGTGGCACACCCAGGATCTTTCCTTCCTGTCATCTTCCGCAGACAGAACTGTAACCCTCTGGACTTACAGTGGCTAGAGTACATCTGACCTCACTCTAGGCTGTGAAAACACAGACTTAAGACTACTGAGTTGTGAAAATTCTAAGTTGGAAGAACAAGGTCTGACCAAGAAAGTGACTTAGCAGGAGGAAGCCGTGTATCCCCATGTATCCCTTGCTAAGAGGTGTTGGGTGGTGTTACTCTGCAGTGCTTTCAGTCCTCCAGTGAGCTCGTGCTGCTGTGTCCTGCTATATGTAGTCTTGTTGCCAAAGTCTGCGGGAGAGCTCTTTTTCGTCAGTGTGTGCTCCAAGTCAAGGTGGACAATGTGTTTACGGTTTAGTATTAAATGCATTCCTTGGTCTTTGCCTAAATAACAGTTTTATATATACGTTGAAGCTGAACTATACTTTAAGCATATTATTCCAGTGTACTACAATTAAGTTCTACACAGGTTAAATTTAGGTGTTCAGAAATTACTTTCGTTTTTCTTACAGTCCCATGATAAAGTATCCACTTGTCAGCTAGAGGTCAGAAATTAGTCTCAGAAGTTACACGGTTATTTTCACTAAGGATCATTATTGAGTTTAAAGAAAGTTGGAAAACTGCTTCTTAGTTCTGTATGTGGTAAGGCCTTTTTAAAAAAAATACAGGGATATATTTAGTATTTTGTCCATGTTTTTGTTTTAGGCTTAAAAGGTAAGTTTGCTTCAGAAACTTGTTAATTTCAAATTTTTGAATGCAACACGATACCTCCCTTCTAAACTGTACTGTGGAGCTCGACCACCAGCTTCCTCATGCGATGCAACACTTGATGGTACAGTACCTGTACTGGCGAGCATTGTTCCTCTTAAAAATGAAAAACTTTGCCATAGACTATAGCATGGCTTGAGATGCTATGTCTGCATGATAATTAAAAATGGAAAATTTAAAGTTTGCACTCCAAAAGCTTACATGCATTTTTTTCTTGCACTGTTTTATGTAATGCAGAATAAGGATTTATTTCTACAGCACTGTAGATCTTAACATTTATGTATCTTTATTTTCATATTGTATAGTAATTTTACTTTAAATTATTAAATAGGCTATTTTATTTATTTCAAATGCAGTTGAGTTGGATCTAATTATTGAACTGTCTGTGCACTGTATGTAGCAAGCATTTTAAATCTATTGTATAGAAGTGGAAAGGGTAATTACAAGTGTAGCTGTGCAATTATTTCAATAAAGACCTCTTGACACCTAAAAATTTTACCCTGTATCTGTGACTTTCAATTTAATGTTATATTTTTACCCCCAGCATACTTGTGGATCAGTGGATAAAACATAATTTTGTGTCCTTTCAATGTTCTTCTAATAACTTTAATTTTTTTCTAGAACAACAGTCTACTACTCTTCTTCATTCCTCTTCCACCCTTTCTCCTACCCACCTCCAGTCTCCTTCCAAGTAATCTTATTTCTGTTCTCCATGCCCATCACACTCTTATCCATTCATGTTTTGTTTCTTAATATTGTACCTATCAGTGAGATCATATAATACATCTTTCTCTTTCTGAGTTATTTTGCTGTATACAATCCTTTTTCCACCAACTTGATTTTTTTTTTTTTGGTGGGAGGGCTGGTTTGGGCCACACCCTGTGATGCTTAGGGACTGTTCCTGATTCTCTATTCTGGAGAGACTCCTGTGGTGCTCAGGGTATCATATATGGTGCCAGGTATTGAATTGAAGTCTGCTGCATCCAAGTCAAGTGCCATTCTCCACTGCTCTTTCTGGCCCTAATTTTATTTATTGTTTATATGTAGGGGTAGCACTGCACTGTAGCACTGTACTCCTGTTGTTCATCGATTTGCTCGAGCGGGCCCAGTAACGTCTCCATTATGAGACTTCTTGTTGCTGTGTTTGGCATATCGAATAGTCATGGGGAGCTTGCCAGGCTCTGCCATGTGGGCAAGATACTCTTGGTAGCTTGCTGGGCTGTCTGAGAGGGGTGGAGGAATTGAACCCAGGTTGGCTGGGCCGGCCACATGCAAGGCAAATGCCCTACCACTGTGCTATGCTCCACTGCTACTTACTCAGCCATTAGTTAAGCTGATTGAATTAGGCATGAACTCCACATTACTTTTTTTTAAAAAATTTTTATTAGTGAGACACCATAAGGTACAGTTGTAGACTTACAAATTTTGAGCTTGGGCTTAAATTATACAATGATCAAATACCCATCCCTCCACCATGCCCATTTCCCACCACCACGGATCCCAGTATCCCTTCCATCCCCCATCCCCCCATCCCACCCTGCCTCTGTGGCAGGGCATTCCCCTTTGTTCTTTCTCTCCTTTTGGGTGTTGTGGTTTGCAAAAGAGGCATTGAGTAGCAATCATGTTTGGTCTATAATCTATTTTCAGCATGCTTCTCCCATCCTGGGAGGATTCTCCCAACACCCTTTATTTGGTGCTCCTTTCTCTATCTGAGCTGCCTTTTCCCCTAGCATGTGTGGCTGGCCTCCAAGCCATGGAGCAAAATTCCTGGTACTATTCTCGGCCATTCTTGGGTGTTAGTCTCCTATTTTGTTACTTTATGTTCCCCAGACGAATGCAATCTTTCTATGTCTATCCATCTCTTTCTGACTCATTTTGCTTAGCATGATACTTTCCATGTAGTACCACTTGTATGTAAATTTCATAACTTCATCTTTTCTAACAGCTACATAGTACTCCATTGTATAAATGTTCCAAAGTTTCTTTAACCAGTCATCTGTTCTCAGACACTCAGGTTTTTTCCAGATTCTGGCTATTGTAAAGAGTGCTGCAATGAACAAACAAGTGCAGATGTCACTTCGACTATACTTTTTTGCCTCTCTGGGATATATTCCCAGGAGTGGTATTGCTGGGTCAAATGGGAGCTCAATTTCTAATTTTTTGAGAATCGTCCATACTGTTTTCCAAAAGGGCTGAACCAGTCGGCATTCCCACCAGTAGTGAAGGAGTGTCCCTTTCTCGCCACATCTGCGCCAGCTTTGGTTGCTTTTGTTCTTTTGAATGTGGGCCAGTCTCTGAGGTGTGAGATGGTATCTCATTGTGGTTTTGATCTGCATCTCCCTGAGGATTAATGATGTAGAGCATTTTCTCATGTGCCTTTTTGCCATTTGGATTTCTTCTTTGAGAAAGTTTCTGTTCATTTCGTCGCCCCATTTTTTGATGGGGTTGGATGTTTTCTTCTTGTGGAGTTCAACCAGTACTTTGTACATCCTTGATATCAACCCCTTGATCCACATTACTTTTTAAAAAATTTTTTTTGATTGAATATCCGCGAGATAGATCATTACAAAGGTGATCATAATAGGGTTTCAGTCACAATGATCCAGCACCCATCCCTCCAACAGTGTACATTTCCCACCACCAATGTCCCTGTCTCCCAACCACCTTCCCCCAACCCCTCAGCCTCCTTCTATGGGATGCACTTTCCTTCTCGCTCGCTCTCTCTCTCTCTCTCTCTCTCTCTCTCTCTCTCTCTCTCTCTCTCTCCTTTTCCTTTTGTGCATTATAGTTTGTAATACAGGTGCTAAGAGGTCATGTTTGTTCAGGGCATTCGGTATTTTTATCAGGATGGTAAGGCTGGAGTAGCTTTTCAGTTGGGTGGCAGCTTTGGGGTGTGGATGTGACTGCTGAAGCTTCCAGAAGAAAAGGGAGGTGGGGAGAGGTTGCCTATCCTGACCCTGAGAAAGCCTGGAGATTTCAAGCACAAAACCCGCATACCAGAATTTTCAGCAGGTTGTGTCTGTGAGGTCCGTCCTGAGACAGTGGAGTCCGGCTGGGGGTACAGTGGCAATTTTGAATTGTGGGAGCAAGGAGCTACAGGGGGCTCTGCTTGGGCAGGCACCAGGCTGACCCGCCCCCTTCTGATTTACCCCAGTCTATTCAGCCATGCATGGGTTCGAGATTAACAGCAGCTTTTGATCTCATTTATTATTTATTGCTTTTTGGGTCATACCCAGTGATGCTCAGGGGTTTCCTGGCTCTGCACTCAAGAATTAACTCCTGGCAGTGCTGGAGGAACCATATGGGATGCCGGAGATTAAACCCAGGTCGGCCACATGCAAGGCAAACACTCTTCCTCTGTGTTATCACCCTGCCTGCTTTTGATCTCTTTTTGAGATTTATGGGTCTCTGGAACAAGGCTGATAGAAGAGTTTACATGATAACGCTGGAGTTGGTTCGTGGGAGTGACTGCCAGTGCTTCCAGGAGTATTAGGAAGTGTGGGGAGATAGCCCATCCCAACTCTAAGAAAGCCTGGAGATTTCAGTCAGAAAACCCACATACCCAAATTTTCAGCAGATTATATATCTTGGTGAGGTCCATCTTAGATGGTGGTCAGGCCAGGGGTATTGCAGCGATTTTGGATTGTGGAAGCCAGTGGCTGCTGGGGGCTCTGCTTAGGCGGGCACCAGGCCAACCTACTCCCCTCTGATTTACCCAAGTCTGTTAGCCATGCACAGATCTGAGATTAATTGCGGCTTTTGATCTCTTTCAAGATTTATTTATGAGTCTCTGAAATAAGGCCAATTAATGAGCTTGTATAGCTGAGCCAGAGGTGGTTTGTGGGCATGGCTCCCACATATCTAACTTTTGGCCATTTAATTTCTTGGTAAACTTCATCCTAAGTTGTCGGAGTCTGGCCAAAGACACACTGGCAATTTTGGGGAATCATGAAACCTGAAGGCACCACCATTCAGGCTTCTGATGCACTCACCCCACAGGTACAAGTTGAGCTGCTGGTGGCACCATACCCCTGTTAATTTGATTTTTAACCCTAGGTAACTGCATACTTTTGCATGTTATCTCAAGGGAAGAACTTTCTATTCTGAATATACTGTCAAAATTAATAAAGCCCCACAAATCTATAAATTCTAATTTAGATTATGTAACTTGAAAGCCATAGAAATGAAATTGTGAATATTTATGCACAAGAAAATTCTGCTAATCTAGGTCATAATCTTTCCTCAGTTTACCCTCATGCTTAATTAACTTCGCACATCTCAGTTATTATAGGTGTTTAGGACTAATTTTCAGATTAGGAAAAAGGGCAATTAGCTTAACATTAGGGGTTAAAGAATTTTCCAGGTTTCTGGAGAGATGACACTTTCTTTGTGTACCCCTCACTTGCATTCTTTCTCTGGCACTGCATATGATCCCCCATTACTGCTTGGAGTGAGCACAGAGCCCAGAGTAAGCCTTGAGCACTGCCAGGTGTGCCCCTCAAAATTCCAAGGCATGTATGTCTCTTACCAAAATCCTTCTAAATATCGAGTGAATTAATTTTATAATAATTAGCATACACATTCTTACTCTAATACTCTATTACACATGTCGTTCCTCCCATGTTTCCATACTATCCTTTATAAACTTTTTGTTTTTTTTTGAGGAGGGCACACCCAGCTGTGCTCAGGTGTCACTACTGGTTCTGTATTCAATGATAACACCTGGTCAGCTCAGGGTACCACATAGGGTACTAGAGATTGAGCCCAGGTCAGCCACATGCAAGGCAATCACCCTACTGCTGTACAATCACTCTGGCCCCTAAACATTGTTTTGAGTGTGTGTTTTGGTCCATATCCAGTGGTGGTACTCAAGTACTGTTCTCAGCTTAATGTTCAGTAGTCACTTATGGTGGCTTGGGGAACAGTATGCAGTGTTAGGCATCAGACCCACGTTTCCTACATGCAAAGTGTGTACTCTAGCTCACTGTTACCTCTTTCGCCTTGACTTTTTAAGTGTTGGTGAGATTGAGAGGATAGTCTAGTGGGTACTAAGCTTACCTTGCAGTTATCGAATCTGGGTGTGTTACCCACTCTCCCTTATGGTCCCAGAGCAGAGTCTAGAAGTAAGCCCTGAGCACATAGGCTGGAGTGTACTAGCACTGTAGCACTGTCCTCTCGTTGTTCATCGATTTGCTCAAGGGGGCACCAGTAACGTCTCCATTGGAAGACTTGTTACTGTTTTTGGCACATTGAATATGCCATGGGGAGCTTGCCAGGCTCTGCCGTGCAGGAAGGATACTCTCGGTACCTTGCGGGACTCTCCGAGAGGAGTGGAAGAATCGAACCCAGGTCAGCCGCATACAAGGCAAATGCCCTACCTGCTGTGCTATTGCTCCAGGAATGTACTAAAAGATAGAAAAATTTGTAATAATCCGTACATTCAGAAGCCTACATTTAAACCTAGTCTTAGCACTCTGGAGTTTTAAGTAGTTCCTGATTATAAGAGTGTTGAGCTGTCTCTTGTAGGTTTTTTTGTTGTTTTTTTTTTTTTTTTTTTTTTTTTTTTTTTTTTTTTTGCTACACTCCAGCATTGCTCAGGGTTTACTGTGGCTAGGTGCTCAGGGTTCACTCCTGGTGGGTCTAGATTACATGTGGTGTAGATCAAACCTCGCCAGCTATCTGCAAGGCAAGCACCTTAACCCTTAACTCTTGTACTATCTCTCCAGTTCCCACAAGTTTTGTAGTTTCTGGGCCACATTTGGGGTGCTAAGAGGGAATCATGCAGTGCCATGAGTCAAACCTGGGGCTCTTACATACCACTCGTTTCAGTCCTTTTAGCTAGCTTCTAGGTTCAAAGAAGTCTTTTGTTTTTGGATCATGGAATGCTATTGTAGGGGTGAGAAAGACCACATGGTGCTGAGATCTAACAGGGTTCCATCCTCTTGAGCTATGCCTCAGACCCCAAACTTGAGCACTATTCTGCTCGTTGCTGATAATTTATTTTTATAACCTCCCAGTGTGTTTAACCCTGTCATTTCTTCTTTGCAGTTTCCTGAGTTTGCAAAGTCAACAGCTAAAGATAGAAACAAAACTTCAAGGGGCTGGAGCGATAGTACAGCAGGTAGGGCATTTGAATTGCATGCGGCTGACCTGGGTTCAATTCCCAGCATCCCATATGGTCCCCCAAGCACTGCAGGAGTAATTCCTAAGTGCAAAGCCACTTCAAAAGTTTCTAAGTGCTTTCTTCATAGGGAGGAAACTCCAACATATCCCTCATTCTAGGACTAGAGCTGTCACTCATTAATTCTCATTTATCTTTTTCTTTTAAATAAAGAACAGTTTAATTTACAGTGATATCCAGAAGCATAACGAACTTAAAATGTGTACACTGAAAACTGCAAGACATTCCAGGAAGAAATTAAGACAAAAATAAGTGGAAAGACACTTTGTATTCATGGATTTAAGATTGGATGGATTTCATTATTAAGATGACAATACTATACAAAAACAATGCAGATTTACAGCAATATCCATTATCCTAAACTGAAAAATTATGCTCGATGGGCTGGAGAGAGCTCACAGGGGATAAGGCACTTGATTTGCATGCTGCCAACTAGGTTTGATCTTAGATTCCCAGCACCATGGATACTCTAAACAGATCTTTTTGTTGTTGTTTTGGGCTACACCCCACTGTGTTCAGCTCTTCGTTCCTGGCAGACCTTACGTGGTGCTCGGTATCGAATCTGCATCTGCCGCGTGCGAGGCTATAGCCCTATCCGCTCTGCTCTTTCTGGCCCAGATTTTAGGCTTTGACTGCAAATGCTATACACTCAAAGTCGACTCTAAGGACAGACTCAAAGCGGGGAGCACATGCTTTTCATGCAGGAGTTGGGGGCATCAAAGATGCCCTCACCTGCCTGAATGCCCGCGACACCGTCAGGTGCGACCCCTAAATACCAAACTGGGAGTAGCCCTTCAGACCCGCCAGGTATGGCTGAAAAAGGAAAAAGCTTTAAAAAAATACTAAAACTATATGCTTCCTACAGATTTTACATATTTGGCTTCCAATAAAGAGTTCAGCCACCAGGGCTGGAGAGATAGTACAGCGGGTGGGGCGCTTGCCTCGCACGCGGCCAACCGGGTTCAAATGCACATTCTCAGGTCCTAAAAGGTTTCCCGAGCACCGCCTGGAGTTCAGCGGAGGATCACGAAAACAACAACGGAAAACAGCCGACAAAGGCACGCCCCGCCCCTTTCAATGGACCAATGAGCCGCGCGCCCGGTAGCCGATCAGCCGCGCGCCCGGTAGCCAATCAGCTGCGTGCCCGGTCGCCGATCAGCCGCGCGCGCCCGGTAGCCAATCAGCGGCGAGCCTGGTAGGACCAATCAGCGGCGTGCCCGGCGGGACGCACAGCCGCTGGCCGAGCAGGTCGATGAGAAGGCGGGAGCGGCTCGGATCCCGGTCCTGCGCTGGCCGAGCTGCTTGCTGTGTTTTCCTGGCCCGACTGGCAGGTGTCTGGCTCCGGGTAGAGACCATCTGGCGACCACCAGCGTGAGTCGGAGTGTGTGTGTGTGTGTGTGTGTGTGTGTGTGTGTGTGTGTGTGTGTGTGTGTGTTGCTGGTTGCGCTCCGGCCGCCGGGGCCCGGGGCCGCCCGCTCGCGCTCTGTCTGCCCGGTGGCCGAGCTGTCCCTTTCCTGGGCGGCCTGTCGTCGGCCGCTCTGGGTGCTGCGCGGATGCTACGTCGCGGGCCGGGTCAAAGAGCGGCCTCCGGGCGGGCGGAGCCAGACACGAGCGACCGGTGGGTTTCTGTTGGCTTCGGCGGCTCCCCCGGGTGTTTAGGACTCGGCTGGGCCAACGTCTTCGGCCAGATCGCTCGGACGTGGCAGTAAGATTGAGTTTGAGTGGCCTTAGCTCGGAATGTGGGTGGGGATAACAGCTTTTCTCCGGAACCCGGAAACTTACCTCCCAGACTAACTTCAGCCCCATCACCTGGGCCCGGGGTTGAGATGCACATTCTCAGGTCCCAGGAGGCTGCGCAGACTCCAGCGAGCTAAGGCTGCGGCCCGTTGACTGTGATGGCCCACGGCACATTCTAGGCGAGTGCACCCATGAATGCGCTTGGATTTGGTTTTGCAGTGGTTGTGGTTTTCCTTCAGGGAGTCAAGTCACCCAGCAGATACTTTGTGTCGATTTGCACTGGGTAGCTGACCTGGAGGTCCGTCTTTCCTGGAAACTAGTCTCTAACCTGCTTGCGCCGCGTTACACAGTCTTGGTTCTTTGCACTGTGCAGAGCTGGGGAAGTTGAATGCACAGCCCCTCCCCCCCACGCCGGTGTCCCCTCTGACACTGTCCTCTCTGGATAGCTTCATGAGGCCTCTAGCACCTCCGTTTGGCGAGGCAGTTAGGTAAAGCCAGCTGGATCTTAACCTCATATGACACAGAAAACGATTCATTTCCGTGATTTTTGTTTTTGGGACACGCCGGCTGTTCTCAGGGCTCACTCCTGGCTGTGCATTCAAGGATCACTCCTGGTGGGCTGGGAACCTAATCGTGGAGCGGGGGAATCAAGCCCTGGCGGCCAAGTTCAAGGCAAGCGAGCATAAAACCTGTGTTATCTCTCCATCTCTTTATTTCCCTTATTTACACAACGAAGATAACAGCATGACTGCTTCCAAGAGTTTCTGTGAGTTAAAAGTGACTCATGTAAGAGTTTTGCCACCTGGCAACCAAATCCTTGCTATTGTGATGTATATTATAATTTTAATAATGGTGGCAAAGTAAGAAGCAGGTGAAAAAAATTTTAATTATTGGGTCTGCGGGGTACAGAAACTTACTGACAAACAGAATCACTGTTACCACCTTTATTTTTGGTGTTGTTTCCTTCCTTCCTTCCTTCCTTCCTTCCTTCCTTCCTTCCTCCCTCCCTCCCTCCCTCCCTCCCTTCCTCCCTCCTGGCTTTGCACTCAGAAATTACTCCTGGTGGTGCCTGGACCATATGGTATGCTGGGAATCGAACCTGGTTGGCCGAGTGCAAGGCAAACACCCTACCCGCTGTACTATCACTCCAGACCGGATGTTGTTTTCTTTTTGGTTTGGGGGGGGGGGCAACACTCCAGAGGTGTTCTGTGCTTGGGATTACTCTAGGAGGAGTAAGGAGGTGCTTGGGCTACCATAATTCAGTGTTTGGGATCAAACCCTGGTTGACTGCACACAAGGCCTTAGCCCTGTACTATCTGTGGGATTCCACAGTGCTACTGTTAAACCAGTTTATCCTGGTCGCTTTCCATTAACCCTGTTGGGTTGGTGTGTGGGCCAGCACTCTGCTGACAGCTTGCTGGGAATGCTGGATCTCAGGCTACCTCAGTTGTCATTGTCCTTTGGGCTGTGGCCAGGTTGTGCTGGGCGGCTACTCCTGCCTCCATGCTCATGCTCAGGGACCCTGTGCTAGGCTCCCCCCCCACCTCCGCAATTGACCTTTAAGATCCTCAGTAGATGTGGCTGGCTGCAATTTTGTTTGGAGGCCTTGTGAGATCACCTGGAAATGGCTGACCTTTAACCGGGAATTTAGTGAGATTCGCTTTCTTTCTGTCTTGATCCTACTCTCCTCCCTTGCCTCCTGGGCTTGAGCAGTTTTGCCAGTGAGCTTTAGCCCTGGCTGAATTTCTGGATCAGTACTGATCATGACTGGAAAAAGCTGCCAGTCGTGGCTTTGTGGGTTCTCAGGGACCTTTTGTTCATCTCCATTATGTTGTTCCCTGTGGTGCTGTTTCTCCAAACCTTCATTCTCCCCTGCCCCAAGTGACACTCCTGATTTTTCAGGGGACTATTGCACTATCCCTTTGATGTCACAGAATGTTGTGAACTCCTTCAGCTTATCCTCTTTATAACTTAGAGCCTGTATTTTCTTTTCTTTTCTTTTTTTTTTTTTAATTTTTATTAGTGAGACACCATGAGGTACAGTTGTAGACTTACAAATTTTTGTGCTTGGGTTTCATTTATACAGTGATCAAATACCCATCCCTCCACCAGTGCCCATTTCCCACCACCACGAATCCCAGTATCCCTCCCACCCCCCATCCTCCACATCCCACCCTGTCTCTGTGGCAGGGCATTCCTTTTTGTTCTCTCTCTCCTTTTGGGTGTTGTGGTTTGCAAAAGAGGCAATGGGTGGCAATCATGTTTGGTCTATAATCTACTTTCAGCATGCTTCTCCCATCCTGGGAGGATTCTCCCAACACCCTTTATTTGGTGCTCCCTTCTCTATCTGAGCTCCCTTTCCCCCTAGTATGTGTGGCTGGCCTCCAAGCCACTGAGCAAAATTCCTGGTACTAATCTAGGCCATTCTTGGGTGTTAGTCTCCTATTTTGTTATTTTATGTTCCCCAGATGAATGCAATCTTTCTATGTCTATCCCTCTCTTTCTGAGTCATTTCGCTTAACATGATACTTTCCATGTAGTACCACTTGTATGTAAATTTCATGACTTCCTCTCTTCTAACAGCTACATAGTACTCCATTGTGTAAATGTACCAAAGTTTCTTTAACCAGTCATCTGTTCTCAGACACTCAGGTTTTTTCCAGATTCTGAGCCTGCATTTTTATCCCTCCTTATCTCTCTCCTTTTTTCTTGGCTAGGGCCCTCTCTGCCAGTGCTCAGGGGTCCTGGGGGTCATTCTTGGTGATGCTCCACCCGGCACTGTGGGCCTCACAGTTGACTGCTCTGGCTCATCGATGCTGGGGCCACCAGGACTATCTCTGTGTTGCCCAGAGACCCATGCAGATAGGATGGAGTGTGCCGTGGGCATCTTCCCGCCAGCAGACTTTATTGCCTACTGGTGTGCTGCCCATGCTGTGCTCCCCTTTATTTTCCTGTCAAAACCCTTCTTGTGACAGTGCAGGTAACATCGTGTCTTTGAGGTCATGAGTTCACCACCTGGTTGCCAATAAAGCTTTTTCTGGGCAAGAGGGTTGGCACAGGTGTGCTTGCCATGCATGTGGCTGACCTGGATTTGATCCACATGTGATGCCCTGAGCATTGCCAGGAGTGATCCCCCCGATACAAAACCAAAAGAGGCCTAGAACTGCCAGCCCCACCTCCTCAGGGGAGATGGCCAATGATGTAGTCCCATTGGTTGTTGGTAGAGCTTGTAAACTTAGACTCATGTTGTTGTGAGCATTTAGTTGTTGAGGGCTATTGAAAAATCTTCAAAATGTGTGTATTTTGTTCCTTCAGACCAATATTCTCTTTCTACTTCAGTGTTCTCTGGTCTCTGAATTTAGTTGTTTACTCATTCTGTACGCTGTGAGTTTCGTTCGGACGCAGCTCCCATCACTCTTAAAAGCTTTTTTAGGCACCTGAAGTTGCTCATTCGCTTATTCCTTTGACAGTGTCACCACAGCCTGTGCCCCACACCCTCCCTCAGCTCACTCTCAGCAAGTCACCTCTGCTCAGAAATCCATTTCTAACGAAATCTTGCCCTGTTCTCCCAATGTGGTGTGCTTTCTCCTTTGTCTGAAACCCTTTGTCTGCTGTGGCTTTCACTGTTTAGAGTTGTGGCATAGCAAACACTTCTTGGATGTCTTGCAACCCCTCTGGGATAGATGTTGGGTGGGAAGAGGTGGAGGGGGCACCATAGAGAGTCTTGGAAGGGGGATTCACATTTGGGTAAGATGTTCCCTTGCACTGAGAATTTCACTTTATGGTGTTCGGTTTTCTACCTTTACTGCTATTGGAAACACGCAAGGGTGCCCAGTGCCTGGGTCTTCCCAGGAGAGTCTGATTTAATTGGTGTGGGATGAGACCGGCCCTGTTAGGAGCTCCCTGGGTGATTCTAATGCTCTGCCAAGCTTGACCGCCATTGTGCTAATGGAAGGAACAGACCAGTAAATGGCGCATTTCATGAGGCTAGAGAGTGAGCTGGGTACCTTGGAAGCCCAGGGGAGTTGCTGATGTTGCCTGGAGTAACTTTGACCTCTGAAACCCAGCAATTCTCACCTGGTGCTGGTGTAGTGTGATGGACTGCATGCCAGGATGACTGTGCTCAGGCCACGTCCTCATCTGTGCTCCGCATTTTGGGGCCACCAGGCACTTCCTTGGCTTTTAAGCACTTGAAATACAGCTGGTGTCGGTGATGAACTGAACTTTGGACTTTAAATAGCCACGTGTGACTAGTAACGTGTTGGACAGTGTTTAATTGACACGTTAAGTATTTTGATGTTATTTATGCTGGGTCTACATAAGTTTTGCAGGTTGTTTTCTTAGAATTGTTTGGAAGGGGATATGGTGCCGCCAACAGGTCAGCCTGTATTTGTGGGGCAAGTGCATCAGCAACCTTATGGTGCCTTCAGACTTCCTGGTACCCCAAAATTGCTGCTGTGCCTTTGGCCGGACCCCAACAACTTGGGGCCAAGTTTACCAAGAAATGAAATGGCCAAAAGTTAGGTATGTGGGAGCCATACCCACAAGCCACCTCTAGCTCAGCTATACAAACTCATATATTGACCTTATTTCAGAGACACATAAATCTTGAAAGAGATCAAAAGCTGCAGTTAGGGCTGGCAGCACAGCACGCTTATTTCTCTGGAAAAGATGGAAACAAGGGCCATGATTCAGAGACACACAGAAGAATCTCCTAACCAGAGATGCTTCCAGACTTTAAGTCAGGCCAACTTCACCAGGGTGCCTCAGACAGGGACAGGCATCATCCCTCCACCTGCTCCCTAAAAACCCTAGCGGCACCAACTTCCAGAACCCAGTGAGAAGTGCAGGTACACGGGTTCAGTGATGACAAACTCCAGGCCTCAAGGAATAGGGGATGGGCCAGTCCCTCTCTTCCCTGGTCTCCATGGGACCCTGGAGGTCATGCCCACAAACTGCCTCTGGTTGCTACTTAAGCTCCTTGGCGGCCATGGCCCAGAAACACACATACAAAAATCTCCGAATGGAGCAGCTCACTGCAGAGATTTCTCCAGACCCTAATTATCTGGAATTTCAGAGTTCCAGGAGTGTGCAGCTACTCTTGTGGCCGCGTGACATCTTATGCTATTCATAACAAGCAATACAAAAGAGAGTATGGGGCAGATTGTCTGCCATAGAGGCAGGGGGAGGGTTGGGATGGGGGGGATACTGGGGGCCTTGGTGGTAGAAGATGTGCACAGGTGGATGGTTGGGTGATGGATCATTGTATGACTGAAACTCAAACAGGAAAGCTTTGTAACTATCTCACGATGATTAATAATAATAATAAAATTTAACATTCTGAATTAAAAAGTAATGTGGAGTTCACGCACAGTTCAATTAGCTTAATCAGTGGCTGAATAAAAACAGTACTCCTACATTGAAAAAATTGTTTGGAAATTAAGTCATCTCATTGAATCTTTCTAATTCATTTTTTTAAAAAGTGGAGGAGGATTTACTTAAAATACCTGTAAAAGGTTTGGGGGCTGGGAAGATTGCCCAGAGACCTGGACGCCCCAAGTTCTGTATGTTCCCCAACACCACCAGGTGTACCACTGCTTCCCCACCCCCACGGGGCACTGGCTGCCAAGTTATCAGGACCATGAAAGCTGGGCAGAGTGTTGCCAGGAGTGGCCTTGTAGCCTCCTTACCCTCTCCCTCCCAAACTGCAACTGTTTTACTTAGACATGATTCACTTACTAGGTAATTGACTGTTCAGAATGTGCAGATACGGGCCTTCACTAATCAAGTTTAGGTTCTTCATCTCGAAAAGAAGCCCAGTTACCCTTTAGTTCCTACCTTTTAGCTCCAGTCCTCTGAACCCCTGAACTACTGTTTGCTCTCTTGTGATTGTCTTCCACATAGGCTGATGTCTTCAGTTTGCTTATGTTGTTCTGTTGGATCACTGTCTGTAGCACTGTCCTCCCGTTGTTCATCGATTTGCTCGAGTGGGCCCAGTAACGTCTCCATTGGAGACTTTGTTGTTACTGTGTTTGGCATATCGAATACGTCACGGGGAGCTTGCCAGGCTCTGCTGTGCGGGCGAGATCCTCTCGGTAGCTTGCCGGGCTCTCCGAGAGGGGCGGAGGAATCGAACTCAGGTCGAACTCAGGTCGACCGGGTTGGTCACATGCAAGGCAAACGCCCTACCCACTGTGCTATCACTCCAGTTCTGTTGGATCAATACTTGTTTTGTTTTTATTTTTTGGGTCACCCCTAGCAGTGCTTAGTACTTTCTCCTGGGAAGCTCTGGGGCTTTCTGGGATGTCTGGGATTGAATCTGGGTCAATCCTGTGTGCAAATATAAATACCTGTTGTACTATCTCTTCAGCCCCCAATAGCTTTTTTAAAATTTATTTATTTATTTATTAGCTTTTTTTAAAAAATGATTTAATCATTTCCATTTTATGGATAGACCACATTTTGTTTGTTCTTCAGTTGATATTGGGGTTGTTTCTGCTTTGGGATTCTGTGACTAATGCGATTATAAATTTCTTTTTTAAATAAATATATTTTCATTTTGTGCTTATGCATGGGAGTGGAATTGCTGAGGCATATGGAAAATGCCTAATTTTTTGTCTCAGTGAGGACTATGTTTGACCATACATGCCATGTTATTGAGTATTTTTATTTCAGTTATTAAGGATTCTCTTAGTCCAAGATGGAAGTGATTTTTTTTTTCTGATGGGGGGGCGGGGGGGGGGACAACCTGATGATGCTGAAGGGTTACTCCTGACTCTGCACTCAGGAATCACTGCTGGCAGCGCCCAGGGGGACTGGATGGGATGCCAGGGATGGAGCCTGAGTGGGCCTCAGGTGAGGCAAGCACCCTCCCTGCTGTCCTATCCTCCAGCCCTGAAGGAAGTAATTTTTAATTACAGCTTCTTCTCTAGTAATTGTGCATCTTTTTAGCTGTTAAGGCTGCTTCTTGCCTTCCGCAGGATGCTGTGCTTCCTGTTCCTTTGTGAGTGTCTCCTGCTGGTGACTGCTCATGCTCACGATGATGACTGGATTGACCCCACAGACATGCTCAACTATGATGCTGCTTCTGGAACCATGAGAAAGTCTCAAGTATGGAGAACTGCATGTGGGGGGCAGGGGGATGCTCCGTGGTCACCGCTGGGACTGGCGCCAGACCAAAACAACCTAAAAGTGGATGAACTAAAATGATGTGGCTCAGTACAGTTTAAGAATCTATTTTAGGTTATTTTTGTAACTGAACTATAAGGAGACTCTTACTTTCCTTTGTTTTAGGTGAAGTATGGGATGCCAGAGAGAAAGGAGTTGAACCCTGATTTACCTTATGCTGATGAGTTGTCAGAATGTTACAAGAGCCTGGATTCTTTAACTTACAAGGTTAGGAGGTTTCCATGGATGGATTTTGTTATTTAGAGCACTTGAATAGCTTTGCTAATATAATTTGTTTTTGTGTACTGTAGATGTATATTTTTTCTTTCCTCTGGACTTTTTAAGTACTATTTTAATGTTTCTGTAATATCTCATTGTATTGTAATTATTTCTCTAGCAAATTGAAGTTTTCTTAGAACAAGGAACAAGTTTTATTCCTTCTCAATTCTCTTATCACCTGGCACAGGTTCTGGGTTTAGTAATCTGAGCAGATGTAGTCAATAACCATCAGCTTGAAAGCCTAGGAGTCCCTTTTGCAGTGGGAGGGATTCTTACCTGGTGTGTGGTGTGTGGTGGCTGTTCCTCCACTTACTCCATGCATGTGCAGTTGAAATACAGCTGTGAGAAAGGAAGTGGGTCAGGATTGTCTGGGGTTCGCCTATTTGCTGTGGGTTGTGGGGGGGCGGGGAGGGGTCATTGAGGGTCCCTTGAGGGAAGGGCAGAGGCTCAGCAGTGCTGGAGGCTCTGGCTGAGGCAGGGTTGGTCACAGAGAAAGTGCTTGACTTTTCCCTGTTAGAATTGGCAAGTTTGGGGGGCTGGAGCAATAGCACAGCGGGTAGGGCGTTTGCCTTGCACGCAGCTGACCTAGGTTCAATTCCCAGCATCCCATATGGTCCCCTGAGAACCGCCAGGAGTAATTCCTGAGTGCATGAACCAGGAGTAACTCCTGTGCATCACTGGGTGTGACCCAAAAAGAAAAAAAAAAAAAAATTGGCAAGTTTGGTAGCTGAAGGACCGAGGAGCAGGGAATTAGGAAGAGCTGGAGTGAAAGTGTGAGTTTTTTTTTTTCTTTTTGGGTCACACCTAGCTGTGCACAGGGGTTACTCCTGGCTCATGCACTCAGGAATTACTCCTGGCAGTGCTCGGGGACCATTTGGGATGCTGGGAATTGTACCTGGGTCGGCCACGTGCGAGGCAAACACCCTACTTGCTGTGCTATCGCTCCAGCCCCCAAAGGTGAGATTTATTTACCCGAGAACCTGGAATGCCAGGGTTTCTGCAGGAGGTCTGGCCCTACTAAATGCCATCTTGCCAAGATTACTAAATGCCAAGAGTCCGTGGGTAAAGTTGCCTTCCCTTTTTTTGTGGGTTTTGTGGAAGTAGTGAACAAGTTTGCTGAATAGTAGGAAATTCTTTTTAACAGAAACTTTTCATGCTGTTTTTTCATGACTGGTTCAAACATTGTAAAACACAGTTGGTCAAATGTTTTATAAGTCCTTGTTTTGTAAAAGGACCTGAGAGAGAACAAACTTAGTTTCTCTCTTGACATTTGTGGAAAGGATTGTAAACCATGCCTGAGAGCCCAGGAGACCAGCACTGACTTTTTTAACGTGTCCTTGTCATCCTGTGGCATTCAGATTGCCATCTGAAGCACATTTCAGTTCTCAGCTCATGGGACTTACCCAGGAAACTGAAGGTTGCTTCCAGGAAGTACTGGGTGACAGGCCTGAGCCCCGGCAGCTGGCCACCGGTGTGCAGGAGGTCTGCCCTACTGAAGGGTGCGGTCATGCCTCAAAAGTTCTGCCAAGAACAGCAGGGCGGAGTTGTAGTGGCAGGAAAAATTAGAAGGTAAAAGTAATGTGCACAGTCAAGAAATTCTTGCTGCCTCTTCATTTTTTCTTCTTTGTGATCTGACAATTTTAAAAAATGCTTCAATCAGCTAAAACCAAACAACAACAAAAATACCCGGCCACACAGGACAAAATGCTGGACATTCTTTCTTTTGGCACAAAGAACCCACAGAAAGAAAGAAGACAGGCTTTATTTATTGTTTGTTTGTTATTAGGCCACTCCCACCTGTGCTCAGGGTTTACTCCTGCCTCTGCACTCTGGGATCATTCCTGGTGGGACTCAGGGAACCGTATTGGGTGTTGGGGGGTCGAACCCAGGTCTGCCATGTTCAAGGCAAATGCCTTACCCACTGTACTGTTGCTCTGGCCCAGACAGGCTCTTACTTTTCTTTTTTTTTCTTTTTGGGTCATACCTGGCGATGCACAGGGATTACTCCTAAAGGGGCTCTTCACTCAGGAATTACTCCTGGCGGTGCTCGTGGACCTTATGGGATGCTGGGAATTGAACCCCGGTCGGCTGCGTGCAAGGCAAATGCCCTACCCGCTGTGCTATCGCTCCAGCCCCAGGCTCTTACTTTTTAATGTAACTGACAAATGAGAGCTAAAAAAAAAAATCAGCTCCTTAACATAATATCGACGGGGCTTCTGGGCTGGAAACTTGAGCCTTATGATGCAGACTAATGTTGATTTTATATTGTGATTACAGATTGAGGAGTGTGAAAAGAAAAAGAGGAAGGACTATGAAAGCCAAAGTAATCCTGTGTTTAGGAGATACCTAAATAAGATTTTAATTGAGGCCAGAAAGCTTGGACTTGTGAGTATTTGGGGGTGTGATACTAACCATGTTCACTGTTTCTTAATTCAAAATGACATAAAACCGCGATGAAGAATGATTATGCTTAAACAGGGAATATCCAGTTCACTCTTTAACCAAAACATTTTCCCATGCAGAAATAAAGGTCCAGCTTGCTTTGCAGGATTTGGTGGAAGGCAAATGATGTCCACCAAACCTCTTTTTACCTCCTGGTTCCTGGGGATCAACTCTGCACTACTGAACCACTTAATTTGAGTTTGGTGGGCAGAGAACTTTATAAAATTATATACATGACATACAATTGTATACAAAATGTATAAAATTCATTTATGCCATTTGCCACTTTTAATAAACAGAGACAGTACAGTAGGTAGGGTGCTTGTCTTGCACGTGGTCAACCTGTGTTCAATCCGTGGCATCCCATATGGTCCCATGAGCACCGCCAGGACTAATTCCTGAATGCAAAGCCAGTAATAACCCTTGAATATTGCTGGGTTGGACACTTCGTAAACAAAAAGTTGGAAACTTTGTAAACACATGCCTTAATAATAAGGAAGATCTGGCACAGTGGTTCAGTATGTGCTACATAGCGTTCAGGGGTGACTTTTATAGACGGTAACTATTGCAATAGCAAGAATGAATTGCATTTTAGTAAGTTGTAAAGTATCTTGTGCAGTTGTAGAGGTCTTGGAGTGTCTTCCATATGTATGTGTTTGATTTTCATGTTGACTATGAAATAACCTGTGGTTATCATTACCTGTAGGTATAAGATATTATAAATTGAATATTATATTGAGCTATATTGAACTAGTTAAATATTTTGGTTGGTCTTAAAATATTTCATGAACAATATAAAATTCTTTTCTGTTTTCGGGGCAAATACAATCCAGTCTGATGATGAGAAAAATGATATGCATTATGATGCGGAGATTATCCTTACAAGACAAACATTGTTAGAAATACGGAAGTTTCTCAATGGAGAAGAATGGCAGCCCGGAGCTCTGGATGATGCGCTAAGTGATATTTTAATTAATTTTAAGTTTCATGATTTTGAAAAATGGAAGTGGCGATTTGAAGATACTTTTGGAGTGGATCCATATGATTTGTTTATGGTAAGATGGGAGAGGAGGGAGACATTTTAGTAGCAGGGTTTGTCCTTCTTATACACTTTGATGTATTTTTTCCCAAATTTTATTTTAGGCACCATGATTTACGGTATTGATAATGGCAGGGTTTCACGCACAAAACATTCCAGTACCATCCACCAGAGTACCTGCTTCCCTCTCCCATGTCCCCTTCCCACGTGCTATCCCCCAAGCCCCCTGCACTGCTCTGCTTCCTACTAAAGATCAGTTCTAAGTTCCTGTTGCCTTTGAGTATTTGTTTCCTTAGACAGTACAGCGGGTAGGGCGCGTGCCTTGCCTTAAGGTGAGGAAGGTCTGGGACAGTGTTTCAATATTTGCTAAATAGCATTCAGGGGTGAATGAACAGTTTCTGGGTTCAGTCCATGGCAGCCCATATGGTCCCATGAGCACTGCCAGGAGTAATTCTTGGATGCAAAGCCAGGAATGACTCCTGAATATTGCTGGGTGTGACCCCCAAAACAAACAAAAAGTTGGAACCGTCATCAATGCATGCCTTAATAATGAGGAAGTTCGGGGACAGTGGTTCGGTATTTGTTGTACCTATGAGTGCAGTCTTTCTGTGTCTGCCCCCTCCCAACTTCCCTCCACATGATCCTCTCCAGACCCATCCACATAGCAGCACATTTCAGGATTTTGTCTTACAGCTGAGCAGTATTTTTATATACTCTTCTTTCTTTTGTTGTGTTTGGACCACACTTGACAGTGCTCAGGGCTTACTCCTGGCAGTGCTCGGGGGGATGATCTGGGATGCTGGGGATTGAACTCAGACCAGCGGCATGCACGGCAAGCGCCCTACCCCCTGTACTATTCCTCCGGTGCTTATACACTCTTACACAGTTCTGCTGTGATCATGTTTCTCTGTACCAAGTCACTCATGACTTGCAGCAAGATTGTGCAAATGACATTGCATATTGAGTGCAGTCCTCGTGTTTCTGCTGCTCCTCTTCCCCCAGGTGGGGGTGTTGGCCACTGACCCTGCTCTGCTTGTCTTTGAGGTGCTGCTGTGCCTGTTGTGCATCGTGGTCTTAGTAGCTACTGAGCTGTGGACCTACATTCATTGGTACACCCAGTTGAAACGTGTCTTCTTCATCAGTTTCCTCTTCAGTGTGGTGTGGAACTGGATATATTTATATAAGGTATTTAATAGGTTGGGGGTCTTAACATTTTTAATGTTTTATAATAAAAGAACTGTGATCCATTTAGAGCTTTAATTGTGTGTGTGTGGGGGGGTGTGTGTGTGTGTAGTGGGTGAGGGGTATGATTAACAACTCAGCTATATTTGTATTTTTCTTTATCCTTTCTGTTTTGTTTGGGGGTTGTGAGGTGGGGGACTTGACCAGTTATGGGGGGGGGAGAGATATGTTTTAAAAATTAAACTTACCACCTGGAGATAATCACTTTCAATGTCTTACGGTGTTTACAGTCTTTTATCTGCACATATTTTTTATTTTTTAGAAAGTTGAAAAGTTTATTGGAATGTAGAAAAGAAAGGAAAAAGAATGCCCCCTGTGGGGAGAAACTTAATATAGTACTAAGTTCTGCATTTTAATTCTTTTAAAATTGGTATCACATACATATTAGAAATTCAAAAGAAGCACTAGCATTGCTGTCAGAATAGCACAGGCATAAAGGGAAATTTCTGATCTTCCTAGCAAGGTAAGCTAAGCAGCCAGAGAATCTCAGTGCATTCATCTCACTGAATAATTAGGGTTATTTCCTTAACATTTTGGTTTGGTCTAAGTTCCAGAGCTTTTGGAATCTTAACTATTTACAAAGTAAAGGAAGGGAGACTTATTGAATATTATTATTTTAATGATTTCCTTTGGGAAGCTTTGATTATTAAAGGTACATTATCTTAGGGACCTGAATGTAGTTCACAGGTAGAGCGAATGCTCAGCTGTGACCCTGCATTGGTTCCAGGCACTATGAAGAACAAACTATTTTTCATTGATGTTGAAATCACCCAAGGAAGACACAGCTTTGTCATGAGTTAGAAAATGGGAAGTGGGGCTGGAGTGATAGCACAGTGGGTAAGGTGTTTGCCTTGCACACAGCCGACCCAGGTTCGATTCCCAGCATCCCATATGGTCCCCTGAGCACCACCAGGAATAATTCCTGAGTACAGAGCCAGGAGTAACCCCTGAGCATTGCCGGATGTGACCCAAAAAGCCAAAAAAAAAAAAAAAAGGAAGTTATTTATTATATGCAGCTATGTTGGAGGGGAATGTTATGAATTTTTATCCTTTTCAGAATTTTTTTAAAATGTCAGTTGTTTTAGTAAAAAGGTTTTCCATGGGCCCAGGATGTAACTCAGTGGTAGAACACATACTTTGGATGTTCAGAGACCTGGCGCTGATCACACACACACACACACACACACACACACACACACACACACACAATTTTCTTTCTTTATAATTAGCAATCATTGTTGTTTTTGTGTTAAGACTGATTTTCCATGAGCTATAAAAATACTAAACAGGTTCGGAGAGCTAGTACAGCGGGTAGGGTATTTGCCTAGCAGGTAGGGCCATGCCCGGTTCCATCCCTGGCATCCCATAGGATCCTCCGAGCCTGGCCAGAAGTTACTCCTGAGCACGGCCAGGTGTGGCCTCAGAACAACAGCGAGAGAGACATTCTGCACATTCTTTGCTATTTAACTTTTCAAGGATCTGGCGTGGTGGGGTGGTGAGGGCTTGCCGGGTTTGGGGTGCGGCTTGACCTTCACTCCAGCTTTCCCTCTCTCTGTCGGTGTGGCCAGCTCGCCTTTGCACAGCATCAGGCGGAAGTTGCCAAGATGGAGCCACTAAACAACGTATGTGCCGAGAAGATGGGCTGGGCTGGCAGCCTCTGGGGTAAGGTGCTGACCAGATCCCTGCACATTAGAGTGACCGCATACCAGAGATCCATAAAGAATTTATTAGATTCCAGGAGGTTTTTTTTTTTTTTATTAGTGAAAAACCATGAGGTACAGTTATAGGCTTACAAATTTTGTGCTTGGGTTTCAGTTATACAATGATCAAGTCCCCATCCCTCCACCAGTGCCCGTCATCCATCCCCATGGGTCCCAGCATCCCCCCCACCCTCATCCCCCCCCCCCCCCCCCCCGTCCCATCCTGCCTCTGTGGCAGGGTATTCCCCCTTGTTCTCTCTCTCTTCTTTTGGGTACTGTGTTTTGCAAGAGAGGCTTTGAGTGGCAATCATGTTTGGTCTATCGACTACTTTTAGCATGCTTCTCCCACCCTGGGAGGGCCCTCACAACACCCTTCATTTGGTACTCTCTTCTCTATCTGAGCTTCCTTTTCACCTAGAGCCTGTGGCTGGCCTTCCATTCATGGAGCAAAATTCCTGGTACTAATCTCAGCCATTCCTGTGTGTCACTCCAGGAGGTTTTTCTTGACTGAATCTTTAACATCAGTAGACTCTGCGAGAGTCTCAGGTTTAGGAGCAGTGATTTTTGCATTTTTCATAAGCCACTGTGTTCTTGTACCAGTTTTCATGGGGAAATTCTTTGTGCTGACTCTCGCATTACCCGTCAACTAATAACAGGTGAATCCTCTGTTCACCGGGGCTCACAGAGTCCTCAGCACCAGTCCTCAGGTGCGACAATGGAGAGGAATTGCAACCTGTTGTTTGATTTCTTTATTTCGACTTTTGAAATCTTCTATGCGTAGATGAGAAAGATGGGCGAGCTGGCAAGGGGCATGGCGCTGTCACATGCTAGCCTTCGCCTTCAGTATTGAAGCAGTTATTAAATCATGGTACCTCGATAAAATCGGATGGTGGTAGGAGTGAAGTCAAAAACTAAAATACTGTCTTATTTTTGTGAACGCAGTGTGACTTTTACAAAACGACTCAGTGTTTTCTGTTCTTTGAATAGAATGGTTCAGAATATCATGGACCTATAAGGATGACCCATGCCAGAAGTACTATGAGCTCCTGGTTGTCAACCCTGTCTGGTTGGTCTCACCAACAAAGGTACATGTTCTGGAACGTTTGCTTCTACGGAGGTCTGATACTGAGGGCTATTTTGCTAATAATTTTCCCAGAAAAATGCAGTTCCATTACACTGTGCGAACAATGTCCTGTGGTGGCCAGGGGGCTGGCCCCGAGAGCGGGTGCAGCCCCAGCCTCCATCCCTAGCATGCCGCTGCCCTGAGCACTGTGGGTGTGGGTGGCTCAGGAATAATAGCACTGCAGCACTGTCCTCCTGTTGTTCATTGATTTTCTCGAGTGGGCACCAGTAATGTCTCCACTGTGAGACTTGTTGTTACTGTGTTTGGCATATCGACTACGTCATGGGGAGCTTGCCAGGCTCTGCCGTGCAGGCAAAATACTCTTGGTATCTTGTCGGGCTCTCTGAGAGGGGCGGAGGAATCAAACCCAGGTTGACCACGTGCAAGGCAAACGCCCTACACGCTATGCTATCGCTCCAGCCCAGAAATAATAATGAAAAATAAATTGGCACATGGCAGCATTTTAATTGAATCAAAAAGTTCCAGTGCAATGAATTTGACTTAGTTGTGGGCCTCAGTTCTTCTAGGGAAACTTGACATTGCTTCCATCTCGTTGTAGGCATTCGCGGTTACCCTCACCACCTTTGTCATGGACCCACTGAAGTACGTCGGCAAAGGCTTGGGGGAGTTCATCACGGCGTTCATGAAGGAGATCCCGGGCATTCTGCACATCCCCGTGCTGATAATCTTGGGGCTGTCAGCACTGGTTAGTAAGAGCAGCATGGAGCACGGACAGGGTTAGAGAAGGCCCTTCTGAAATCACCCGGCTGCCCCAGTAACGTCAGGATCAGTCTTGACTGGGATAAAAAAGGTGGTTTGGGTTTTTTTTTTTTTTATTTTTTTTATTACAGATTTTGTATTTCTGTTATGTGGCTCTCCAGTTTGACTGTTGCTGTCTTAGCAGTGATCTGGAACTGTGCTTCTCAGCCTTTTCCAACCATCTTCTGGTTGATCCCAGTCTCATGCACTGGTCTCTCTCATTTATGAGATTTTTTTTTTTTTTATTGTGGCCGCCTTGAAATACCTTGATTGCTCACAGGTGGTCACATGGCCCTGGTCTTTCCCATGAAGTGTGACTTTCCATGGAATTGTAAATACACAGGAGACTATTTAATAAACAACTTTACATTTTTCAGATTACTAATCTTCCTGGATTTTTGCAAAACTGCTATTATATATACTATTGTATAATTAATATATATTATATAATTAATATATATAATAGTATATATAAAAGTCAGACTGTATTCAACTGACTGAAATGGCTAATGACTTTCCATTTCATTGATGACTATGGACTTGTACTTAACAGATTTTTGTTGTTTTTTGGGCCACACCTGGCAATGTTCAAGGGTTACTCCTTACTGTGCTTGGGGGGGGCGTGCCACATGGGATGCCAGGGATCAAACTTGGGCTGGTCATATGCAGGACAAATGCCTTACCCACTGTATTATTGCTCTGGCCCCAAGAATACATATCTTTTTATTTATTTATTTATTTCTTGTTTACAGATAACCAAGACTTTATTTAAAAAAAAAAAACCTGATCATAATCACTTTGAAAATCACAGTACCAAAAAGCACAAATTAAAATAATGATGAGGTATCACCTTACACCAACGAGAATAGCATATATTGAAAAAAAAATACCCTGAAAACACAAAATATTGGTGGGAATGTGGTGACAAAGGAAGCCTTATTAACTACTGTTGGGAATGTCACTTGGTCCAGCCTCTAAGGTAAACAATAGGTAGATTTTTCAGAAATTAGGAATGGAGCTTCTATTTGACCCAGATATCCTACTTCTAGTCATCTTCCTCTAAAACACAAAAACATTAATTTGAAGATATACACTCATGCCTATGTTCATTCCAACTCTTAGTCCAATAGCAGTATGTAGAAACAATCCAAATATCCAATAACAAATTAATGAATACAGTTCTGGTACGCATACACAATGCAATACTATGCAGCCACTAGAAAAAAATTGTCAAGGAATACATTTTTTTTTTTTTTTTTTTGCTTTTTGGGTCACACCTGGCGATGCTCAGGGGTTACTCCTGGCTCATGCACTCAGGAATTGCTCCTGGCGGTGCTCAGGGGACCACATGGGGTGCTGGGAATCGAACCTATGTTGGCCATGTTGGCTGCATGCAAGGCAAACGCCCTACCTGCTGTGCTTTCACTCCAGCCCGAGGAATACATATCTTTTTAAAAAAGAAGTGGAATTGAGCCTCCAAGGTAGAGCTCTTACCTTGCTGGTGTGAGACCTTGAGTTTGATACTTAGCACTACAAAAAAAAAAAAGTACAAAACTGTGCACTCTGATTAAGCCACCTCATTAAGTACTCAGTCACGAGTATTTCTCTTCCTCCTAGGGCTTCTGGTATGCTGTTGGGACGTCTGTCGTCCCTATGCTGAGACTCATGCGAGGCCCCGGGAGTGAGCCGCCTCCAGCCCTGGAGTCTGGTCGGGGCCGAGACCGCCGCTTGGAGGAGCTCGACTATAGGAGCCCGGGGGGAGCAGGTGATGCAGCCCACAGGGGCCACATCGAGCCCCGGGAGCGAGGCCCCTATGAAATGACGCATGAGGGTAGAAGAAATGTTTTGAGAGAGAGAGATGGTGACCTGAGAGTTCAGCCTGGCACCAGGAGCCCCGAAGTGCTGCGGCCCTTTGATTTTCCAGACGCTGAGGCGAGAGAGCTTCCCCGGGTGGCGCCCAGCGTAAGTCGGCCACTGTTCCTTGTGCTGTCACACTCTCCCCTCCTCGCAGGCCTACAACTTCCCACAGAGCCTTCAGTGACGTTTGTCCCTCTCCTCTCTGGTCAAAAGGTAGTCCAGCCGCCTCTGGTGTAATGGCAGTGCATCTTGATATTTATTCTCTGCTGTTTAACAGTGGGCTGGAGCAACAGCACAGTGTGTAGGGTGTTCGCCTTGCACACGGCCGACCCAGGTTCGGTTCCTCCGCCCCTCTCGGACAGCCCAGCAAGCTACTGAGAGTATCTCGCCCACATGGCAAAGCCTGGCAAGCTACCTGTGACATATTCGATATGCCAAATACAGTAACAAGTCTCATAATGGAGATGTTACTGGGCCCGTTTGAGCAAATCGATGAACGGGAGGACATTGACAGTGACAGCTGTTTAACAGTAGTTTGTTAGAATACCGGGTGATTTGTAATAAATTTCCCAGGAGGTCAGCAGGGGGCTTGATCTGAAGAGATCAGAGATTGGTCTTCCCTGGAGTGGGAAGGGATCACAGCCTCATTTTCTTGAGTCCTTATCACTGGCTGGCCAGACCTTTTTACTACAGAATGGGTGGAGTGTCTTTTCTACCACCGTTGACCATTCAGAGGGACATCTCCATTCCCATTTGTGAGTGTAATTAACACTTGGAACTTTTTTTTTTTTTTTTTTTTTGCTTTTTGGGTCACACTCGGCGATGCACAGGGGGTTACTCCTGGCTCATGCATTCAGGAATTACTCCTGGCCGTGCTCGGGGGGCCATATGGGATGCTGGGAATTGAACCCGGGTCGATTTGCATGCAAGGCAAACTCCCTTCCCGCTGTGCTATCGCTCCAGCCCCAACACTTGGAACTGTTTAAGTTGCCACTCTAGACCTTTGAGAAATGATAAGCATGGTCAGCCCAGGAAACTGCAAAATTCTTTCCCGTCAAGTGTGTCGAAGTCAAAAATAAGCACTGCTTCATGCAGCTGGGTCCTCTCAGATGTTCCTCTCCACTTTGATGGTAAATGGGGATGTCACTCACTCAGAAACCTTCCGTGACTTCCCCCTCACTTGACAGAACAGCGGGAGATCCCACGGCGTTACCGCTCTAGCCTGTTACGGAAATCTCCACCTCACCACCCAGTTGTTCATCCTGCTTCAGCCACAGGGGTCTCTGGGAATCCTTAAACACTTTTTTTCCCCCTTGGATTTTTGGGTCACACCCGGTGATGCTCAGGGGTTATTCCTAGCTCTATACTCAGGAATTACTCCTGGCGGTATTCAGGAGAACATATGGGATGCTGGGAATCGAACCCGGGTCGGCTACGTACAAGGCAAATGCCCTCCCCACTGTTGTATAGCCGCAGCCCTCAACACTGTTCTCGATGGTCACCCTGTGAGAGTCTTTCTCCCCAGTCTATGAACTCGTAGGGATCCTGGGACCTTCCAGACAGCCCTGACTGAGACAGTGATACCGTTACAGTCCAGCCCCAACTGAGACGTGAGAGTTGAGTTTGCCACAACGGCTTTGCACATGAACTTGGCCAAACATTGGATTACTAAACCATCAGACCGTATTATGCCACTGAAAATGTACCTCTGCTTTCCAGCATAATGCACCTGTTTCGGATACCAAAGCCAAAGTGAGCGGTGGATTCCCGGAAGAGCATGTGACCAAGAATACCCAGCCGGCTAAGCCTGCGTCCGGCCCAGAGCCTGCTGAGATTGAGCTGCCTGCTACAGCCCCTGTGCTGGGCAAGGCCCCGCCCCCCGTGCCCCCCATGCCAGGCAAGGCCCAGCTCAGGACTGATGCTTGCGGCAGCCCAGAGGAACACGGCGCAGTTGCACAAGCATGTGGACAGCAGTTGGACAGCAGCCCCAGTGGCTAGAGGCTCAGGCACGGACCCAGGCGAGGGCGTTGTTGGGTTTTGTGATGTGCATACCCTCATAGCTCCATGCCGTGAGCATCTTCATACCAACTACCAACTACCCAGGGGCCAACTTACACTTTATTTTACCGACAGAGTGAGAAACACATGGATGTCACATATGTATACAGTTTCTTTGATACTAACATACAGCCCCATAATTTTTTAAGTGTTAATTTTGGAACAGGATGGCAAGCATCACTGATTTTGAATAATTAAGGTCAATCTGAATTAACACATTGTTTAATGTGTTTGTTAATCTGTATATACACGTGAACCACCGTAGCTGGTATGTGCCATGCCTGTTTCAGTGTATTAATGGACACTGAAAAAGTTTTATGGGCACATACAAAGGAACTAATGCCAGAATATATTTTTACCTAATGGAGTACTGCAGTCCAGAATGTCAGCTTTGCATTGAATTCCAAGTGTTTCCCAGAGTGTTCTCAAAAACGATGTCTTGTTTTGAGCCACACTTAGCAGTGCTCAGGGGCTCTTCCTGGCTCTGTGCTCAGGAGTGAGCCCCAGAGTGCTGGGGCTAGGGGTACTGTATATGGTGCCCGGGTTTGAACTGGGCTTGGCAGGATGCTAGGCAAGTGCCTTAACTGCTGTACTATTTGGCCCTGATAAAGAATTTCTCAGGCAAGCCCTTAATACCTTTAAGCGGAGACTCTTGATATCTTTCTTTGGAGGGTCCCCAAGGCTGCCGCAGAGCAGTGGGCATCCTGCTTCTCTTAGCTGGCAATGAAGACTGTCAGGGGAAACCCATACTCTTAGGGTTATGTAGTCTTAGAGAATGGCTTTGTTCTTGTCCACCAAAGGGTTTGTGAGACCTGTTTTCTCATTATCAGCAGTTGAGACTTAGTTGTTAGTGGACTGTTTCTTATTCGTAACAAACCATATTGTATCATAAGATCTGATTTTTAGAGACCTATAGGTAGTTAAAATCATGATAGGAACAGGTTTTTTTTTTTTTTAAAGGCAGATGATATAATCAACATTTTCGTTTGTTTTTTAAGGCAGTTTTGGGCCAGAGAGGTGGCTCACTGGGCTGAGTTCACACAGGAGGCCTGGGTTGGCACCATGGGATTCCCCGGTACTCCCCCCTGCCCCCAAAGTCGTGGCCCCCAAGCCTCTCAAAAGAACCACTTCAAATTCTGCTCCTGTGCTTAGTCAGGACGCAAATTTCACATTATTTAAAATTTCATTTTAGTCTTCAGAAGGTGTTTAGCCACTAAAAAGAATAATCAGAAATAATTTTCAAGTGGGCATTCATTTTAGAAAATATATTCAAAGCATTTGCTTTTTGATAATTTTTACATTAAAGGCAGAGTGGCCCCTTTCAGCCCCCAAAGCATCACTGTTTTATGTTAAACTTTCCTGTTTAATGTTGTAAAGATCTGTGCTAATCCACCAGGGTGAATAATCCAAGGAACCCCTAGGTTCCCTCTGAGCTGTGAGGGATGTGACCGGGAGAGAGATGCCTCAAGGGACAGGCTGGCGGCTAGAGTGACGATCAGGCGTCTGCGCTCCTGCCCCATACAAAACCCGATCTTCCAGAAAGGAAGGAAGGAAGCGAATTTCTTCTTTGTATTCTTTCATTTCAGATGACCGTTTGGGGATGGAAACCACCTTGATAGCAGGCGACATTCTGCTGCTGTTTAAGGACGGCCGCTGTAAAATCTTTACAGGCCGCGATCAGGGAGAATTTGTTAAAGCAAACGGAATATACAAAAGCCAGTGTGTAAGCTGGAGACACAGGCTTGCCTACTGTCTAGCCAGTATTTGTTAAAATCTAGGATTGTGGCTTTCAAGAAAAATCAGAACGGGAAGAGAACGCATTTTCAAGCAATCTTTAAATGGGATAATGTTTACAGGGTTAAAAAAATGCCATAAACACAAATAAACTTATTTTTTATATTGTGGTTTGATATGCTGTTAATGCTTATTGAATATTCTGGTAAGAAAAAGCTCTAGGAAATGTGTTTTTTTTTTTTTTAAAAAAAGGTTATGATAGCTGGTATATTTAACATTCTCTACAGGCTAGCAGGCTAGGTGTTAAATTTTGTCTGACCTCAGGACCAAAATTTTTTCCCAAACCTTTTAATGCAATTTGAAGTTGAATATTCCCCCCCCCCCAAAAAATTTAGGGAACCACATCAATCACCTGAACAAGTCTTAAGAAATAAGAAGCAAGAATCTATCCCAGCTGTGTTGGAGCAATTGGAGGGGCATGAGTCTGTGAACTTGCTACAGGTATGGGTGCCTGCATTCCTGCCTCATGTTTCAGGCCCTGTTCTGTCCTATCATGTACTCTTGGAAACTACTTTAGGTTTCTAGGAAGAAGAGTGCAAGGTCTTTATATGAATGTTCATCTCCATAGACTTAAGTTTTTGTCACAACCGTAAGTTTTTTTTAGTCTATATTAGTTTCAGGAAAGTTTTATCAGTATTTTACAACAGAAGACACATGCCAAAAGAAATTTAAGAGCTTTTTTTTTTTTTAGAATGCCTTTGGCCTAAAGATAATACTAAAAATTTTTTTCCTCAAGGGGAAAATAATTAAGTTTTATAAGCTACTCTCGTGTAACTTTTTTACATACTGTCAAGTACATTATTTTACTAAGCAACATCATTTCCTACTACATAAAAAGTATAAAAATTGCCATTGTGGATGAAGATTTAAAAAACAAAATTCTCAGCAAGACAATAAATTTCAGGATTCGTTTAAGGTACTACTAGAGTCCTGACAAATGGCCAGAGCACATGATCCCAAGCAGTGACCACAGTGGCTGACACACCGCCCAGGACACCTCCCCCACTGGAGTGAGTGTCACAGAATCCTGTACCAGGCAAAGCTAAGTATTTCACGTCATTCTGAAAGCATTTCAGGCTGCTGTGTTACAGTGCTATTATTTCTCCTCATCGATTGAATTTCCCTGTAGTGTTCAGGAAGGAAGATGCTTAAAAAAAAAAAGTAACGAGTGGTTTGATTATTTTTTTTCAGAAGTTTTAAATTCCAACAAAGCATTATTTCGTTGCAGAAGGTCCTTTACTCCGAATTCAGTGTCTCTCTTTTGATCTCTTTGTAACAGAACTCTCTGTTCATCCATTCTTTTCGCCTGAGACCGTAGAATAAGGCTAAAAAAGTCCTCATCCGGCACTGTTTGTCCTTTTGTGGTAGCAGGCGGTGGAGCACATCTTTGATCATCTAATCTGGAACCCTGAAAGTTTGCAGGAAATAAGTTACAACACACAAACTACAGAGGAGGGGGTCAGCAGCACCCCCTCCCCCGCTCTACTGGGGCCTCCCGCTGTGCTCGGCTGCTTAGGGACAGTGTGGCTGCTCTCCTGCCTGGCGTCACAGCAGTTAATGCCCATGGAGCCCAGAATGCCTCTCTTGGAACTCAGTCCAGAAAACTTTGCCGCCCTGGGCCTTTATCTGTTGATAGTCCAGACCAAACTCTTTCCTTCACGTTCAAATTTAAGACTGTTGTTAGAAAGAAATGTTACTGACTACAATCGTGAAGACTCTAGTGACACTGCTGGGGTGGCCACTATGTCCCGAACCCAGTGTCCTGTTAGGGGCCACCTCCACTTTATTTCTCTGGTAGAAAAGGGTATCACTAAGATGCTGACTTGGGGCCGGAGTGGTAGTACAGTGGGGAGGGCGTTTGCTGTGCACATGGCTGACCTGGGTTCGGTCCCTGGCATCCCATAGGGTCCCCATATAGTCCCTGAGCACCACCAGGAGCAATCCCTGAGCATTGCCAGGTGTGATCCAAAACGCCCGCCCCCCAAAAATAATGTTGACTGGTACAATCAGCCTCTTGTCTCCATTTCACCAAGGTCACCCAACCTGTTGGTATAATTTTTTCTTTTTATCTGTAGAACCAGGAATGGGGCGCTGCCTGAGGGGAGAGTAATTTCCCCAACTCCTCCCTGAGATTTCTTATTTGACCCATTGGTGATTTAAATTCCACAAATTTGTGAGTTTCCCAGCTTGCTTTCTATTATTAATTTCACTCTCTTACAGTCAGAAGATATTTTGTGTTAAAATCCTATTTTTATAGTGGGTTATGAAAGCATTTTATCTTCTATACCTTCCCCTCGGTCCTATCTCTCTCCCCTGCTTGCATGCAGCTGACCTGGGGTATTTTCTTGATCACTGCTGGCTGTGGCCCACCCTCTCCAAAGGTGATCAGTCAGAGCATGCCTCCTCAGCCAATCACTTTCAGCTTGGGGGGGGGGGTGTCCTGGGCTCCCACCCTTTGAGCCTGAGCCGCTGCCTCTCTACTACTTTGCATTGTGTATGCGCCAAGACTTTGAGGTGGGAGTCTGAGCTTGAATTGGCCTGGATAAGCTCCAAGCATTCCCTCTCTAATCATTTTTATCAGCAGACAGGCGATACTCGGGGGACCATGTGTGATGCCGGGGATCGGGTCAGCCATGTGCAAGGCAAAAAGAGTCCTACCCACTCGTACCTGCTCCAGACATGTGCTTTCAAAATGACTAATACTCAGTATCTCTCATTCTTGCTTGCACTCGAGTGAACTGCTGGCTCATGTTCTTCGGTGGGCTTCAGTCCTATGTAGATGGCTGTCAAAGCTACTTCTCTCTTGGGCTCCAGAGGTTTATATCCAGTTCCCTACTCAACATTTTCTTCCTTAAACCCATTTCTCCTCTAAGCTTACGTTCCGTCAACCAATCGTTACCACCCAGTTCCCAGTCCCAATTTGCCTGAGAATACATAACTTCCCTGAAACACCCTCTTTCTAACAGTTCTCAGGAATCCTATCTTTTCTCACCTTAAACCACAGTGGCCAGCTTGCAACCTACTAAAATGTACGCGAATTCCCGGTGAGTGTCTACAGCAAATCAAGTGTTCGGTAATTTTTTCTGTTGATTCGGAGGTAGGTAATAGCTATTATGTTAATGAATGAGAACAGATCCAGAACTAGTGTCAAATAGAGGAACTACCCCTCTACTGAAAACACACAGTTTTCATCATGGTCCTGTCTAAGCCATTTGAGGTATTTCTTAGCTAAAATGTGCTGTAGAGGAGCTTATCAGGTCTCCCCTAAAGAGGGAACACTGGCTCTTTGCAGAATAAAGCTTTGCTGTCTAATACAAAAACATCTTTCTCAAATTAGAAGGCCAACATTACCAAAACTCTCAGCAGTATCTGGGCACAGAACAAACAAAAATACGCAGACGTACTTGGCATTTTACAAGGATGTCAAAGAAGTCTTCGTCAGGTTCTTTGTTGTCATTTGTCATCAAGTGGCCCAGGACTGATTGACTGTTGGCCTGTGTCAGACGCAGGCCCGGCAGGTCACTGACACTGGCCCTCTGGTCATCGAGGCGGCGGCTCTGGGAACTCGCAAGAAGATCTAAGAACTCATCTGTGTTGGGGGATGCCATGGAAACAGATGGTGCTATGATGAAGAGGGAAATCCCAGTCATTAAAAAATATTCAGACATCTGTTACGTGCATAATCCCCTTTCAGCCTTGGTCAGACCCAATTTCACCAAAAATTCCATGATTCCTCAGATCAGGAGGAAAAGAACTATTTTTGAGTTCAGTGCTATTGGGATGGCAAAGAAAATCTTTAGGAAACTCCAACTTGGAACTTTCTAAGGCACAGGCCTAGGCCTTGTCATAGATTCCTTCAATATTTTCCTTTTTTAATCCACATGTGGAGTGTGTGTGTGTGTGTGTGTGTGTGTGTGTGTGTGTGTGTGTGTGTGTAATTTTAAAGGTACATATAGATTTTTTTACTCATGAAAAAATATTTATAATAAAAAGTAGACTAGAAAAACTTAGAAGTGAAATAAAACCCTGTTGTCTGGACTTGAACAAAGGAAACAATTACTAAGGTGGAATGGCAGAACATACTTTTCCGCATCACTTTGTGGGGAGTGGAGGCAGCTGTGGTTGATGCTGTTCTTTGGTTCTTTTCCTGTAAGCAGCACCTCTGATCATCCATCCGATTGCTTTGAAATCGGCTCAACAGGTCAAAGAATCCTTCATCTCCAATGGTATCTGCACTGATTTTCTAAAATATTGAGAGAAAATGTGAAAAACTGACATCTTTGTAAAAAGGAGACAGCAACATTAGTAATACAACTGCAATACTTCAGTCTTGAATCCTTTCAGTCTTTAATCCTTGTGTTCCTACTGCTAAAGAAATGTAATGGGAAATTCTTTTTATTTTTTGCTTTTTCGGTCACACCCGGCGATGCACAGGTACTCCTGACACTGCACTCAGGAATTACTCCTGGCGGTGCTTGGGGGACCATATGGGATGCTAGGAATTGAACCCGGCTTGGTCATGTGCAAGGCAAACACCCTACCTGCTATGCTATCGCTCCAGCCCTGTGTAATGGAAAATTCTACAGACATTGAATTATTCAAAATCTGTAGTCCAGCCTTGAGTTCCCATCTGAAATTCAGCAGACTTTAAGAACTGGTAAAGTGTGACTTCCAGGGCTCTGTACTGGAAAGCCTAAGTGTCATCTGGGGGCCACACTCAACAGTGCTAGTGTCACGCAGGCACATGCCTTAAGCCTGGTTCTATCTTGCTGGCCCTGGAATGTGAGGCTCACAGTGTTACAGGCCGGGGAGGGATCCACAAGAAACTCTGGGTTGGTCAGTGAATAGGTATTTGCAGTGTAGAGTTTCATACTGATTATAGAACATTTACATGTGTGAAATAAGACAAAAATAATTTTTTAAAAAAAATTTTGGGGCCACAAGGCTCAGGGATTGAACCGGGCCCAACTGATGCATGCAAGGCAAGCACAGTCCCTCTGAAACTATCTCTCCAACCTGGTCATGGTCAATTCTGTATAGAAAAGAAGACAGCTGCTGATTCAAAGGAGAGGGAGTTTAAGCAAGACTTTCAAACTTCTAGCTTAGGTGACAGTGCCCCTTTAACTGGAATGAAATAAGCTGAGAGGGCAGACTTGCTTTTAAAACTGGGTTGCAATCCCATATGGGGTCACATTTTATTTCAGATTTCTTTATGGCTTATCAGTAAACCCTTAAGTTACCTGCCTATTTTATATACTTCTAGATAGCTACAGTCTTGTAAAAATTTTTCAGGCTGAGGAGCAAAAACACAGGGGTGAAGGCACTTGTCTGGCGTGAGGCTGACCATAGCTCCATCCTCTCCCCAATTTTTTTAGGGGGAGGGCTGCTGTGTGCAAGGCAAATGCCTACCTGCTGTACTTCCATTCCAGCCCCATCCCAATCCCCCCACCCCCCACCCCTTGCATGCAGAAAGCTGTTATAAGAAGAAAAAGTTTAAAAAGCCTTGGGAATAAGAAGTACATGTATAAGCCATAACCAGACACAATCCAAAAAGACCTTCTGAATTAGGCTCTAATTAAAACTGCACATTTTCAGTTATTAACTTCGTTAATATGTCAATCTGGGGCCAGGGAAATACTCCTGGGAAGATATGAGGCCGTCAGTCCCGGCAGGCACAGACTTTTGCACTGCGTCACCTGTGGGCACCACTGGGATCGCTCTTTGAGCACACTACTTAGGAGCAACACACTCTTTAAAAGCATCCTGGGACAAAAGAATCAAGTTTCTGTATTTTCTTCTCCTCTGCTGGGAATTAAACCTAAACCTCATACACAAGGCAAAAGCCCCCCACTCTTATACTACACTCTGGTCCCTCTTGTTAGATTCTTAAAGTCATCACTTAGGGGCTGCAGTGATAAGACAGCAGATAGGGCGCTTGCCTTACATGTGGCCAATCCAGGTTCCATCCCTGGCATCCCATATGAACCTACAGCTGAGATCTAGCTCCAGTCCAAATGGGTCTTTCTTGAATTGCAATTCTGCTTTGAGCCATTCTTATATATTAACATTCCCTTTTGTGAATAACATGAGAAAAAACTGATAAAAAGCAGATAGATAGGCATGGAATGCTGACAAGAGGGACAACGGTGATCTGTTCTTTAAAAAAAAAATCCCTTTCTCAGAGGCTTGCATTATTTATGAGGGGATGGGATAGCTGTACTACAGATTGTCTCTTGTGGAATAAAATCTGGGCTGAGATCAGTTTCCTGAAAGCCACCTTCTCCTGCACTGACAGCGAGGGGAGAAACCTGTGACTATGCAGAGGCCTCTCCTGGCTCTGCCCAGCCCTCGTCCGCCACCCGCTGAGTGCAGCCCTCCTAGAAACTGTCCAACGAGACGGGCTTCCTAACAGTATAGGAAGTCTCTTAGTGACAACTGGAACCAGTTGTTTCTGGAACGTTATCTCCTCATATCCAGAATGGACCCAGTCTAGGAGCTCAGAGTCGAGGTGGGGCAACATCCCTACGAATGGGGTCAGACAGAGAGTTAGGGAGACCTCTGAGAAACAAGGTCTAAGAGGGATACAAAGGACTCAGGATGAATGCAAGAAAATAAAAAGGGTACTTCGGCTGGAGTGATAGCACAGTGGGTATGGTGTTTGCCTTGCACGTGGCCAACCTGGCCGACCCAGGTTTGGTTCCTCCACCCCTCTCAGAGAGCCCGGCAAGCTACCAAGAGTATCTCACCTGCACAGCAAAGCCTGATAAGTTACCTGATAAGCCAAACACAGTAACAACAAGTCTCATACTGGAGATGTTACTGGGCCCGCTCGAGCAAATCGATGAACAACGGGAGGACAGTGACAGTGACTTCGGACTTAAAGACTGACTTTAAACATACCCTTTGAGGATTTGTATTTCGGTGGTCGATGGAATTACTGGCATCTTGGAGAACTTTAGCTGAGGAATTACTTTTGTATTTTTTCCCCTTTAATCTGTTAACAAACAGCAGCTTTGCAGAAGGCTTGGCAATGAGAGGCTTTTGCTTAGCAAGAATTTCACTATTCCAGTTCTGTACCTGCAAAATTATAAATGGAAATGAGGACATGAACAATGACAAAAATGAACAGATCACCTGCAGTGTTCTATAATATTAACTTGTTCTTTCCACTCATTCATAGAAGTTAGATTATAATAATTTTCTTACTGCCACATATCACTATTTTCAGTACTAATGCCAATTGTATATACTATGGGCTCCTCAGAAAACCATTAAAATGATGGCTTTGTTTGGGGCCACAGCCGGTGGTGCTCAGGAGTTATTCTTGGCAGGCTTGTGGGAGCATATGGGATGCGAGGGACGGAACCCGGGTCAGTGGCATGTAAGGCAAGAGCCCTGCCCACTGCACTATCTATCACTCTGGCCCCAAAAATGACCTTTAAGAACTTAAAAATAAGAGGGCCAGAGGGATAGTACAAGAGGAGAGGGCTCCCACTCTGCACATAGCTGACCCAGTTTCAATCCCAGGCACCCCATATGGTCCCCTAAGGAGTGGTCCCTGAGCACAGTTGGATGTGTCCCTCCTCCAAAAAGAAAGAACCAAGAGAAAGAAAAGAAAGTAATTTCTGAGCCAGGAGTGACCCCTGAGCATCGCCAAGTATGACCCAAAAAGCTATCAACAACAAAAAACCAAACCAAACCAAACCAAAACAAGAGAAGAAAACCATGTCTGGGGATTAGACAGATTGTACAAAGATAAAGGCTTGCCTAGCATGTGGCTTTGGCCCAAGCACCAGACTGAATCCTGGCACTGCACGCGGTTGTCCAAGCACATGGCCCCCAAACCAAAAATAAAACCAACGTTGCAAAAATCCCATAAAAGAAATAAAATTTGGTTAGGAACAGAGTAAAATATTACTTTAGGTACAAATTGCTTTGAAATCTGACTGGCCTGGGGAGAGAGTTCCAAGGGCTCGGAGTGCAGCAGGCCTGGGGCTCATCCCTGCCACCAAACTGTCCCTGTGGTCAATGATCAGTGAGAGTGGCTCTGAGCACTGCTTGGGAGCCACATGATGGCTCATTCCAGGGCCTGCGTTGGTGCAGAGTGAGGTCCTCCTGTAGGTGTGCGGCCCCTGCAGCTACAGAACCAGACTGGGCCTGAGACTTGCAAGAACCGCAACCAAGAACAACGGGACGGGGAAAGAGCCTACCACAAAATTTTGGCTGCCTAGAGCTTTGTCACTGGCACCTGGGTGGGGTCCTGGTACGCTGCTCCATGCATCACCAGAAGGAACCTCTGGAAACCAGGCCAGGGAAGCCCCTCAACCCAGCCAGCACTGGGGGTGGACCCCAAACAGAACATCGAAACGTTTCTATGCCTTCTGGACTTCTCAACAGAAACAATAATGAAACCGTCTTCAAAATTAGGAAGAAAAAGGTTCAACCAAGAGTTCTAGACTTCGCACAGTTAGGACAAGTGCGCCTGTGTCCTGAGACCAGGTCTGTGGGTGGGGGTGAGGGTGTCCCCACCCCAGCCAGCAGCTCTCATGCGCCAGCAAAGCCCGCGAGGACTCAGCGCAGTCCCGAGCTCACCCGGAGCCAGTACCCAGCACTGTCCCGTGCCCCAGGAGCCAGCCCTGGCTTTGGACCAAACACCCGTAAGCCAGGGGCCGCAAAGCCTTTCTTCAGGTTCAATGACTTGGCTAAGGCATCTGTCTGCATTTGGGAAACCCAGGAGCTCACCAGAGCACCCGTTTGTTACAAGGAGTGAAGTTCAGAACAACTGGCTGGAGGTGGTGGGTGGGTAGAGACACCCCCAATGGTGCCGACGTGGGCGCAGTCACGAAGGCGGCTACACACAGGGCCGGTCACATAACCAGCACTGATGACTGAACCCACGCGTGTCCCTCAGGAGGGGCTGAGAAGCTCAGATCCTTCTGACTAAACATTCCAGAGGCCCCCAAATGGTTCCCGCCCCCTTGCAGATAATCTCAGCGCCCCACTGGGAGCTGTCCTGCCTTTAACACGCTGATACTGATGTGTACCACCGGTGGCTCACAGCTGAATGTGGTTCAATGAGCACAGATGGCAGTACTGGCCTCCCGGTGTTAAGCAAACAGTGCCCCCTACCTGTACCAGGAAGTACTGCCAGTTTTTGTTCTTCAGTCCTACCAGTCCAACCCAGGGGGCAGTACTGCCCATTTTGCAGTAAGCACACCCCCATAAGAGCTCCCTCAAAGTCACCTGTTTAACATAAATAAGGCCTTTACCTCTCTCTACACGGAGGGAGTTCCAAGTACCGGACATGAAAGCCAGATACATAGGAGAAATGTATTTTAGTCATTTGAATAATCAAACAATTTTTTTCTTATAAACGACATCACAAGAGACTAGTGAGATAGTATGAGGGGTGGGGGATTTGCCTTGCCATGAAGCTGACAGTAGTTCCATTCCCAGCACCACATGTGGTCCTCTGAGTGCTGCCGAAACACCCCTAACTGACCCCCTTAGACCATCTAAATAATATAAATCAAACAGTAATGAAGAAAAAGACACTTTTCGGGGCTGGCATGATAGCACAGTGGGTAGGGCATTTGCCTTGCACGCAGTGACCCAGGTTTGATTCCCAGCATCCCATATGGTCCTCTGAGCACTGCCAGGAGTGATTCCTGAGTGAAGAGCCAGGAGTAACCCCTGTGCATCGCCGGGTGTGACCCCCTCCCCCCCAAAAAAAAAGAAAAAAGAAAAAAAAAGAGACACTTTTCTTTTTCAATGGAAAAAAGACCCATGGTCCCCTGCAAAAGTTCCTCCAGCTGTGGGCCAGAGATATAGTACAGCGGGTAGGGTTTTTGCCTTGCACTTGGCCGACCCGGGTTTGATCCCCGGCATCCCATATGGTCCTCCGAGCACCGCCAGGAGTGATTCCTGAGTGCAGAGCCAGGAGTGACCCCTGAGCATCACTGGGTGTGACCCGAAAAGCAAAAAACAAACAAAAAAAAGTTTCTCCAGCTGCTCTCTTTCCCAAGAGAAATCTTAAAACTCAAAATAGCCCTTTTCCTTATAAACACTACTTTGCTGAGAGTAGCAAAATAATTTTTTGACAGCTTTAAGGAAAAGAAACCAATGCCAAGAACCAATTCTACTAAGACACTTAATTTATACCAAAAAATCGATCACCATTTGACACCTGGAAAATCAGAGGTGAATTTGGTAATATTTTTTACAGATTTACCATTTAGCACCAGCTGCCACAAGCTAAGTTAGTTGCAAGTTAGAAAGTTCCTTCTAGGAGGAGGAAAAGATACCAAAATTGACAAACTTTTCTTGTTTAGGAAATAATGAGGGGATGGAAGAGGTAACTCAAGACGTTCATGGGCCTTGGAACCCAGCAGGATAGAGCCCCCCCAAAAGTGATAATTTGAAAACTTAAACTACTCAAAGGAGGCAAACATAAAATCTTTAGAAATTAAGATGTTTAAACAACTCTGATAGTTTCAAAATTGCTGAAAAACTGAGCATAAGAGAAAGTCCACTAGATGTTGGTCATATGAGTACTCACACATAAGTCAACATTAAAAATATTAGGAATCAGGGCTGGAGACAGAGTACAGTGGGTAAGGTGTTTGACTCTCATGCAGCTGGCCTCTCTTTGATCCCCGGCACCTCATATAGTCCCTTAAGTACCCCTGGGAGTAGTTTCTGAGCACAGAGCCAGGAGTAACTCCTGAGCATTGCTGGGTGTGACCCACAAAATTTAAAAAAATAGAAATTATTCCCTTAACTATAACAATTAGACAAAAGAATATTTAAGAACATGAAAAGATGTTCTTTATATGATTATATTAATACTCACATAAAAATATAAAACGAATAAATATGAATATTTATTAAAGATTTATTAAATAAATTTTTTAAATAGATTTATTTAAATAAATGTACTGTAGCACTGTCCTCCCGTTGTTCATCAATTTGCTCAAGCAATTTAATAAATGTTCAAAATAAATAATGAACAAAGTTACTAATTTTTTTGGTTTTAAATTTGGGGGCCAACCGTTTTGGTGATTCGCTGTGAGGTGCTGAGGATGCAGCACTGCGGGGGTAGGGGGTGGGGAGGCTCTCAGGGAACCGCTGAGGTACCAGGGATCAAGGAAGTTGGCCGCATGTAAGGCTTGCACCTTAATCCCCACACTATCTCTTTGACCCCAGTCCCAATAATTCTGATTTTCTTTTTGAAATGATGTTCTAAGGTTATCATATTAAACACACACTGGAGGTGGGGATACACCTGGTAGTGCTCAGGGACTTCTTTGCTGCTTGTGGGGCAACTTCCGACTGCTGGGAAGACCATGAGCCGGGACCAAACCTGGGTCTCCTGTGCTTGGCCAAGCCTGTGCTCAACTCACTGAACCATCTCCCTGACCCCTGAACTGAACATCTGATAGAAGGTATTAAAAACATGCACTATATTTTTTTCTTAAGGAACAAGAGTCTAATTTAACAAGATAAAATTAGAGGCAGGAGTGATAATACAGTAGGTAGGGAGTTTGCCTTGCACGAAACCAACCTGGGTTTGATTCCCAGCATCCTATATGGTCCCTCCCCTGAGTACCTCCCAGAGTAAAGCCTGAGTGTAGAGCCAGGACTAACCTCTGACCATTGCCAGGTATGGCCCAAAACCACAAAACAAAACCAACAAGATGAAATTAAACAGGTGGAGGAAAACAGCCTAAAACAGGGTGCAGGTCAGTGGCTGAGCACCTTGTCTTGCATGTGGGGAAGGCCCTGGTTTTGATCCTTGGCACTGGTAAAAAAGAAAAGGGAAAGCAAAGCAGACTAGATTTATCCTCTAATAAACTCCTTAGATATAAAATTTCTATTCTGTTAAGAAAGAAAAAGAAAGAAAGAAAGAAAGAAAGAAAGAAAGAAAGAAAGAAAGAAAGACGACCCCAGAGAAGATGCATCCTAGTGCAGTTAAAAATAAGTTTTTCAAACATATGGTTAATAAAAGCTTCTTCTTGATCCTTAATCTTACCAATGCTGCTCTGTTACTGGGGGGTGGGGGGGGGTGGTTCTTTGCTGTTTTGATTTACCTAATTATTAAAGTCAAATCCATACATATACATGGTAAAATATTCAGATGTTTCAAGCTATAAAAATTATTCCCTTTAACCCAGACACCTACTCAATCCTCTTCCCAGAGGCTGGTATTGCCAAGTTTCTTACAGATACTTCCAGGAATGTGTTACACAGCTACAAGGAAGACAAGGGTCTTCGACAGCAGCAAACTGCACACACTTCTTTGGTACTATAGTTTGTTTTTTTTTTTTCCCCTGATGCTTCTCTATGGAAAACTTTTAAAGCAGTACTCAGAACAAAGTCCAAGCTTAATATTTCATTTACACTGAAAGTTAGAAAAATATTTTGTTAGCAAATGAAAAAGTTTTAAGACATAAAAACTGCCAACCTTTTCCGGTGTCAGCTTCATAAGTTCCATGTTTTCCATGCTGTGTCGGCGTCCAAACTTGGGACGGGCACCTTTGTGAAAAAGTCAATTTATTAAAGCAAAAGCCTAAGACTGAAAACCCAGCATCTCTATGTGGCGCAGCTTTCAAGTCAGTTATACAGACTCACGGCAGAGGAGAAATGTACAAACACATATTAAGAATAATAATTTCACTTACCAACTACATAAAAATAGAAGGTACACTCCCTTAGGATGCTTTGATGTGAGGAAGTTGAATTTTGGTTGGAAACTAACTTTGGTTACGAACACTGCCCCTTAATTTAGACAAGGCGCTTTATAATAATGGGTTCTACTTTATCCACACATCTCTTAAGAAATCCAAACCGGAAAGTGGCTTAAGTAAGAACCTAAGGACAAGGCCTTTGGTCTTTAATTTTGCAATAAGAATAAAAATAACATCCCCTCTACTACACTGTTACTCCTTTTTAAGCTATCCTTTTCCATGTTCAGATCTTATAGATAATACCAAACAGAAAGTAAAAATCCTCAAATTTTTTAAACAACAAATATAATTTCACTTCAAGTCATCCTTTTAATGACCACAATTTTTCAAGGGTATTTTGGGGGTGTGTTTTGGTTTTGGGAGTCACAGCCAGTAATGCTCAGGGATTACTCCTAAAGGGGCTCAGGGGATCATCTGGGGACCGAACCTGCATTGGCCATATGCCAGCCTAGTGCCCTACCTGCTGTATTATCTCTCTAGCCCCCTTAAAGGGAAAGTTCTATGGAATTACGTGATGCCTTGTACCTAGCTTATGAAACAAGCCATGGGGAGGCAGAGAGATCGAGGGTCACGAGTTTGGGTGCACACTGAGTGAACCCCATTTGCTCCCGGTACTATGTGGCCCCCCAACACTTTTTCTGAGAGTAACCACGGGGGGGGGCAGGGAGAAAGCAGCCATGTGCCAGGGAGAGAACTCTGACGGGGGGGGGCAGGCCTGGCAGACGGGGGTCTATGCTTGGCATGTGGAAGCCCTACATTCAGTTCCCAGCACCACCCTTTCTCCCGGCACTGTGGGTGTGGCCCCAAGGTTCAGCGGCCCCTGCCACGGCTCGTTCCCAAGCATCACTCTTTGGCCACTGAGTTACTGAGTATTACTGGGAGTGGACCCAGGCATCCAAAGCACGTAGGAGGCCCTCTGACAAAAAAAAAAAAAAAAAAAAAAAAAAAGAATAAAAACACCCAAGAAACTTTATGAACATCTTCAGTCCTCCTTGTAGAACCTAAGCTTTCCTTGTCCCTGCCGAGTTTTTGTTTTGTTTTCCTGGGCCTCTTTTGGCCATGCTGGGGTCAGACCTGCCACTCTAGCCTTGAGTCAGTTCCCTGAACACTTTTAAAAAATATATAAGGGGGCTGGAGCAACAGCACAGCAGTTAGGGCATTTGCCTTGCACACAGCTGACCTGGGTTCGAGTCCCAGCATCCCATATGGTTCCCCGAGCACCGCCAGGAGTAACTCCTGAGTGCATGAGCCAGGAGTAACCCCTGTGCATCACCGGGTGTGATCCAAAGAGCAAAAAATAGGGGCTGGAGCAATAGCACAGGAGGCAGTGTGTTTGCCTTGCACGCGGCTGATCCGGGTTTGGTTCCCAGCATCCCATAGGGTTCCCTAAGCACTGCCAGGAGTAATTCCTGAGTGCAGAGCCAGGAGTAACCCCTGAGCATCACCGGGTGTGACCCAAAAACCAAAAACAAACAAACAAACAAAAACCAAACAAAAAGCAAAAAATATATATATAAAAATAAAAAAATATATATAATTTCACTATTTACATATATCTGGGCTGGAGTGATAGCACAGTGAGTAGGGCGTTTGCCTTGCATGCGAACTACCCGGCCGACCCGGGTTTGATTTGTCCACCCCTCTCGGAGAGCCCAGCAAGCTACTGAGAGTATCTCGCCCGCACGGCAAAGCCTGGCAAGCTCCCCGTGACATATCTGATATGCCAAACACAGTAACAACTAGTCTCACGATGGAGACGTTACTGGGCCCGCTCGAGCAAATCGATGATCAATGGGAGGATAGTGCTACAGTACGACATATACCTAGGCAATACAGACTATCTAACATTATGTAGTCTCCCACTGTACTATATTCTCTTGTTTCCTTTGAGCAACTTATGTCTATGAGATTCAAACTGATATGTGTAGTCTAAAACATTTTTGTTACCATTTTAAATCTAGGAAGTGATTGATTTTGGCTGATTGCTATTGTTATTATGTAGTATAGGAGTTGCTGGAAATGTCTCTTAGTGTATATTTATTTGTACATCTAAAACTAATTTCAAATAAACTTTGTATACTTCATAGTTAAAATAATAGGAAACACATTTTTATATCTATATATTTACATATTTACATGTTCTCATTTGATAAGCTAATAATTCTGAAAATAGGGGCTGGAGAATAGGGTAGCAGGTTGGACACTTGCCTTGCACGAGGCTGACCCAGGTTCAATCGCTGGCACCCCACAGAGTCAGTCCTCTGAGCTCACTAGGAGTGACCCCTGAGTGCAGGGCCAGGAGTAAGTCCTGATAACCACCAGGAGTGGCCCCAAAACAACAAGAGCAAAATGAAAATGAGGTTAAATATGTTTTTCAGGTATTTATGACCAATGGGGTTCCTTCTGTTAATTGCTTTTGTCTATTGAATTGTTCATATTCTGTTTATTTTCTATCCGGGATGTCTTGCTTCGAATTCAGTTCTCATACAGGTTCGATCTCCTTTTAGAATCACATTTGGGGCAACTACATCCTCCCAACTTGTGTTTTATCTCTATGTATTTCCTACAGGTGAAATGAAGTACTGAATTTCAAGGCCCACCTTCCTTAATGATTTGTTTTTGTGTCTTGAGAAAATCTTACCTTCTGCTGTCACGAATGCAGCTGGTGTCTGCAGACTGCCTAAGCCCGGATTCAAAGGCCAACCCAGTCATTTCTTTGGGATGCAACTTAGGGTAATTGCCTGATTTTCTTTTTTTGGTTAGATCTGGGGTTGACTGCACTCGAGGCAAGCAAATTAACCCCATACGATCTAGCCACCACGTTTAATTCTTAATATATCAAGAATAAATTGTTCTGTGAAGTATTAGTCCCCCCCCCCATGTAAATAACAGAAGTATAGACTAAACAGGGGCTATTTCATTTCATTAAGCTCTGGTCTGCTTGTCTCTGCCACCAGCACACCACCTCAACTACTGCATATTTTTGACCTTCCAATTTGTAGAGACAGGACTTCTCATCTTTTATCAAGAGTGCTTTGAGTTTTCTCAGGTATTTCATATATATAGTGATAACCTCAAAATGTTTCACAAAAGCACTGTTGGGATTTACTTGACAATGCACTGAATTTATATCAATTTTTTAAAATTTGAGATCTTTTACAATATCTGGTCCGCTATTAAGAGGAATTAGGGATGTGTTTAAATGTCCCCTTATCATTGGGTATTTTTCCTTTTTGGGTGTTATAAAGTGCCCTGATGATGTATCACTAGAGTTCCTGCTCATATACAAATTTCAGCACAGATTATTCCTGGTGATTTTTTTTTGTGTGTGGGGGGGGGGGAAAGGGCTTGGGCCCCACCTAGAGATGCTTAGTGACTATGCTCTGTGGTCAGGAGTGATCCCTGGTGGTGCCGGGAGAGGGCCATGCAGTTCTGGGGATCACAGGGCTGGCCACATCGCAAGGGACGCACCTGACCCCCTGCACTATTTCGGGGCCTCTGATTTAAAGTCTTAATCACTGTGGAGAACTACTGTCTCGCTTTCATTTCTAACAAGAACTTTTCTTTTTTTTTTTGCTTTTTTTTTTGGGGGGGGCTCACACCCAGTGATGCACAGGGGTCACTCCTGGCTCTGCACTCAGGAATTACCCCTGGCGGTGCTCAGGGAACCATATGTGACTGAACCCAGGTCAGCCACGTGCAAGGCAAACACCCTACCCACTGTGCTATGGCTCCAGCCCCAAGACCTTTTACTTTTAAGGACACCTGATATTAACAGAGATACAATATTAGCTTCTTCTAGTCAGCTGCTTTCTATTCTTCCAAGTTTACAATATCAGACATTTTTTAATTGAGGTGTAGGGATGGGGGATCTGGGTGACACCAGCAGCTCTCGGCTTATTCTTGACTCTGCATTCAGGGGTCACCGTGGAAGGGGTTCAGGGGGCCATGTGGAAAGCGGGGGAGGGGGTCAACCCAGGTAGGCCGCATGCAAGGCCAGTGCCACACCCACTGTTCTCTCTTTGGCTCCATCAGACCTTCCTGGTACTAACGGTGTTTAGTCAGATTTTATTCTTTCCAGTCTGACTCTAGTTTTATTTTGGGGCCACAACCTGAAGTGCTTTGGGGCTGCTCCCAACTTGGTACCCAGGGGATCATGCCATGCTGGGCATCAAATCCAAGGGCTCATCCACCACGTGCTCCACCACAGTCTCTTCCTGGAACACTGACATGTAATAGGACGACTTTTGTATTTGGATAGTGGGGTTATTTTATACTCCTTTACCACATTGTTGGCTTTTAATTTTTTACTTATTGGGACGGGGATACACCTGGCTGTGCTCATGGCTGGTTCCTGGCTCTGTGCTCAGGGGTCAGCCCTGGCAGACTCGGGAAACCATAGGTGATGCTGGGACTTGAACCTGGGTCAGCTGTGTGCAAGGAAGGCGGCCTGCCTGCTGTACCATCTCTCTGGCTCCATAAATGAATTTTTAATATTCAATTTACTTGTATTCCTGTCTTTCTTTAAATATATTGCTGGATTTGGTTTGCTCATACTCTGTTCAGGAAGTTTCGTACTTTGTTCATGAATAAACTGTCTTATAACTTATATTTCTTGTATTGTGTCTACTTTAAATTTTGGGGGGGCTAACCTATTTTCAACAAGACTAGATTGGAATTAATTTTCTTGAGTATTCAGTGACTCTCACTTACAAAATCTTGTTTGTTATTTTCTTAATGGGAAGGGTTTAGATCAAAATTCTCATGGAATTAGGAAGTAGGGATGTCACTCATGTTACATTCTGTTTTTTTTAAAAAGTTTTTGGTCATACCTAGCGATACTAGGGGTTTTTTTTGTTCTTTTTTTTGGGGGGGCGGGGTCACACCCAGAAATGCTCATGGGTTACTCCTGGCTCTGCTCTCAGGAATTACTCCTGGCAGTGCTTAGAGGACCATATGGGATACCGGGAATTGAACTTGGGCCAGCTGTGTGCAAGGTAAATGCCCTACCTGCTGTACTATTGCTCCGGCCCCTCAGGGGTCATTCTTGGCTCTGCACTCGGGAAGTATTCCTGGAGATGCTTGGGAAGACTATACGGGATGAAGGGGATGAAACTTGGATTGGTCAAGTGGTAGGCAAGTGGATTACCCACTGTACATCTCTCCAGTCCCTCTGTCATTAGATTATTACAAAAGATTACACCTTCACTATTCCTAAACTCGTGAGACAAGCTGAAAAATACTGTTTTTTTTTCTTTTTTGTTTAGAGAAATTCTGTCAGAGAAATGTGAGGAGAGAAAGGGAGGGATGAAGGGAGGGAGAGGGAGGGGGAGAGACTTCTCCAGAGGGGAAGACGCCTAAATACTCTATTGTACATCGGTAAAATTTCAGGGCTGTGGTAAAGCAAAAGGCATAAAAAAGGCGAGCCTCCTATGTCTCAAGTTACATATTTCTTTGGATTTGGTAAAATTACGTGGCTGAACATGGATAATTTCAAGTCTGAAGATAAAGCAGTTACAGAAAATATCCATTACTTACCATTTAAACTGCTCTCGGCTTCGATGTTCTCAGACATGATGGAGTTATTGGTGCTGTAGCTCAGACCGAGGACCATCTGCAGATCTGAGAGGTTGAGGCGTGCGGTCAGCTCCCCACTCCTGTCCCCCACCTGCAGACACAAGCATTTGTATTTTACAGCCACGGTAGAGACCAGGAATTGGCGAAGATTAACTGAAAATGCTGCGAACCGGAAGGTGGAAAAAAACAGAAGTTAACAGAGTTCTATCACAACTAGGAGACTATGATTAGATTGTTCTTTTTCTTAATTTTTTTAAAAGAATAAAGCAAGTATGAGAGAGAGAGTGAGAGAGGGAGTGGGGAGAGAGCGAGCGAGCAAGCAAGAGAGCGAGTGAGTGAGAGAGCGAGCATGAGGGCACATGCCCTGCACGGGGTAGTCTCAGGTTCAATCCCTGGCACCACTTGGTCCTCTGAGCACCGATGGGAGCAGCCCAAGCACGGCTGGATGTGGCCCCAAAACAAATCAAAATCAAACAAAACAAACAGAGGGATAGTTCGGAAATGCACAACTCTACAGATTCTTTAATATTTAAATTTGATTGCACTCACTCTCTAGAATCAATTAAACAGAGTAGGTTATTCTATGGCACATTAGCTTTGCATCACTTGGTAAAAACTTCCAGAACATATTTTATTTTTATACCATAGTAATCATTATCATTTAGGTATTAAGTCAGTACTATTACACTAGCCACTTTTACAGACACTACCTTTAATTCTTACAACAATTAGTAAGGTGAATACTGTTATTATTCCCATTCTACAGATCAGAGAAATGAGGCTTAATGTTTCCATGCTTCAAAAGCCAGCAAATTACAATAAAAATCATGTTTTTCCTTGTACACCATGCTACTTTTCCATGTGTCAATTGGGGTAAGTGGGAAGACACCTTAGTGACTTTTCTCCCCCGCTGCACCTACCTTCCTGCATCTCTTTATCAAAGACCAGTACAAACACTGCCTCTGTTCCAGATCACTTTTTGAGGGACCAGAGAGACAGTCCAGTGGGTAAGGAGTGTGTCTGCACATGACTGATCCTGGTGTAATATCAGGCACCACATAGTCCCCCAGCAGTGACCTTTGGGCAGAGTTAGGAGTAAGCCCTAGCACCTCCCGATGGGGCCCAAGACCCCCTGACCCTTTCCTCCCTGCCGCCCCAGGCTCCTGTTTTTCCCTACATCATTGCAAAACACAGATTTATTACTACAATACGTAACAACCTCGAGAAAAGGACTTCCCCTCTCCAAACTGATTTGTGAATTACAATAGCACAGACAGTAGGTTTTTAGTTGCATACCTCTCTCGAAATTTCCAAGTGCTTTTCTGCAAAATGCATTGCTCGATCATGATTTCCCAGAGCTGTGTATGCATTTCCTAAGCTCCAGCATGCTCGGCCTTCACCAATTCTAAAATGCAACACACAAAGATATTATGCAGGTATCTGAAAGGATGTGTATATTGGGACAAAAGCTATCGAGCGGTACCGACAAGTCTTTCATATGAAGAACACACAATCAGAATACTAGAATATTCACATGCCCCGATAATACTAAAATGTGAAACGAGTATCAAAATGGAAAACATCCTATCTACTCCTTGGGTTGGAGGAGTACTGGGGATCAAACCCAGAGCCTCAGGCATGAAAGGCACAGGCTCTCCAATCCCCAGCTCCAGAAAACATATTTCAGAAAACATAAAACATATTAGAAAACAAAATTTCAGTTGTATGTTTTGTAGAATGTATTCTATTTCTTTCTTTCTTTCTTTCTTTTTTTTTGGCTTTTTGGGTCATACCACGTGGTGCACAGGTGTTATTTCTGGTTCATGCACTCAGGAATTACTCCTGGCGGTGCTCAGGGGACCATATGGGATGCTGGGAATCAAACCCAGGTTGGCCTTGAGCAAGGGAAATGCCCTATCTGCTGTGCTATCGCCCCCGCCCCTCTATTTCTTTCTGCGACTCTTCTATCAGAATCATCCAGTCTATGTTGGAGCACCGAGGGAGGACTCACTACTGCTGGAGGGAGCACGCTTAATTTTTAGCAGTTACACAGAAAAGTTCTTCTTCGTACTTAGGTTGGAAAAAAAAAGCCAATAGCACGAAGAGATGGATGAAAGGAAGAAAAGAAGGGGAAGAGAGAAGGATGGGGAAGGAAGGGAAGAAAGAAGAGAGGGAGGGAAAAAGGGAAAATGGACAGCAGGATACCATAATTAGCATTTGGAAGCCAGAAGGTCTCATACAAACACAGGACTTGTAGCTCCTCTTCGAAAGAAAAGGATTTGTCCATATTGTTCCCTCTTCCTGCACGGCAACCAGGAGATGGAGCTGGAGAGCAGCTGTCGTCTTTACAAAGGGCCTCATCTCTAGCTTCACTCTAATTCCCAGACTGACCTAGCTCGGGAGAACCTTTGCAGGCGACTGCGCTTGTGAGATTTTATGATCTTGGTTGGAGGCTATAAGGGACCAGTCTCAGGGCTATAAGGGACCAGTAACAGGCAAGCCCTCAAAACACTCTCTCTCTCTCTCTCTCTATACACACACACACACACACACACACACACACACACACACACGTATACAGTTTCCTAAAAACATTCTTCAAAAATAAGAAATTTCACACAAAGGAAATATTCTGGTGAATCAGGAAAAAAAAAATCTGCATCTTAGCAAAAGTGAAAAAAAAAAGGATATAACTTACCGATCATTTAACTCCTGAGCAATTGCTAAGTGCTTCAGATGATAATCGATGGCCTTGTCATAATCTTGCAGTAACGTGTATGTGTTCCCAAGGCTGTAGCAAGACTGAGCTTCCACGGCCCGGTCTTTGAGCTGTCGTGCCAACAGCAGCGTCTTCCTGGAAGAACAAAGTCGCCCTTACAGAATGGAACAGCTACTAGATTCTGGACTCTAATCATCTTACATCCACTTTACTTCTCTCCTGTTCTCTCTTGCCTTCTACATAAACCTGTTTTAGTGCCTAATAGCTCTGATGTTTTCCCATACTTTCAGGAAAAGGAAAGAACTTTCAAAGCCCCCCAAAAAAACCCAAATTCAGACTTTTAGAATAAATGTGAAAATCCTGCCAGTTCTCCCCAGAACAGAAGCCCCGACACCAAAGAGCAAGAGCCTCTAGTGGTTCACACACGGCTCCAGCACTAAAGGGAAAGTCTCCTATCCGACTGGCAAAAACAGAGACTTTTCCCGCAGAGCGTCTCTTTTACTCACACTGCTGCCTTTATGTTTATTTGGTTTTGTTTTGCTTTCTGGTCCACACCTGGAGATGCTCAGGACTTACTCCTGGCTCTTTGTCCAGGAATTACTCCTGGCGGTGTTTGGGGGACCATATGGGATGCCGGGGATCACACCTGAGTCAGCTGCATGCAAGGCAAGCACCGCACCTGCTGTACTACCACTTCAGCCCCATGCTGCCTTTACGTTTAGTCAAGATTTAAAAAATCACATTGAAATTGCTATGTACAGGTTATTAATCACTAATTCATTAAAAACATTAAGTACTACATTTGAGTATTAACCATACTTGAGCTAAACGTTAACCACTACATTTATTTTTTTATATGTTTCATTCATTATTTATTTTCTTTTTCTTTTTTTCTTTTTAATTAGTGAAACACCATGAGGTACAGTTATAGACTTACAAATTTTTGTGCTTGGATTTCAATTATACAATGATCAAGTACCCATCCCTCCACCAGTGCCCATTTTCCACCACCATGGGTTCCAGTATCCCTCCGACCCCCCACCCCCCCATCCCACCCTGCCTCTGTGGCAGGGAATTCCCTTTTGTTCTCTATCTCTCCTTTTTAACCACTACATTTAAATATTAATTCTACCTAGTATCTGGCTAAGTATCCACCAAATCCAACTTCATTATGGTTGTAGTTAATGAGAAGTTAGCGCACAGACACCAGAGTCAGACTGACTTCACACCCCAACTCAGCCAGTGGGCCACGTCACTTACCCTCTACCCCTAGTTAGACTGAACTCAGGTCAGCAAGCGCACTAACCACTTTGCTATCACTCTGGCCCCTGAAGGTTGGTTTCTTTTAAAAAAAAAAAATGAACTGTCTTCATATCCTGTGACACAATCCTTTCCGCCAACCACTTTTTCAAGTACGACTAATTTGTAAGTGATCAGAGTTCCTTCTGGAATCAAATTCAACTACTAACATACATCACCAAACTGTGACTTCCTATCCTGAAGAATGGAATATGGATCTGTAACATCAAGAGAGCCTTTGTGTGTGGCCACAAGAACAATTCCAAAGGGGGCAACAACATAAGAACGGACTTCACATTGATCGACAGAATGTTACACTAACTTGTAGTATTCGGAGGCAGTTTCAAATTCACCAAGAAATATATACGCATTTCCAAGGTTGCTATATGCTCTTCTTTCAGCTGCTTTATCTCCAAATTCTTTTGCAATAAGGAGGCGCTGGAACAGAATATTTTCATGAGAGTCATAATAAAGCTGACGCAACACTAACAGAGAAACAGCCTGTGCCCCCGGCCGCACACGTACCTGCTCGTGAGCTATGACGGCGTCCCTGAAGTTGCCCAGGAGGTAATGTGTGTTCCCCAGGTTCCCAAAGGCACGTCCTTGGGCTGCTCGGTCCCCCAGTGCAGTCACTAGGGATAGGTTTTCCCTAAGTGATAAGAACAGGCTGTCAAATACCTTGGGGAAATTTTTTTAAATGACTTTATTTACAAATCTAATTTTCCTTCTTGCTTTTTTCCCTTGGTTTTGAGGCCACACCTGGTGGGCTCAGGGATTACACCTGGCTCTGCACTCAGGAATCACTCCCTGTCAGGCTTGGGGGACCATAAGGGGTGATGGGGATCAAGCCCGGGTTGTCGTGTGCAAAGCAAGTACCTTATCCGGGTATTACCACTTCAGCCTCAAGTCAAATTCTTTTTATCAGAAAATTATGTTGCAGTTTATAGCTGGGCCAGGAAGACAGCTCAAATGTCTGGACTGTGTTCCTGGCATGCAGAGGCCCAGCTCCACAGGGTCCCCCAGACTCCAGTGCGTCACCAGCTCGGAGACTGACCCCTACTCACCATTCCTCCCTCCAAAAGCTTCCAACCATAACGAGCTACACTTTAAAAATAAAACACAATGGATGGTCATTACATAAATACCTGGGATCAGTTTCATGAATCATTTAGATTAAGTGTCTTCCCAGGTTCAAGGACACGTTCACTACCTCTAGCTAAGAAGTTCTATAAAATTTCACTGGAAAAAAAATTCCAAACATTTTTTTGACGAGCCATTGATATTCTTGCTTTTGCCACTAGATGGCACTAGCCTGCAGCTTAAATGAAAGGAGTGGGGATGGAGGTTGGGAGGGTTAATACCAAACACAACTCAGTATTTTTTTTTTTAATTTTTAATTTTTTAATCTCAGTAATATTTTAGCAATAAGTTGGTGGTTTATTTCGGCCGGCTAGTCCTTTATTCAACTGTTGCCGAATTTAAAGACTTCCTGGGAAATGGCTGAGTGGTAGTGCATGTGCTCCGGGTATCTGTTTGATGCCTGGCACCACCACCACCAAAAATCTTGGAATTTAGGCGAGTCTCTGCCTCTGCGCTACTCACTCGTAATAGTCCACAGCCGCCTGCAGAGCGCTCCTCACTTCTTCAGGAAACTCCCCCACATCCTGAGGCCCGGGACAGCCGAAACTTTTCCCTTTGGCATGATACACATTTCCAAGGTTGTACAGTGCTCTCGCTTCTCCCACCTAGAAGAAGATATTGGCAAGCTTACATTTTATGTAAAAAGATATTATATAGGGACTGGAGAGATAGCACAGCGGGTAGGGCGTTTGCCTTGCACGCGGCCGACCCGGGTTCGATTTCCAGCATCCCACATGGTCCCCTGAGCACCGCCAGGAGTAAGTCCTGAGTGCAGAGCCAGGAGTAACCCCTGTGCATCGCCGGGTGTGACCCAAAAAGGAAAAAAAAAAACATTTATATAATGCTCATCACATGCATTTATTGTATCTGTGATATTATGGTCAAGAGAAAAATGTTTCTCTTGACCATCCATGTAGATTATTAATAAATTATTATTATATATGAAAGGAAGAGCCTATATTTTTTTCTCCATTAAAAAAATTTTCTTTCCTGTGGGTATCCTTTCAGTACCTTTATTGCAAACTATAATGCACAGAAGAGAGAGAAAGAAAGATTGTGTGTGTGTGTTGTGTGTGTGTGTGTGTGTGTGCGCGCGCGCGCACGCGTGGGGGGTGGCGTGGGAGGAATGGAGGAAGTGAGGAAGGGAGGAAAAGAGGGAGGGAAACTGGGGACATTGGTGGTGGGAAATGTGCACTGGTGAAGAGACGGTGTTGGAACATTGTATGACTGAAACCCGATCATGAACAACTTTGTAACTGTGTATCTTAAGGTGATTCAATTAAAAAAAACCCTTTGAAATAAACTCCAGAAAAATTAAGTGGAATTAAAACACAAAGCAGATCTCAGTGAAAACATTTGGGTAATTTACCCCTCTAAAGTTTCCATCTTACCTTGTCATTAAGCTCTCTGGAAATATCTAGGTGTCGCTGACAACAGACTACAGCTTCATCAAAATTTCCAAGAACTTTTAGGGTGTTTCCCAGATTACCACTAGCTTTGGCTTCCCCCACCTGGTCTCCAATAGTCCTGGAGAAAAAAACAGAAAATTATGTCAAAATAGGAAACAGAGAAGAGTTTTCCTTAGAGGACAGGTGACATGTTTTAGGAAAGAAAGACACATTAACTATAAACCTATTTTAAATAAAAATAAGCTTACTTTCTGTATTTAAACTAATTAGCTTTCATTTAACTATAGGGTCATTTCAGTGCTCTTCATTTAATTAAAGTGTGTTCAGCTTGAAAATTAGTTTTAAAATATAACGCTGATGTAATTTTTGGCTCTTGGGCCACACTAGCAATACTCTGGGGTAACTGCTTAGCTCTGCGTTCAGGAATCACTACTGTGGTGCTCAGGGCATCATAAGGGATGCTGGGATTGAACCCAGGTGGGCTGCATTCTAGGCAAGCATCCTACCTGCTGCTCTAACTCTCCAGCACCATGTAATAATATTGTTTACTGACTAAAATAAAAAGTTGTGTGAACACACCAGTGGTGCTCTGGATGGAACCAGGGGTGCATTCAAGGCAAGTGCCCAACCCGCTGTACTATCGTTCTGGCCCCTGACACTATTTTTAAAGTGACAGGTAATTTATGGAGGAAGAATATTAAAAAGCTTAATTACCTTGCAAGAGTTAAATCATGATGATGGTATTCTAATGCTTTGGCATAATCATGCAAATAGAAATAAGCATTGCCCAACTGGCTGTAAATAGCACTAAGTGTTTTCAGGTCTTCGGTTCCAACTTGAACTGCAGCTTCAAAGAAGGACACACCTGCTCGGCAGTCCCCGGACTTGCACAGACGCTCCCCTTCCAAGGCCAACTCTAGGCAGGACGCTTCCATTCTGTGAAATCACAGAGGAGAGTCATGTGTACTCTAATCGCAGCCATGCTGCAATTGAAATATAACTGGGATTCCCTTGCTCAGTGTACAAAGTATACTTGCACGGTGATATGTAGCAAACAATTACAGTGAGCTCACCTATCCCAGTGTATCAGCCTCAGATATTAGATTTTATATACACTTGCAAAATATCTGCTACAGAGCTCTTTTAAGCTGATGCACCAAAAGCAAGCCATGATACCCAGGAGAGCCTAAGCAGGACTTTCCACACAGCTCAGAGTTGTGGCAGGCTTAGATAATACCAAGGAGTCTGGGAAGAATAAGGGCACCTGGGGAAGCTGAGGTCCAAAAATTAATGCTGTGTATCCAGGCCATCTATATTCGTCTAAAGTCCAATAACCCCTCCTACTATCTTTTTGTTCTTGGCTGTGCTCGGGACTTCTTCCTGGCTCTGAACTCAGGGATCACCCCTGGCGGGATTTGAGGGACTGCATGGGATGCCAGGGATCGAACGTGGGTTGGCTGCATGCAACGCAAGTGCCCTACCTACTCTACTCTCTCCGGTCCCTACCATCTTCTTTCTGGTTCACACCAGCTGCATGAGTGAGCGAGTGCGCGGGCACACACACACACAGACACACATACACACACACACATACACAGAGCACACAGCTGCTCCTATTGCCACCACACTCTGACCCTGTGGCATAGAAACTCTCCAGGGCACTTCCACCAAAGAACAATGTCTTGAGAAACTACAAGTGCCTCCCCATCATACTATCTGCCTGGCCCCTGAGCATCTTGTTTTTGGGAGCAGCACCAAACTATCCCTTACTCGAGTTCTGAGCAACTAGCCACTCTAAACAGTGGTTGTTAACTCTGCCTGCACTACAGTTGACCGCACTGAGGGACAACACTCAAAGGAGAGAGCGTGGTCAAAGTGGGGCCCCGGCAAGGCCCGAGCTCCCGAGCAGTGCTGGGTGTAACCAAGCATGCCCAGGGCCAGCAGCACCCTGGCAGTTTCCTTGGGAAGACATCCGGAGGACCTCAGCACCCTTGGAGAGGTTCTAAAATACCCAAAACCTTCGAGGCCGGGACCTGCTCTCCAGTGCGCAGAGCCAGCACTGGTCTTTCTGACAGCCTTCCAGGTCACTCCAGTGGGTAAGCCAAGCTGGAGAATCAGGGGCTTTCACAGGAAATGCTAATTAAACCATCACTCACCCAAAATTCACTCAAATATGATCATGGACTTTTGCATTTCCAGGAGCAAGTTTAACTAGCATCTCCCTTCAAGAGCTGTCTTTTACAGTCTGAGATCTCAAGGATCTGGAGAGCCATACAGTGAAATGGAATTAAAGAGTAGAAATGGAGTGGAGTAGAACTGGAGTAGAAATGAAATGTGGTGAAGCTGATAGACAGGGCTGGGGAGGAGGCTGCAAGGGCTGGTGCGCGGCTTTGCATGAATTACAGTTAATATTTCATTGTGGAATATTTGTGTATTGAAATTAACAATTCAAGTGTCTTACACTGGTTAGGAAAACGCCGGCCACCATGCAAAGGGATCCTAGGGAGCTCCCAGACCGTCTCTGCAGGAGAGAACAGCCATGCCCAGCGGTGCCACAGGAGGATGGGAGGACTCTCCGCTCACCATAAAGTGTGGGCCTTTTCCCACACGTTTGCTTCTATCTGCACAGAGCAAGGTCTCCATCATATATTCGGCTTTCTGAGTTGAACTGATGACCCGCATGATGCTGCTGCCACGGTTAGGTAAGGACCAGATGGGAGTCTCTCAAAGTGGGCCAAGCGCCCCCTGGGGGATGCTGGAAGGATGGCAGGTTGGGTAATAGTCCTGGCTGCCAACTGGGGGTGTTTTCTATGTGTGTCCTTAAAAGCAGGTGAGTTTCCAGAAGCGCAGAATATATGTGTGGTGTTCTGTTTCTGAAAAGGGGTGGTAGACCAGGCCGAATATGTCTGGCAAGCTCTGAACTCAGAGCTATACTCTTTTAAAAAAAGTTCTTTACTGGGGCTGGAGAGATAGGACAACAGGTAGGGTGCTTGCCTTGCCTAAGGCTGACTCTGGGTTGATTCCTATATGGTTCCCCAAGCCCCTACCAGGAGCGATCCCTGAGCTCAGAGACAGGAATAAGCCCTGAACACAGCCAGGTGTGGCCCTCAAACAAACAAAAAACCTTCATGTAATTCTCACTGCAAACTGTGACAGCAAAGTGAACCCCCGCAGGCTCCAGGCTGCAGAGCTCCCGGCGAGAGGTGGCTCTCAGTTTAGAAAACTAGCCTTAGTCATTAACGTACAATGTGAACTCTCATTTATGGTGAATTATGTGAGAAATTATAGCCCTGGCATACTTTATTATTGAAGAAGTGAGGCAAAAATCTCCAATGCCTCCTCAAATATACCTGAAGGCAGAATTGTCAAAGAAGGTTGGCTTATAAATTTTTCAAAAGATCATTAAATAGTAACAGAGAAAGTAATTTCATATCCTCTCTGTCACTATGAGGGAATAGAATTACTTCATCTGTTTACCAGTTGGGGTGAGAACAAAGAACATACCCAGAGTAGAAGGCAAACCAGAAAAACTCAGAAACCATGAAATCCACTAAAACCCGCAGCAGAGATAGGCTGGGGGTGTCACTCAGCGGCACCATGCCTGCCTCATGGGAAGAGGCCCGGGTGTGAACCCTAGCACCTGGAGAAACTATTCCATATATAAAGTTTTTTCAAAATCTAGTATTGTGCAAAAAAAAAAATAAGGGTATTTCTTAAAATTAATGATTTGAAGTTTAGAAATTCTACTTTGGACCATTTCTATTTTCACAGATAAGTACATAAAGCTTGACAAGCATTCTGATCTCTCTTGGGTCTCCAGTGACCAGAATATTCTACTTCAAAGCTATAAACATACTGTGGCACAGAAACTCCTCCTGGGCTGTCTGAGGGCCTCCATAATGAAAGAACCAGATGGATAAAACACTACAAGTCAAATGTTTACCAAAATTAGCAGTGTCACTAGGACAGGCTGAGAGTCCTGCAGGAGCATAAAGGATCACCCAGTGACCATACAGGATTTATACAGCAATCCTACCAATATGCAAAATGTTGATCTTAGGGGCAGAGATGAAGCCAGAGATTCTCATGGCATGTATTTACTAAGAATGGTTTTTATAAAGCTTTTAAAGTTTCTTTTTTGGGGAAATTGTATAGCAATATATAACCATGTTCCAGCTATGTTTAATCATGGAAAAGGGACAAATCTAAGGGCTTCTAAGGAACAGATCGGGTACTCCCTGCCTGTTGCTCTTCAAGTATTAATAAGTTTACCACACTCGGGATTAGTGAGGGAGCTCAAGAGTTGGAGTAAGCCATGAACCTAGGCGCCAGGTTCGATTCCTGCCACTGCACGGCTCCCTGGGCACTGCAAGGTGCCCCAGCACCCGCATCAGCACCAAGCACGGAATCTTTAGGCTCAACAGTGTGCAAGGGAGTGGCTCCCAGGCTCCAAAGCACAGCTTGTAAAGGCAAGAAAAATAAAAAACTGGATTATTCTGGAAAATGGTTAACAAGGCAGATAAACATCTTCCTAGTTTCATACAATGGGTTGGTCCAATAAAGCTCAATGGACTTTCCATCAAAAGTGAACTATAAACCGGGCTGGAGAGATAGTGCAGAAGGGAGAGCGTTTGCCTTGAATGTGGCCAACCCGAGTTTGGCTCCTGGCATCCCATATGGTTCCCTGAGCACCACAAGGAGTAATTCCTGAGTGCAGAGCCAGGAGCAACCCCTGAGTATCACTGGGTATGCCATCCCCCTCCCCACAAACAAAACAAAACAAAACAAAAACAAAAACAAAAAAACAAAACATAAGCCAGGCAATTTGCTAGGTACCACAGCTGTCTAAATAGTAAAAGGTGGGTATACAGGACTGGAGAGACAGTACAGGGGTTAAAGCACTTGCTCTGCATGTGACTGCCCTGGTTTGAGCCACTGTACTGCTACGAGTGACCCCTGAGCACTGCCAGGTGTGCCCCCCTCCCCACAAAAAAATAAGAGGATGAGACATAGATAGGTAAACAGATACATGGAATAGAATTGGTGCTAGGAGGGAGATATGCACAGGATTATGGAATACAGAATTTAGAGGAGATGATGTTTACCTGAAGTTTAGATACTGAAAGTGAGGAACAGTCAAGTCCCAGGGTGTAGCATGAGCAAAGGTACTGAGACAAGAAAATATGACATACGCAGAGAACCACTGCTCTAAATGCACGGTGTGGGCTGGGGGGAGGCAGAGGACCAGAGAGCAATCAGGTGAGGGAGAAGCCGAGCGTCAGGGGTGAACTGGGCCTGTCCTCCAGGTCAGCAGGAGTCCGCACTGAAATTCAGCAGTGGCTGCGTGATTAGCTGTGGTTACAGACTGCACCCTCTAGTGGGAAATTCAAAAGGTGGATTCTAAGAGGAAAACGGAACAGCAGGAGTGTGGGGGAACTGCTAACCTAAAGCGGGGGCAGGGGAGGGCTCCAGGGGGAGTTAAAGTCGAACAACATTTAGGCAGTAAAACTGGGCGAGCCTTCACACTGGCTACTGAGGTGGAAAGAAAGTGAGAAAATATTTAGGTTTCTCAACATATGGTTCCTCGAATGGCAAAGCAGAGGGATTTCATATAGTAAATGGCTGCTTTAAATACACCGAATGTCTTAATATCATGCATAATAAGCTACATGGAATCTTTCGTTTTCTTTTTCTTGCATCTTAATGTTTTTAGGTGTTTTTGGGCCACACCCGGCAATGCTCAGGGATTACTCCTGGCTCAGTGCTTGAGGATCACTTCTGGCAGGCTCGGGGATGCTGGGGATTGAACCAAGTCGGCCAGGTGCAAGGCAAACACCTTCCCCACAGTTCTACTACTGCTCCAGCATTTCTATTCGTTCTTCGGCTTCAGACTATACCCAGTGGCACCTGAGGGCGACTCCTGGAGTGCCTGGGGGCTGGCCTCATCGGGCAGAGTATGTACACTAGCCTCTGGGCCATCTCCCAGCCCATCTTATTCTGAAAGGAAATGCTCTCCACTTACCTACAGAAACTTCTCAAGCACCATGACAAAACATGAACCTTTTACTCTAAATATCCTGTGAGTTCCTGAACATGTATTAATTATCTAAGTTTAGGTAGCAAATATCTAACTCATCCATGATTTTGAATACCACTCATTGTTCTAAGTTTATTTACTATTACAACTGTGTAGGAATATTGACAGTCTATTAGTACCAACAATTTTATTCTTCTAATATTCATGCTTATTCTTATAGGTTTACCCAGAACTTCCAGAGTGCACGTTAAATAATGTATTTCGTATCCACTTATTCCAACATTAGATTCATTTTTTAAAGGTCACCATTTAAAAATTGTAATAGATTTAGTTCACCATGTTAAAAAAAGTCCACTTTTTTAAAACTTCCAAAGATTTACAAATGCATTCCTTTTTAGATTTGCAATAGTTATAAAATATAAAGTAACTATAAATTCTTCCATAGAACACTAAAACAAACCAGTACCTCATTGGCCTCCATCTACTATTTTCCTACAAAAGAGATACAAAAACTAGCAACCACCAAAATAGAAAACACTGTTTGTAAGAGAAGCTAACTGTAACTGATATTTTTAACACGCTCAAGCTTAAATTTGAAATGATCAGAACCACATACATGTTTAAACAGGACTAAAGATCACCCACTAAGAAAGCAATGCTCTTACCTGTAACGGACATGAAAAGAATGGTCTTCCCTCATGCTTATCAAATTTTCCTCCATTGAGTCATATTATAAGCTGAGTGAAATTTGAAATGATTTTATTTTGTGCCAATCCAGTTCTTTACAGTGTAGAATTGTCTGCAGAACACTGTCCAGTTAGTGTATTAATGAGCTGTTGTTAATGGGTCCTAAGCTCCTGCTTCTTCTTTGTTAATAATGAAAGAGGGTCAATGTCAGAGAGCTTAGAGGGTCAAAGTGTGTCCCAAATCCTTTCAGCAGCACTTCAGCAACATCTCTGCAAAAGGAATACAAGATGCTTTGCATGATGTCCTATTTTCAAAGAATAACCTAAATTAAGCTCATCACACGGTTGAGTGCACTGACGTTGCCACATGGGGGAAAACAGGAGCAGGCCTGACTGTCACCCAGGTGTCCACAGAAAGGCATGTGAGCTGAGATTTAGCTGAGAACCTCATTTTAGCTTAATGTGTGTATATATGCAATAAATAGATTTAAAAAAATCCTGAAATCTCTGTGTTCTAAACAGCCCTAGAGGTCAGCCAGTCCAACACCTCACAGCATTCACAGAAAGTTCGGGAAGCATCTCTAGTCCGAATGTCACACAGTTCCAGGAGAAAGCTGCTCCCTCTTCGGAGCATCCTCCCCATTGCTGCCTAACTGTTCTGGTTCTTGTTTTTGCTATCACCCCAAATAATCAATTTCCCTTTATATAAAATCCTCTTAAGCATTTCAACTTTTAACATAAACTAGATTTCAAGTAATACACAACTCCTGCTCTGTTAGTTAAGGACACTTGGAGACCTGTTAGTCTGGAACAGAGCAGTAAGGTGGTAAGGATCAGTCTTGGTAAAAGTGGCAGCACTTCCTAGAGGAAATGAGGTCTTCGTATTAATAACTGGCTGTTCATGTAAGACAAACAGGACACTCTGAGATGGCTCCCAGGGCAGGAGCTCAGGCTCAAACCCGGGCACGATACATTCTGGGTGCGCTCTCTGCCCCCTAAAGAAAAACAATACATTAACCCTTTATCCCTTCCCATGGCCCAGATCATCCAGATGACACCAAAATTCCAAGTTTTATTGATTATTTAAAAATGCAAACTTCATACTTATTAAAATGCATGTCTAAAGTCAAATTAACAAACCTAAGTGACTACAGATCGCACAAAAATCCTTTTTTAAAATGAACGAAAACGAGAGTATACTATTTGTCATTTTTCGATGGATAATCTATAATATGGTTTTAGTAGTCTCAAAAACAGACTGTCTCCCCCAAGCCACTCTTAAATTGTATACACCGTATAACCCAAACATGAAAGCTTGTAACTTTCTCACGGTGATTCAATAAAAGAAATAAATACCCCCCCCAAAAAAATTATATACCCCATTGAAGTTAGAAGCATTTGATTCAAGGGTATAACTTATAGAAACCCCTACTCAATTTAGCAAGTGTGATAATTCCTGCTTTGCATTACATGTAGTTAACAAACCCTATTCATATTTGTTTATATGTAACCAAGATTAACATTAATCAAACATAGTACAAAATATTTATGTATTTTCATTAAGATAATAAAAATTAATAATAAGATAAGGAAATGAAGGGGCTGGAGCGATAATACAGCGTGGGTACGGCACTGGCCTTGTACATGGCCCACTATAATTAGATACACAGCATCCCATATGGTACCTTGAGCACCACCAGGAGTAAATCTTGAGTGCAGAGCCAGGAATAACCCTTGATCATCAAAGGGGTATGACTCCCAAACAAAACACACACACATACACACACACCCTGGAAATGAAATGGAAGCTACAGGTTTGAAAGAATATTCAGTCAGGTCTAACAACTCCACTCTGCATTGGCACAATTCACAAGAAACATATGTAATAGTATCTTCCTGGTTTTAACAATGTTCTCCAAACCCTACAATACTGTTAGCTTTCAGTATCTTGAAGACTATAAAGAGAAAGCAATAGTGTCTCCAGAGCCTAAAGATAACAAAGTTTATAAGAAAGATTGAGAGTTACAAAACCCTGATTGTTTTATGCTTAATGACTTGATTAAGCAGTTACCGTATTATATAGAGGAAAACTCCTAGGCTCTACAAAGTATGCAGAGTAAACAAGAAATCCTGGTCTCTACTTCCTGTTATAAAATAGTTCCTAAGTAGGTGACAGACAAAACTAAGAAATAGTTACATTTGTTTCTTTTCTCCTACTTTTTATTTATCTAAACTACTTAGTCTTAACTGCAATTTAAATGCCAAGAACTTCTGATCTGTTTCTATCACTTCTGGTCTGTTTCTAACACTCAAGGATCTCTTAAACTGGTAACACCCATCAGACTATAAATATAATCCACTTTTTTGCCCCTTTAGTTTAATCTAAACTCATAGCACAGCGGGTAGGGCGTTTGCCTTACAAGCGGCCAACATGGCCGACCCGAGTTCGATTCCTCCGCCCCTCCCGGGGAGCCCGGCAAGCTACCGAGAGTATTCGATATGCTAGACACAGTAACAACAAAGTCTCCAATGGAGACGTTACTGGGCCCGCTCGAGCAAATCGACGATCAACGGGAGGGCCTTTACCTTACCTTTTACTTTTTTTTTGCTTTTTGGGTCACAGCCGGCAATGCACAGGGGTTACTCCTGGCTCTGCACTCAGGAGTTACTCCTGGCGGTGCTCAGGGGACCATATGGGATGCTGGGAATCGAACCCGGGTAGGCCGCGTGCAAGGCAAATGCCCTACCTGCTGTGCTATCTCTCCAGCCCCAATCTAAATTCCTCTTACCTCAGTAATTTCTTTCAAAATATAGCACTTAAATGACTCAAATCCCTTCCAATTAAAATATTTTAAATCGTATAGAAGCCCTTTGTTGTTTTGAGCTGGATCAAAGAGAAGAAGAATCAAGAACACATTTACGGGGCCAAATAGTACAATCGGAAGGGCACTTGCCTTGTATGTGCCTGACCTGGACTCAATCCTTGGCATCCCATATGGTCCCCGGAGCACTGCCAGGAGTGACCTCTGAGCACTGCCAAGTGTAGACCCCAAAAACCACCACCAAAAACCCCACATTTGAAAGAGTTGATTTAAACTGATATTCAGGGTATACGTTATAGTGACATTATAACAATAAGATAAACATCCACTTCTAAAATAAACGTAAGTAACTACTTCTGTCAGCTGGTTATTTGGGGGAGGGCCACACCATGTTGTGCTCAGGAGCTGTTCTTGGCTTCTGAGCTCAGGAGTCACTCGTAGTGATGCTCGGGGGATCATATGTTGTACCAGGAGTTGAACTGGGTTGGCCACACATAGAGCAACCTCCCATTCTATCTCTCTGACCAAAGAATAAGTGTGGTTTATCTACTGGGACCCTCCCCCTTGCCAGGCATGGAATCAAGTGCCAAGCTACACCCTAAACTGGATATTATTTTTGCCAACTTTATTTGTGAGTAGACACTAATTTATTTTCGAATGAACTAAAGAGGCTTGTGATCTGACCCAAATTTCCATGTCCAATTACATTTTTTTTTCTTTTTGGGTCACACCCGATGCACAGGGGTTACTCCTGGCTCATGCACTCAGGAATTAGTCTTGGCGACACTCAGGGGACCATATGGGATCCTAGGAATCTAACCCAGGTTGGCCTCATGCAAGGCAAATGCCCTACCCGCTGTGCTATCGCTCCAGCCCCTCCAATTACATTTTATCTGATACCTAGTATAGGAAACAATACATGCAAAATCAGGAGCAGGAAGGTAAAAGCAGGAAGTTTCCACTAGATATAAGAATATATTTCAAGAGGACCTGGAGAAATACAAGGGAATTCACTTTTTATTTCTTTTTTCTTTTCTTTTTTTAAAAACACACAGCAGACCGGCTACATTCCCAGCACCGCATATGGTCCCCCAAAACCTGCCAGGAGAGATCCTCACAGTCAGGAGTTAGCCCTGAACACAGCTGAATATGGTTCCTCTCTACCCCAAAAGAGAAAGGTATCCTTAAAAAAAAAAAAAAGTTCTACTTTAGGAGCCAGAGAGATAGTACAGAGGTTAGAGCACTTGCATGCAGTCAACCCCAATTCAATTCAGCACTGAGTCTGGGATTAAACCCAGCTGCCAGGGGTGATCCTGAGCACAGAGCCAGAAGGAATCCCCAAAACACCACCTGGCGTAGCTCCCCCAAACCCCACATACCACCAAGAATGTATTTCAAAAAGCAACAAGCATAGGAATAAATACTACTGAAAGTATCCTGCCCGCACGGCAAAGTCTGGCAAACTTCCCGTGTCGTACTCAATATGCCAAATACCAGTGACAAAGATAGGTCTCATTCTCCTAGCCCTGAAAGAGCACTGCATATGATTCTTTTAAAATCTCAGGGCTAGGAAGAAGGAGACGTTGCTGGTGCCTGCTCGAGGCAATCGATGAACAACAGGATGATCGTGATCGTGATAGGAATAAAGTCTAACAGAAAATCCAGTGTGACAGGTGTTGAGGAGACAGTTAAAGCAAGAAAAGTTACTTTGACCCCAGCATATGTGACAGAGGTGGTAAACCAGGATCTTAATGCAGGGAAGAGGGACTTAGGAAAGGCTGGGAGCCCAACCAAGAGTACCCGGAGAAAGGAAACACCCACTGACAAGACAGAAAGGCAAAGACAGAGCAGAAAGAGAGCGCCCAAGACTTTCAATTGGAGGACAGAAAGAAGAATGGTAATAACCACAGTGATGGATAGATTTCATCTCAAGTCTGATACCGAGAGACGAAAAAGTAGAACACTTATACCAAACCTGTAGTTGGTAAAGTGCTAAGCTCACAAAACAAATGAAGGAAAAATAAAGATAGTGAGTTTGAGGTGATTTGCAATCAGGGGAAATTTGATAAATGGGGGCGTGTCTTGGAGGGAAAAATAGAACCGAGTGGTATTTCTAAAGTTTTGCACGTTAAAAAATTTAAAAACATAAGTATGAATGAGATCTAAATGCAAACACTGCAAGTAAGTGGCAAAATTAAAGGAAAATTCCAAGCAAGAAAAATAAATCAAAGCAATGCGCTGGTGTTCTGATTCTTTCTTTTTCTTTCAGTGTCAAGGATTGAACCCAAGGCTCCTACATGCAACACACATACCTTACCATGATGCCACCTCCCAGAGCCCCAAGGTTACAATTCTTTACTCAATCTACCAACATAATCAAAACTCTATATAATGCTGTGAAGGATAGATAACTCAAGATTAT